AGGAAAGAAAGAGACGTTCGGCGGCGGCAGCCAGGTACTTCGTCCGGGTCGTTTTCCGGGTCGTTTTTCCTGCTTAACACTCTGCCACATCAATTTAAATTATGGTTTACATTGTTGTCCTTCTCGCTCTTCCTTTGCATCCCCAAGCTTGGAAGCCATTCTGTTATATGTGTTTTGTTCATCAATTTAAATTATGCCTTATATAGTTATATTTTTCTTCGACTGTTATGTTTGTGTGGTGTGTTGTATGTGTCATTAACTCGCACAAACTTATAATTGGTGAGGAGTTCAACTTCTGTTGTAACAATTAATTAATTTATATGAATGGCAGCTGCAAAATTTACTGGAACGGGTGCATCATTTACCACGACCTCTATTTCAGATTGCATCAGGTTATTGGAGAATTTAATATGGATAGTGCAAATGTCATCCCATATGCCCAACCACAGATTTATCGATCGTCTGTACCATGTGAGTGTCATGGTTTAGCACGCAACTGCTTCAATGCAAACTGACATTAATATTTTCCCTTGAATCTCATTTGTTTAGGGAAATGTCGAGCAGTGTTTATTCATCCTGAAGATCAGTACCAACGCTGTGTTTTATCTGCTGAAGAGGAAGAAGCATTTGAGAGAGGTGTGTTATCTGTGTTTTAATTTTTTTAATTAGTTCATCTATTCAATGAGTAATACATGGTTTAATATTTAAATTCTGCAGAAGAAGCTGCCTTACAATTCCAACTCTCTCAACTTCGGCGAATACTATCCCAAGTCGCCCGTAAGAGAAGACATCATATTTTGAAACAGAAGGTTCATAGGAGGGGCTTGCCTTTTGAACACCAAGGTTGTTGTTTGCTAAATTTTGTAGCAAGTCTTACAAATTAGGCTATTCTAGATTGTTGAATCTTTATTTATTTCTTTAATATCGTATGTGTTTTGGTGTTGTTCATAGTTTTGGAGCCGGAGTTTAGATTTCTATTACAAAAGCAAAGTCGATTGAGTAGCTAATTCATATGCATTTGGTTATCATGTCCTTGAGAATGGTAACATTTTTCGTGACGGAGTAGATGCTGCCCTTTGTTTCTTTTCACAATGACTAGGTTCAGAATACGAAGTCTTTCACAAAACATAATTTTATTATCCAATTAGCACAATTAATTAAATTTTTGTTTACTCATTTGGAACAGTAAAACGTTGTTTGAAGATACATGTTAATAAGATAAGCTGTATCACTTCAATTCTGGTCATCATGTTTTGTAAATTAATAACAGTTCTTATCACTGTAATTTTATTTACTCATGTGTTTGTGGTTTTATTGTTAAATGGATGTTAGGAGGTTATTCGTTTTCTTCCTCACGAGCAACTAAAATGTATCTCAACATCCATTGCCCTCACTTGCATCCTTTGTTAAACCAGTAAGCTTCATAAACCTCTATTTTTGAAACTTTAAATCCTAATGTGTGTGGTATCTATTGATAGTGGTAATTCTGGTTAATTTATTATCAGGGAAGATGGACCCCAATTTGGATCTAACTATATTGTTGGACCATTGCTATACGAGGAAGCTCTCGACATATCTGAGCACACCACGGTTCCACAGCTTAATATGATAAAGTTAAGTCTGTATAGTACGGTAAGTCACTCAAACTCAACTAAACACCTATTTTTTTCAAACACAGTCATTACCCAATTCAACATTTGCTTCATTTTCGTCATCAATAACCCATGTGTCTGTTTTAGGGGACGGTATACATCTTGACGGGAAAACTAAAAGCCATTGGAATTTCAACTTTGGCGCACTCTATGGTCAGTGTTGTGCATTTCACCATCAATGATGTAACTGAGGAGCTGGAAGTTGTGTTTCCCTCTGTCAACCTTAGACGCATTGTTGGTGATGTGGTTGCGGAGACAAATATCGATTGGGACACTAACATCATCGCCATTCTCAACTGCATTGATTTGAAGTATTACCAGTTTGTCATTGAAGTTGGCGCGTGGAACCGCATGGTCAGTCACTGTGATTTGGTTTTGCTGAAGATGTTCTCTGCTGCCTTTTAAGGATAGAGTGCTTTTAATGGATTCCTGGTCTGTGTTCCTAAATATCAACTACACTCAAACATTTAATAGGAAGTGGTTGGCTAGGCATTTCTCATCATTCGGCTCTATTTACTACCTCCACCGTACTTTTTTTACTGTTATTTGTGATGATAAGAATGTTGGAGCTTAGCCTTTTAGTTTCATGGTTTTGTTTTAAAGCACCCAGTGTGCAAGAGATTAGTTGTAATTGATTTCCTCAACTTTGTTTATAATGGAGAATCACTTATGTATTTGGATTGGTTTGCTGCTGTTTTACAAGATGGTAGTTAAGCAGATAGGGTGTCAGAACTTATGCGCATATGAACCAGGAAATATTGTCCGGTTTGTGTTATGCACTTGATTATTTTTTTTAGTCCTGGTTATGATCCAATGTGAATTATTTGTATAAGAAACATATTTTTGCAGAATTTAGTTACAATCTAACAAATATCATCAACTTTTAACTATTACATTCACAAAATGAAAAACAAAATTATTTTTTTATTAATTACATTAATTATGATATCACTTTGCTTATGGAGAATTTAACTATTATCACACTTGATTTGCGAGATTTTCTTCTCATTTACCTACAATAATTATTTTATAAATTAACCTATATAAAAGGATTTAAATTCATTCAGTAGTGACTCGAGATTAATTAATTAGTGATACTTTAAGCATGGTTCAGTTTTTCTTTTTTTTAAGAAACCTGATTTCATTATGAAATCGCAAAATGATAAAGAGTTGGACCATGATCCTTGAAAGATAGAAGTATAAACAAATCGTAAAGTTGAGCTCACCCAAAACACAAAATGAAAGCTCACCCACAAATACATAAATCAGAAAAAAACACAAGAGAAAAACTCCAAAGCCCACCCCAACACCCACGGTAACCCAACCCAGAAAAAACCCAAACACACCAAACGCCACAACCCAGCCCACAAAACAATCCAAACATGGTTCAGTTAAATAAAATATAGTTAGAGAGGGAATGCCCAGCCGGATTTGTTGAAACTAAATGGCCAACCTATTCCCATAAAAAAAAGGCCAACCTACACTACCTTGGGCGGATCCTTCTCCACTCCCCCACCTCCTCTACTGCCCAGTATCCGATTTTTTTGGATCTTCTATGAGGTGAAGGCAACCGCATTCCAAGCCATTATTTCTTTATTAAATACATTCATTATGCTTTTCATTTCATGTTAATTAGTGGTGGTGTGGGCCGGGCCGGCCGGGTTGGCGCATCAAATAATAATTAGCAACTTTGAGACGCAATTCTGGACAATAATTGTTGACACAGTCGCAATTAGCAATGTTGTTAAAACGGAACCGGACATCGATCCGGATTAGTAAAGGGTTCAAGGTTTATCAAATAACCGGTGGTTAATCGATATTAAAAACCGATCATAAACCGGTGTTGACTTACTTGGTAGACTTAACAATTATTTTTTTTTTACAATTATTGTTTCACTTATTAGAGATAAAAGAATAAAGTGAGAATTATTAAAACTGAAAAAGCATAATTTGGGCGGCTGCTAGGTCTTTTTTGGGAAAAGTGAACTGATTTTTCTTCTCTTTATATTTTATTATGTACTTACCTTCTTTTGTTTTTGAATTTTTAATTGCAACAAAATAAAAGGAAGGCGCATGTTTGATTTTAAGAAGGTGGGTCGTTCCCCTTAAAAAAAAAAAAAAGAAGGTGGGTCGTGAGTTCCGTGACACACCCGCCTCTTGAACTCTAAATGGCCAACCTTCTCCACTCCCCCACGAGGCCACAAATCCTTCTCCACTCCCCCACTATCCCACTTTCCACACACACACGTACTCCACTGCATGCGGCCAAGTAAATCACGTGTGTAGAATCACTTTCTCTCCTTTATATAATGGAGATACCACTTTCTCTCATGTTACAATTTCCGTTTACTACTTCCCATACAAAACACTTCGGTTCCATTGACCGTGCGAATTGCATTCAATATGGCGGGCCTGCCTCAATTCAATCAGTAAGTACTGCTCATGCATCCAACAAATACTACATCATGTAATTTCGATTCTTTTTCACTAATTAATGCTAAAACTTACAGTCCAATATATAGGCTTCCCCATGGTTTTATTGCTAATCTGCAATATGATGATGCTCTTGAAATTTGTGAGCGTGCCGACACCATCGATCTCATTATGTTGCAAGTGGATGTCGAAAATCAGGTAACTAAACAAATAAATTTCTTTTTAATCGTACGCCTTTTGTGGCATGCTGCATTTTATCGATTTGCTTTGACAATATTCGTTTCTGTGTTTACATCAGGGCACCTCTTTTTTGTTATCCGGACGTGTAACGAATTTGACGACGTCCTGGTCCCCTGCATCCAGAATCCATTTCGTCCACCTCACAATTGAGGACGAATTCATTGGTGTTGACATCGTCTTCCCGTCATCACAGTTACGAACGATTGTTGAAATCTGTATTCAGTCATGCAGATGTTGTCAATGCTGATTATATGGCCCTTCAGAACATGCTTGGAGAACAGACATTTGAAGTCATGGTCACAGTCGGTCCCTGGAACGATGCATTTGGTTATTGTGAACTTGTGTTGGTGAAATTACTTTTGCTTTTGTTGAATTGAGTACCATGTCATGAATAATGAGACAATGTATTGAGTTTTCTTATTTTGGACTTGCATGTTATTTGTCGTAATACTCAACTATATTAGATTTGTGATTAGTAAAATTTCATGTAAGTATTTTTATTGTGATTAGCTAATCTTCAAATGTATTTCTAACTTATTATGAATGTTCATTCATATTACATGTTCGTCTTCAACGAATTGCAAAATTGCAACAATCTTATGATAATATAAAACAAGACTCATTTCTTGACACTATCATTATAGATATTGTAACTCCATTTCCTTAAACAAATGCGGCCAACGGGCCGGGCTATAGGCTAGTGTTTTACATGTTATGAAAACATCAAACACTCATATATATATATATCAGGCCGCTAATTTATTAAAATTGTACTTTTTACTTAAATTTTGAGAGCTTTTTCTCAAGTATGAGGAAAAGTATGTCTGGTAAGTGTTTAGAAAATGTAAAGTTTATAAAAGAATTTTTCTAATTATTTTTTTCATTAGTTACATTTTGGTAATTAAAAACTCATATTAAATACATTGCTTTTTAAAATTTTAAATCCTTCAATAAATGCATCTCTATGTCTCTATCTCTCCTTTTTTCAGCAGCCACTCCACTCTGATCAGCTGACTTTCTCAAGTGAAATTTTTCAGTCAGACTCCCTCCAGCCACCTGAAAAAAATGTACAACTCCGTTAAAAAAATATATCACTCCAAATGTACCACTTCAAAAGTCTAGTGTGTACGTGGGCACCGGGTCGGGCCGCCCACAGGCTTGCACGGTACGACACGATTAGAGCCCGGCACGAGCACGTGCACGAAATATATGGGTCAGCCCGGCACGAGCACGAATTCTTTACAGACAGTGTCGGGTCTAAACTTCATGGACACGGGCACGACACGGTATATAAATGGGTCATGACGGGCCTAATATTTTCAAAACCTTATTGCGTATAAGAACGAACATAGCACAAAAAGAATATTAATTTGATAAAAAATAAATATAAAAAGAATAATAGGTTCAAATATTGCAAATATAAGTACAAAAATAATTATTTATGTTGTTAGAAGTGATTATTAAGATATATACGTAATTACTTGCATAACAAAAAATGGACGAAGAATTAAACAAAGTAATCACACTCGTTATACTTTCAATTTTTTTTTTTGATGAATTTACTTTCAATTTTCTTTTCCCCTTTGTTGTTACATTTTTCAAACATTCCCGATTAATACTTTCATTCATCATCCAATTTTCTCCTTCTTTTTCGTTCCCTCTTTTAGTTTCTTCCTTTTCGTTAAACACAAATATGAGCATGACACAAGCACGAGTAGGCAAGGCAACCGTGCCCGGGCCGGACCTAGCAAAAGTAACAAATGGGCTTGCACGACACGACACGAAAACTGGCGAGCCGTGCCAAGCACGGCACGAAATAAATGGGCCTGAAGCGTGCTTGTGTCGTGCCGGCCCAACGCCCATGTACAATCTAGTGGTAGTGATTTCCGTCGAGTGGTAGCGGCGTAGCGCTATCAGATGATAGTAGTAGTGTACCATTCGATCTGGTAGCGCTACCAGATGGTAGTGGTAGCGTACAACTTAATCTGATCTCGCTATCACTGCACTAATAGAGGTACCACTTGACGAAACACTACCACTCGACTATACACATAAAACAACATATATGGAAATCGAACACGTATCTAAAAAATGAAGGGGAGGGAAGAAAGAGTAGTGGCGAAGAGGGAGGGTCATGCTCCCATGGTGACAGCGTCGGCGACGATTGAGCTTAAATTGCGTAAGGAAAAGGTGGATGAGGTCGAGGCATTGGCGGTGAAAGGAGCGTCGGTCGGACGCCGCAACGACATCAACAAATCCCCTCTTGTAGACTCGAGGAGGCTGGCGGCGGGATAGAGGAGGCGACGCGACAGTGATGAGCGAATCCCTCTTGTCGGTGGGAGGAGGCCAACGACGGGAGAGAAGTGGCGACAATGGTGGGATGGTGGTGGTGGCTGGCGGGAGAGCGGGAGGAGAAAGAAGAAGAGATGTTTGATAGGGTTAGAGGAGGAAGGGGATAGATATATGTAGAGTTATAAGGGATTAGTGATTGTGTGTAGTCTACTTTTTCATTCAATTTTGCTCTTACCATAATCTCATCCATCAATTAAAAAAAAAGAAAATATAATAAATCTAATGATCACTAGCTAGATAGCGAGATTGACAACCCTCTTAGAAGTTGTCACCGTATCTCGTGTAGATGGATTCATGTGAAGGATTGACAACATGGTAAATCCTCAATGAGCTTCAAAATATAGTAGTTCCTAGAAACCGGCCCAAACAAATAAACATGGTATATTCGCAGGTTGAAAGACCGACGGCCCATGCCGTATGAGTTCAGGTAGAGAATGGGCCCGAAGGCCCAGAGTCGTCCACGCAAGTCCAAATCTGGGGTGGAGGAGTCTGTCTCAGACTCTCAGTAAAGTTTAAGTTTAGGCAGCTGAGCCTGAGAGCCCAGTCATATATTGCCATCTCCCAGATTCGTTGACTGTTTAAATCTCGCCGGCAGAAAATGCTAAATCCTCTCCGGCGTTGAAAGGGCAAAAGAAATACTGCGCGGACTATCAGGGGGGAAGACGACGATGTCGCCGCCGGCTTCTCCATGGTGGCGCACGGCAGTTTCCGTTATCGTCTTGTCTTTCCTCTTCATCTCTCCGGGCACCGCCATCTACTGCGATGAAGACGATTGCTACGATTTACTCGGGTCCGCCGTCTCCCTCCCTCCCTCTCTTCATCGCCGTTGTTTTGTTACCCACTGCATCTTGATCTGATTATGAATTATTCTTCAGGGTCACTCAGAGCGCCACTGTGTCCGAATTAAAGAAGGCTTACTACAAGCTCTCGCTGAAACAGTAAGTCGCGCTAGTTTCATTTCAAGCTCGATTTCAATGCTTTGAATGTTTGGTTTTGGATAATTTCTGTGTCTCAGTCACCCGGATAAGAACCCTGATCCAGAATCGAAGAAGCTCTTTGTGAAAATCGCAAATGCCTATGAGGTACTGAAAAAAAATGAAGAACAACCTTCACCATTTGTCAAATTTTGGTTATTTTTCTCATTTGAGATGGATTTCGCATGAATGTGATTGCAGATTCTGAAAGACGAAGCTACAAGGGAGCAGTATGATTATGCAATTGCACATCCGGAGGAGGTGAGAATTTGTGGTTTGAGTTATTGTTAATTGGATGATTAGAATCAAGCTTCTTTTTTTTTTTTTTTTTTTTTTTTTTGCATAATGTTCTTTGCTTCTGCATTTGGAATTTGGTTTAGGTTTTCTACAACACTGCTCGGTACTATCATGCTTATTATGGTCACAAAACGGTATGAAACTTGTTATTGTTGTTGTTCAACTGTTACAATCCCGGTGTTCTTCCTAGATGAAGCCATAATTTTGATGGTGGGTAATTATACCTTTTTCAGGATCCTCGCATAGTCTTGGTCGGGCTTCTTCTACTGCTCTCAGGGTTTCAGTATCTGAATCAGAAGTCTAGGTACCAGCAGGTAAAAATTGTTGAAAGTTGGATGAACTACTACCATTCGAGCTGGTGTAGCTATGGAAACTGAAACCATCTACTAAGCTTGAAGTTGCAGAGGTTGCTAAGAGCAGTTTTATATGCCCCTCATTTTGTTTCAGGCAGTTGAAATGGTGAAGAAGACACCCGCTTACAAGAACAAGCTACGAGCTTTGGAACTTGAACGTAGTGGAGGGCTTTCATCTAAGAAGAAGAATAACAGGCAGATGGACAAGTATGGGTCTAGCAATTTTTATATGTTCAACTAGTCGCTTCATACTGTATTTAGTATCTTTTGGCTAATTTGTGCTCCAAATTCTTGGTCCCAGTTGTATTTTGGTTATGGGATTAACAAGTGTGAAGCTTTGTTGTACAGAAAAGTAGAGGAAGATCTCAGCAATGAGCTTCAGCTGGACATAAAAGGTGCTCATCAACCCTGCATCTGGGAACTTATAGGTGTCCAATTTGTCCTTCTACCTTACACCCTTGGGAAGGTATGTTGCTCATGATTCGGATGTTCGGTTCTGTGCTTTTAGTTTCTTCTGGGACTGGATGATTAGGACAGGGCTATCTTGCGTAAGCTAAAGAGAGAAAGACAAGTGACATGTTTCTTTGTTCACAGTTGTTGCTGTGGAATGGCTGTTGGTTATGGAGATACAAGGTGAAGAAAGCTCCATATGCTTGGGAAGATGCTTCTTATCTAACTCGTAGGTCGCTGAGAGTGCCTCTTGAACAATGGGGAAGCATCGGTAAGTATACACCACATTCCTTATACAACCTCGTAATGTCGAATTAAAACTCAGAGCTAAGGTCCTTGGGTTAGATCTCCTCGTTCACACACCAAAGATCACCCTTTGAACCTCTTTTGGCAACTTAACATGTTGCATAGCATTGGAAACTCGGATAACATAGAGTGAAATTGTGGAATGGTCCGGTTCGGTCCAACATCAGACAAACGTTAGGGGGAATATGAGGACCAGACTGGCTGTAAATTGCATTTGGCCGGTCTGGTTTTAATCAATCCATCTATTTGTATGTATTTTAAGGCATTCCGATGTAATTGCATCAACAAAATGTCTTTGGATTTGGAAATCAGACCCAAAGGTATTAACTTCAATCCAATACAAGCATCGATTTGCTTCAACTCGGTCTGGTGTAGACCCAATCGTTGTCTGCCCACCCCTAAGCGAGCATTTACAGTTTGTATTCTCTTGTAACATATAGTGGCTCTGAAACTTCATGCCTGCATTTACCAGTTCTGCAATCCTTAAAACGGTTTTCTGTTGTGCAGATGAATCGACAAAGGAAGATCTTGTTCAACGACGTCTGTGGGAGAAGTCGAATTTCGAGAGCTACGTAGCTGAAATGCGCAAGGACTCGAAGCGCAGGAGATGAACATCAATGTTGTAGTAGCTTGCTTTATTTATCTCTTCCATTGGAGGGCTGACAAACCAGCTGACAGCACACACAAAATTTTGTTAGTCAGATACAGTATACATACACGAGCATGAAGCATACTGTAACTAAGATACTGCTGAGTGAGTCCATTTGTACTGCTACGGAAATTTCACTTCCTAGTTATTTCATTACTTCAACTTACAAGGGATTCTGAACTCCAAAACTATATAGTCATTAGTATGTGAGACCAATGAGTTACATCTCATGTTCAGTTATCAGTCTTGATGATTCTTTTTGCTGATGTTCTTTGGCCTGTCTAATGACAAATTGGAGTATTGCAGAGATCTATAACGCGGGCAGTGAATTTGTTTGTCCTTTTTACAGGGACAAGTCCGAGCCAGAGTTGAATGATTGTGATATGTCGTATGTATGAGACGAGTGAAAATGAGTGTTTATGATGTGCTCTCGTTTTTTGTGAATTTTATCTGTTTGATTTCCTATCGAACTATCAATTCGTCACATATAGTGTTACATGCAGACTCGAAGAATGAAGTCATTTTTCATGGATATCTATCTGATTATCGACCTTATTATTATTAACTGATAAAACGAGGTGATCAGCCACCGAGACAAACCATGGTGGTTTGGATTTGGGAACTGCAGATTAGTCTTGATTCCAGAAAACGAGCTCTGGGCTTTTTTCTTAGGCCCATGAAAGTAAGCCCAATACTTAACAGAAACTATAGAGTAATACCGCTAAAACTCTGTTATCAGCATTCAGCGCCTTGGAGCTTCCTGTTCTTCTTTTCCTCTCTTTCTTTCCCAACTCTGGTTATGGTGTAGATCAAAGCTACCGGACTGGCAATGGCTAAATCACAGGTAGCGTTCCCCAACCAATTTTCGACCTTCCTTTCCGGTACTGTTTTCCCGGGAGATTTTCCTGCTGAGATTGAGTTTTCCCGCTCCCGCTTGGCAAGGAAAGATCGGCTGTTTGGTTCCTCTGAAATCGACCCTAGACGTGGACACTTCGCTCCCAAACTTGCCGCTCTCCGAAGGCGCGAACTCCGTCGGCCGGGAGACTCTATCCGTCACCGACAAGAGAATCAGCCGCAACCACCTCACTCTCAGCGTTTCCCGCGACGGCGCCTCCGCCAATTTATCTGTGGTATTTGACATTTACTTTTGCCTACAATTTCCAGTTTCACTCGTTCGTTTCTTCCTTTTGCTCACTTTTAAGGCCGTGGAATATTCGGGATTAGGACGGGACGAATCCGGTTGTGGTCAAGTCGGGAGGTAGGAGGGAGAAGCTGAGCCGAGGGCAGAAAGTGTTAATTAAGAATGGTGATGTTATAGAGTTGATCCCCGGCCACCATTTCTATAAGTATCTTCCGGCGGCTGGCGAGAAGAGAGCTTATAATGGCAGCGGAGACGAGACTATCTCGAAGAAAATTAGGCGTTGCGGTGAAGCTCAGAGCTACAATGTGAGTGGAAATCTGTTTTTTTTAAACTGAACTATTGTTGCTCCTGCTTTTGGAAGTGGAAAATGGTGGTAACTGTATCAGTCTGTAGATTGAGCTGCGAAGTTGTGAGAATGGGAATAGTGAAGAAGCCATACGCGATTTTAGGGTTCCTGAGGACAAATTGCCGCTCACATTTCGACTCTTGAGGGTGAAAGGGCTGCCTCCATGGGCAAACACCTCTTCTGTTTCTATAAGTGATGTGATTCAGGTAATGGTGGTCTTCGCCTCAACTAGTCTGGAATTAGCATTTCCAAAGTACTCTTGAATGCCCAGCTTGATGGTTGGGTTTGTTTCTTTTTCCTAGGGAGATATTCAAGTTGCTATTCTGTCGAATTACATGGTGGATATGGACTGGTTACTGTCTGGTGAGAGTTCATTTTGGTACATGCTTGACAGCTTTTCTCTTGTTTAATTTGCGATGAGATGAGCTGAAAACTTGTCGTTGTATTCAGCATGCCCAACACTTTCAAAAGTTCCTAATGTATTGGTCATTCATGGGGAGGGTGAAGGCACTGTTGAGCAGATGAAGGTTTGCTCTGGATCTTTGTTACTTTTTTGCGCTCAGTTTTTGGCTACAAGACTTATGCTGGATTCTGATTGTTTTTCTAGAGAAGCAAGCCAGCAAACTGGATTCTGCATAAGCCACCCCTCCCCATTTCATATGGGACACACCATTCGAAGGCCATGCTTCTTGTGTATCCAAAAGGCGTTAGGATTATAGTTCACACGGCAAATTTAATTTATGTTGACTGGAATAACAAAACTCAAGGTCTGTGGATGCAAGATTTTCCCTGGAAGGACGAAAAGATTGCAAATAGAGGTTGTGGGTTTGAAAGTGATCTGGTTGATTATCTTAGCGCATTGAAGGTACTCCCTCACTTATTTGTCTTATTTTAATAGCCAAGTGTGAAAGCTTTCATGAGGTTTTTTAGTTTTCTTCTTGATTCGCTTCAGCTTTGAATTTATACAGTGGCCTGAACTCACGGCTAATATACCATCTCTTGGGAATTTGAAAATAAACCCTTGGTTCTTCAAGAAGTTCGATTATAGTGATGCACAGGTATGTTTCAAGTTTTCCCATGGCGGAATATATCTCAAGTATAGTGGCAATATATATGATGATGTCCTGTGTTTCTCAGGTTAGATTAATAGGTTCTGTACCTGGATATCACACTGGGGCTAATCTTAAGAAGTGGGGGCATATGAAGCTGAGAACTGTTCTACAAGAATGCACATTTGACAAGGAATTCCAAAGTTCTCCTCTTGTATATCAGGTAAAAAACAATTTAATGTTATAGGTAGAGTGTGGGTAAGCATGCCAAGTATCAATAGCAATAAGGAATAGTAAAGCAAATATGTGTAAAAGAGTGACTTTGTAGCTTTCTTTTCATTTGTGTTGGAAAAAAAAATGCATCTCGCTTGCTATTGGCCCCATTCATTGATTGTTGCAAGGATCAACAACAAAAGCTTCGACTCGAAACTTCCTCAAATACTTACACATGGCAATTTGATTCCACTTTATGATGTTGTTTTGGTGTTTATTGTTTTCCATTGATGCAGTTCTCCTCCCTTGGTTCACTGGACGAGAAATGGATGACTGAGCTGGCTACGTCTATGTCATCAGGAGTCTCAGAAGATAAAAAGCCACTTGGTCTTGGTGTTCCTCAAATAATATGGCCTACCGTGGAAGATGTCAGATGTTCTTTAGAGGTAATCAGAAGTAGATCATGGCTAAACTAGCCCTGTCTAGTGTTTTTATGCTACCGTTTAGAGTTCTTCTTCATAACCAAATATGCTAGAGTCGCAACTGTAAGGTTGTCTCCGCCTTTGGTAACCCATTGTTGTATCCAGGGCTATGCGGCTGGTAATGCTGTTCCAAGCCCTCTAAAGAATGTAGAGAGAGAGTTTCTGAAAAAGTACTGGGCGAGGTGGAAAGCTACACATACTGGTCGCTGGTATGTTCCTGAGGTCATTTCTTATGCAAATTTAAGCAATTAGAATCACAAATTCTTGAATTAATTTTCAATGTTTTAGACGTCTTGGCATTATAAACCCGTCCTTTGGGTATTTTGCAGCCGGGCGATGCCACATATCAAGACTTTCGCCCGCTACAGTGGACAGAAACTCGCGTAAGAACTCTTTTCATTCAGGTCAATTATATGAATGGTCATTGAAATTTGGGGTGATTAACAAATCATAAACTAAACTTTTGACTTTAAACATACTTCTCGCTGCTGTTTGGAATAGCTAACATAATCTTCACTTTATCCATCTCCGTCGAGACTTGGTGGCCAATTTGTTAGAGACCCCGAAGATGTCAACAGTGTTATTACGTGGACTGATTGGTGAACCTTGAATTTCTTACTTCATTTGAAGGGCAGTTGGTTCTTGCTAACTTCGTCAAATCTTAGCAAAGCAGCTTGGGGAGCCCTACAGAAAAATAATTCTCAGTTGATGATCCGTTCTTATGAGGTTCGCTCTCTCTCAACTAGCATATATAAATATATCAGAATGGTAGCTTCATGTCAACGAAAGTGGCGCTGTCTTCTTTTTTCCAGCTCGGTATTTTATTTCTTCCATCTCAAGCAACACGACACGGCCATGGATTCTCTTGCACGAGCCACAAGGTTTCGTCGGAGGTAAGATGGTCAAACCATGTTGTTAGGTACTCTTTTTCTCGCCTCATTTCCAGAAATAACGCACAAATCTCCTTTTGCAGGACAACAACCATCTCAGATCATCATCGTCATCCTCTCCTAAGAAAACAGAACTGGTGACTCTAACTTGGCAGGAGACATCAAACTCAACGTCATCGCCTTCAGAAGTGATCCAACTGCCGGTGCCTTACGAGCTCCCTCCTCGACCCTACTCGAAAGAAGGTCTCTCCCCCGTCCTCTATTTCTACTTTCTTGTCCTCCATCGGGTTTTCCTCTAATCGCCGATCTCTCCGTATGTTGTTGCTGTTATGCAGACGTGCCTTGGTCGTGGGACAGGAAGTACAGCAAGAAGGATGTGTACGGTCAAGTTTGGCCTAGGTCTGTACAGCTTTATGCTTCCCAGGACTAAACTCCTGTCATGCGTGGCTTTCCTTGTTTGAACTTGTTCCCGCCGGGAAGAAAGCTTGAATTGAACCAAGCCCGGTGTGGTAAATGCCATTTTTTTCTTGCGAATTGGAAGCCTGCAATCAATTGGGCCCCCGGTAGGCCCATGGTCCCACGTTAACGGGTCACGTAGCTAGGCCAGTTTCCATGATCACCACATGCACAAAAGTGTAGGTAACTGCCTGCGCCATTCCTCCGGCTGCTAGTACTGCCGCGAGTGAGGGTGGGCAAAGATCCGGTCACATTTGGATCATCGGATTGAATCAAACCAAATGAACCGAAAATGATTTTGGTCGGGTGTTAATCCTCTTTTATTTTTTTATCCAGTTCTAAATCTATTCGATATGATTCTGGACCGAATTAGCCGATGCCTGCCCCTAACCGCAAATACTCTTGTACTCCAATACAGCCGTACATTGTGTGCCATGACCAGATAGCGCTATGTCTTGGCTTTACAACAAAGTTGACGTTGATTATGTCTTTGCCAGATGTACTGGAAAGCTATGTATGAATACTTTTTGACGTTCTCATCTTTTCTTTGAGACGCAAATAAGGTTGCCCATTTTGTTGCGTGATAAGATCCCTTAGCCACCTTCCATCGTACCCTAAAATCCTATACTTCTGGACATTTAACCTACACTTATTGCATGTACGGACATTTCCATCTGCTTGAGAAGGAGAAGGAACCATTATCTCCTTCCTTCCCCCATTGCATCGATCTAATAAAAAGCCCCCGTCCATTCCGCTACTCAGTTGAGCCGAAATCGGATAATTCCGTTACAACCAAACAACAACAAATTCCCACCCTTTTCTCCCTCCATATTACTTTCTTCCACCGATCCTCTAATTCCTTACATATCCCTCCGCCTCCTTCCCCCGGCGCGCCGCCGCCGCAGCCAAACGAAGATATGGACGTGTTCGTGGAGACGAAGAGAGGCCCGCCGTTCTCCATCGAGGTGGGATACTACGACACCGTACTGAACATCAAGGAGAAGATCCACAAGTACCAAGGCATCCCCGTCCCCGCCCAAACCCTCTTCTTCAACGGCCACATCCTCCACGACGACCACCACGACGTCGAGCGCTGCGGCATCCTCCAAGACTCCCGCATTTTCCTCCACGTGTCCCCCGACCCCGCCGCCGCCACCGCCGAATCGGACCACCGTAGCAACACTACTCCCCACCACCACCACCACCCGACTCCAGCCCCATCCCCGTCCCCGGCTCCAACTCCTCCCACTCCGCCGCCTCCGCCGCCACCGGCGACATCCAAGATTCTGATCAAGATCAAGACCCCCAGAACGACGTCGCATCACCTCTCCCTCGAGATGGACCCCAACGACACCGTTTTGACCCTGAAGGAAAAGATCCAGGAGATCGAGTCCGTCCACGTCAGCAGGCTGGTCCTCCAATCCAACGGCGGCGGGCCCGAGCTGCAGGACCACCGCACTCTGCGCGACTGCGACATAACAAACAACTCCGAGATCTCCGCCACCGCCCGTCCTCCAATCCCCGCCCCGTCTCCTCCTCCCACCATATCCGCCGCCCCGGCGGCGGCGACAACCGTATCGGTTCCGACCGGGTCGGGCGGGTCCGGGTCGGGTTCGAGCGGAAGTAACAAGAAGCTGAAGCTGCTGGTGGTGACGAAATGCGCGACCAAGAAACTGCCCGTGGAAGTGAACGCAGGGGATAACGTCTCGGAGCTGAGGAAGGAGCTGCAGAGGCTGCATCAGAAGATGAATTTCCCGCTGCCGCAGGAGGGCTATTTCTTCATTTACAAGCAGAACGTGATGGAGGACGAGCAGTCGTTTCGGTGGCACCAGTGCGGCCAAGGGGACACGATTGAGATCTTCAATGGCAGTGTTACTGGCGGGTCCTAGTTACAGTCTTACAGATCGAGCAGGTTTATAATAGAGAAGAAATATTGTAGCTTGGTAGATGAACAATGGCGTGGGTAAAATTCTGGCATTTTCTAGAAAGATTTACTTGTGGTGGGCAATTTCATTTTTTTTGGTAACTGCCCATTTAGATTGAGATTGATTTGGGACGAATTTTGGTTAGCAAATTGTACGTATTAAGAGATGGAACTCTGATTTTTTGAAGGATTATGGGTATGATGAACAAATTAGTTACGATTACTCTCTGCTCGTGAAGCATTTTTTTTATGGGAATGTGACGATTGGAGTGTTCAGATTGATAGATTGCAATGGAGAGTATATGAGGTCTTGAGTAGATTAAATGATGGATAATATTTAGATGTTGATTCGTTACAAGATTTTTTTTATTGAATTCTGTAAGTTGTTCATTTTTAGTGTGATTGAATCTTGATTGAGTTCGGTTGAATTTGAACCCTTCTATTGTCGGAGGGATTTATAAAACTATGATACGATATAGAGTTGTTAGATACTTTACATTGTTGGTATCACATACGTGGTTGTCCTAATTAAAAAAAACGTTCATAAAAAACTCATTTTCGTGGATTATAGGCAGCTATATACCTTTGTTATTTTCCCATATGACTTGACTATTGATGGACACGATGACGAGATCGTCCTTTTTTTTGTCGAGATATCTTCTCAATAATAAGAGTATTCAAATACACAAAGTGTTATTGCGTAACCAAGAAACAAATCGAACCCCGTAACACTTTGGGTAGAAAAAATTGAATTTAAAGACCCCCAAATAAGTCATCCTATTATTTATTTCTACAACCAACGTAGATAGACATGGCAATCGGGTCGGGTTGGGGATTTCGGTTACGGGTCAGGTCATGTGTTGGTTGGCTGATTTTGGGTCAAATATTGACCCAACCCATTCGGTTTCGAGTCGGGTTACAGGTCATTTCGGGTTATGAGCGTTCTCAAAAATAATATTAAAAATGCTTCATATTTTCTTACAGAACACAAATGTTCACATATGCATGACAATAGTTTACCTAACACATGTCAATTAACATATACTCAAATCCTCCCACGCTAATGAAATGAAATACAAATTGCGCAAATCGTCAAAAAACAATCACAAGAGTGATACTACTACAAGAAACACATGATATTTGATTATCCTTAAACTCCAAAACTTGTCATTCAAATCCTTGTGATTTTTTTTAAACATCTCACCAATTTATGAGTGATTTTATCATTTTGGGAGTGATATATAAAATGGAACGGGTCTAACGGGTCGACCCGCTAACCCACTCAACCCAACCCAAAAAATTACGGGTTATCGGGTTGGATCATTCGAATTTCGGATTTCAAAAATTTATAGTTTTCGGGCGGTTTTGGATTGGGTCAATGAGTCGGGTTGTAATTTGCCAGATCTAAACGTAGAGAAGGTCAAACTGAGATGAACTATCAAGCATCTCGTAGACCTCGACTATTTCATCATTTTACAGTGCATTCCATACAAGGTTGTCAAACCGGTTTATACCATTGTGCCGGTTTGGCAAGTGGATTGGTACGCCCGGTGGTATATTCAGTTTGTGCCGGTTCATGCCGGTTTAAAAAAATATGAAAAAATTAATATCCAATGTATTTAATTATATATAAAACATATTTGTGGACAATTTAGTTACAATCCAACAAATATCATCAACTTTTAACTATTAAATTCATGAAATGAATAATAAATTAATTTTTATTAATTAAATTAACTGAAATGATGTCATTTTGCTTAAAATGCGTAAGTCGATCATACCAATCATACCAGTAGTGTCATACCGGTTTCATGACCGGCACAGGTTGAACCAGGTTCAACCGATTGGCATGTCACTAGCATGACAACCATGAATTTCCATATAATTAGCTAATAGATAAAGAGCAAAAGAGTAGCCCAAAGGGGGCCCAAGTAAGGTAGAGTCTAACATCGTTGGACTTTGAAAGCTACTGACATTCCCAACACACATCCCTAAGCCCATGGCCTCCATTCCCAATGGGCCCTAAAAGATGTCTATGGCTTTTCGGTTTATTAGTCGGTTTCAATTTATTGGGCCTCTATTCCACTTCACAATATCCCCAAATTGTGCTGTTCTTGCTTCTCGTCCCATATTCCCACCCACCACAGATAATAATAATTGATTAGTGAACAAATCGTCTAGAGCTAGTGCAAATATGTCATCACGATCACAAGATATCTTCTCAATTATTTATCCAATTTTTGTTTATTAAACTACAATACCTGGCTGGGCCCATCAGACTATTAAAGTAAGAAAGCCCACTTGCACATCTAATCTATTACCCAAACCCAATCCAACCGAATATCTAATTCCACTCACAATCCCAAAACCAATAAACAATTCAACAGGCGGTCACCATCCCTCATTCCGTCCCTTTCAAGCTCCTAACTCCGTCTAATAACCGAGCAATTATCCGGCCAGTGCACCTTCCACCCAGCTACCACCAGTCCACCACCATCGTCCTTTTCCCGCGGAAAGCGCCAACTAACGCCGTGAATTCCAGCGGCAGAAAAGAGGGAAAAAAAAAACAAACAAACGCCATAATTCTTATCAACGGCGTGACCTCGTCATTATCGGAGAAGATTCCAATTCCGAGACGGAAACCAACGGCAACCAAACAATCCCTTGCCGTGTCAACTAGGCCAGAGAAAGAGACGCCGACGATCACGTCATTCCATACACGTGTCGGATTTGTAATGGCTCGTCCATGACCAAGGCGGTCCTTCCTCATCTATAAATCGGTTCCCAATCCCTCCTTCTATCTTCACAACTCATTCATAACACCGATCTCTCTTATCAAATCTTCGATTCAGAGCTTTCTTTCTCTCAGTTCCTCTCAAGGTATCATCTCAGCTTCCTCTTTCCTGTTTTTGTTCTTCCTGCTCTATAATCTCGATTGTATTTGGATTGTACGATTAAAATCTCTGGGTTAGGGTTTGTTTATATCTCTATATTGGTTGGTGATTCGCCTGGAGATTGTTTCGATCTAGGACTAGGAGTTAGGGTTTCTCTAATTCATAGTACTGTAAAGTAGATCGTCAGAAGTCTTGTTGCTCAAGGGTCTAGATTGTTGAATTGGTGTATCGTCGATTCAGGTAATTTTGATCGGGTTTTGCTGAATTGCGATTCTTTGATTCTGTGATATCCAGATGCAGATCTTTGTTAAGACGCTCACCGGAAAGACCATCACTCTCGAGGTCGAGAGCAGCGATACCATCGACAACGTCAAGGCAAAAATCCAGGACAAGGAGGGGATCCCTCCGGACCAGCAGAGGCTGATCTTCGCCGGCAAGCAGCTGGAAGACGGAAGGACCTTGGCTGACTACAACATCCAGAAGGAGTCGACCCTTCACCTGGTTCTCCGTCTGCGTGGAGGCATGCAGATCTTCGTCAAGACCTTGACCGGAAAGACCATTACTTTGGAGGTCGAGAGCTCCGACACCATAGATAACGTCAAGGCGAAGATCCAGGACAAGGAGGGAATCCCTCCGGATCAGCAGAGGCTCATCTTCGCTGGAAAGCAGCTCGAGGACGGAAGGACTCTTGCTGACTACAACATCCAGAAGGAGTCAACTCTCCATCTTGTGCTGAGGTTGAGGGGAGGTATGCAGATCTTCGTCAAGACCCTGACTGGAAAGACCATCACTTTGGAGGTTGAGAGCTCCGACACCATTGACAATGTTAAGGCAAAGATCCAGGACAAGGAGGGCATTCCCCCGGATCAGCAGAGGCTTATCTTCGCCGGTAAGCAGCTGGAGGATGGAAGGACCCTTGCTGACTACAACATTCAGAAGGAGTCAACCCTCCACCTTGTGCTGAGGTTGAGGGGAGGTATGCAGATCTTCGTCAAGACCCTGACTGGAAAGACCATCACTTTGGAGGTTGAGAGCTCCGACACCATTGACAATGTTAAGGCAAAGATCCAGGACAAGGAGGGCATTCCCCCGGATCAGCAGAGGCTTATCTTCGCCGGTAAGCAGCTGGAGGATGGAAGGACCCTCGCTGACTACAACATTCAGAAGGAGTCAACCCTCCACCTTGTCTTGAGGCTCCGGGGAGGTATGCAGATCTTTGTGAAGACTCTGACTGGGAAGACCATCACCCTCGAGGTCGAGAGCTCTGACACCATCGACAATGTCAAGGCCAAGATCCAGGATAAGGAAGGCATTCCCCCAGACCAGCAGAGGCTGATCTTTGCCGGCAAGCAGCTGGAGGATGGGAGGACCCTTGCTGACTACAACATTCAGAAGGAGTCAACCCTCCACCTTGTCCTCAGGCTTAGGGGAGGTATGCAGATCTTCGTGAAGACCCTTACTGGAAAGACCATCACTTTGGAGGTCGAGAGCAGTGATACCATTGATAACGTGAAGGCTAAGATCCAAGATAAGGAGGGTATCCCACCAGACCAGCAGAGGTTGATCTTTGCAGGGAAGCAGTTGGAGGATGGAAGGACCCTTGCGGATTACAACATCCAGAAGGAGTCCACTCTCCACCTTGTCCTGCGTCTTCGTGGTGGCTTCTAAGTGGTGTTGATTCACTGGTCTGTGGAAGGAGGTTGTTGAATGAATGTTTCGAAGTTCCTGGGTTGGATCTGTTTCAAGTTTTTCTCTTTCAGTAATGTGTTGGCCATTGTGGCCGTGTGAACTATGTCTTTCATTTATGTTGTTGGATGAGGTTGCCCAATGGCTCCTCTGTTAAAGTCTTCATCTTTCGGTACTGTGTTGGCCATGGTGGCCTTGTGAACTTTGTCTTTTCTTTCTGTTGTTGTTGAATAAAATGCCCTTGTTGTATCAAGGGATGTTTCATTATCTGGTGTTGGTAGTTCTTAATTCTTATGGGATGATGGTTGCAAGATGTTTGTTTTAAGTTTGCTGCGATGACTGGGGTGGCCTTTGCAGAGTTCTGTCTCTTTTTAGGCCGTGGAGGGTGGATTTTCATCCGATTGAAAAGCAAAGCTTGAAACTGTGTTCCGAGTCTGGTGAAATTTAGTACCTGTTTTGGTTTACTGGTCTGCTTGTGTAGCGTTTTGGTTTGGCAAAGTTCGAACCTCGTATCTGCTTCAGTGAGTTCTCTCATTAAGACTGACATTCATCAGCGGCATACAAATGGGGTTTCTAGTTCATATGAGTAGCAATTAGTGTACCAATCTAACGCTCTGGTAACTGGTAAGCCAACTTAATCAACAATTTGAAGTGGTACTTGCTTCCTTGGTGGATTATCGGCGTGAAACCTTACTTGAATTTCAAAAGATTTAACGCGAAAATGTGAATCACTATAGTTTTTAACTTGACGAAGCTATAAGAGAATGTAAACGAGATTCAAATCGCCCTTGAACTGCATCAATGAAAAAACTAACCAACTACGAACGTTAAGAGCTATAATTTCTCGAATAAGTCAATCACCTCAACCTGGCAAAAAAAGCATCATTTTTCAGTTTCTGATGTTACAAAACGTTAGATTGTACTTACTTCTTTCCCTGTATGAACATCACAAATATACTACTCGTGCAATTAAAAATAGTTGCTTCGAGCTGGTGCAAGCATGGCATATCGCTAAGAATATATCTTATAGGTCATCTATAAGTTCATGCGCCATTGTTTTTTCCCCCTCAACAAGGAGCTACCTAAACCCACCAAAACCAGGAACTCCTAATCTACCCCCAACACCCCCACTTGTCAATATCATAATTAGATACTAAATTACAAGGAATCTACTTTGTTGGTTCCTGCGTGTGAGCTGTGTTGTTAGCCTGAACGTTTCGACGATTTCAATAGTTGTCCTTATGTGAACTCTACTATCGATATAATTAAAGTAGATATCTTACCAAATAAACTCACGATTAGCTTAGGGCTGTCCATTTGGTTTTGGTTTTTTGGTTTTAACCGAAACCAAACCAATTGTAAAGCTAATGGTTTCAGTTTTTTGGTTTTAAACCAATAAGCAACTTAATGGTTTTGGTTTGGTTAAAACCGAAAAACCAATAGAAACCATTAAGAAACCAATAAGAATAAAATTATTTATCAACAAATATTTTTTTGTTTGGTTTCTTTTGACACGCATGCCAACCAATAATTTGTAATGGCCATTTACCATTATTATGACGTCTGTTCAATAAAAATGAAGGAAATATGGTTTTTTGGTTATCCAAACCAAAACCAAAACCATTAAGGTCCTTATTGGTTTTGGTTTTTGGTTTTTCATACTTAATGGTTTGGTTAACCAAACCAAACCAAATTGAAAGCCCTAGTTATGCTACACGTTAACCATGGACGAGTCAGTGGGATATCTTGGACGAGTTGGTACTACTCTTTATTCTCATGAGATAAAAGTTGACGCGAAGACTCTTGGAAGGTCTCAAATTAGCTCAAAGATATGGATCCGAGTGTGTTGTTCCCAAAGTACTGTCAGTCTGTTGGCCTTATGGCGTTTATTCTCGGAAGTATCCCACAAATCAAAGTCAATAAAATTTCCAGAAAACATAATGCGAGAGCGAATTGTAGTTGCTCGTTTCTCTTAGCTAGATCATCTCTACCAAATTACTGATCCAATATTATGTACTTTTAATTTCTTCTAAAATGTGTCTGGTGAATGCCACATTTGGTCATTGGGATTACTAAATCGTGTTTTATTTAGTCACCAGTAAAAAATTAATATTAATTTTGTTCACTCGAATTACTAAAATAGGTCACATTTAGTTACTCTCCCGTTAGTCTCCGTCCAACTCCGATCACTCGAATTACTTTTTTTTATGGATGTCACTCGAATTACTGAAAGATGTCACATTTAGTCACTCTCCGTTAGCCTCCGTTCAACTCCGTTGTTTCATTAAAAAAAAAAGTAATTCGAGTTATCAAAATTGATGTTAATTTTTCTAATGACTAAACATGAGATGATTTAGTAATCTCAATAACATCATTTACCCCAAAATGTGTCTATCATATAACTTAATTAACGTTGGAATGAAGTTGATTTTACCGTTAAAAAATCGTCCACGACCACCAGCCACCAGGATAACCACTTTAGACCATACCCATTTAGATATCTCAAAGTCATCGTGCCAAAGGGCCCCATCAAAGTATAAAAATCCAAAAGCCCACTTGGAAAACGAATATTACCAAACCCAATCCACTCAATTATTGGCCATCCAGAAGTCCACAATCAAAAAGGAAAAGTAATTGTGTACCAAAAAAAAAAAGGAAAAGTAATTTGGTTTTAGTGGCTAAATAAAAAGGAAAAAATAATTCAATTAAAATAAACAGCAATAATTTCCCCTCGGCCAGCCGGCCACCATTGATCCGTCGCTTTCTCAGCCTTTGACTCCGTCTAATAACAGAGTTTCCGATTCCGTCGCGAGCAGCCCAGGGCATTCCAGCTCCTTCTAGTGTAGTCTGCGTAAACCGTCGTCGTATTAGACTGCAACCCGCCAACTAACGCCGTGAATGCCCGCGGGAAGGAACAAATTAACTTTCCCGGAAAAATATAAAACAAACAAACGCCATAATAGCCATCAACGGCGTTAAGTTGGGCCCTCGTAATCATCGAGAGAAAATTCCAACTTCGAGACGGGAGCGGAGAACATACGTGTCGCCTTCCTATTGGTTGGAAATAATCGAGTCGGCCAATCTCCCCGCTATAAATCGAACCCCCCAATTCATCCTTTTCTTCACCACAATTCAATCTCAAGCAAACTGATCTTCCTAATCAATCTCTGATTCAGAGCTTTCTTCTCAAAAACTCTCAAGGTAAAAGATCTTGAACTCGATCCCTTCTCTGTCTTTCTGTTCTTGTTTCTCTTCGAATTCTGGTTTCTCGTTTATTCGGTGAAAGAAGCGTTCGATCTAAGAACACCAGGGTTTCTTCTTTTCGTTCGTCAATTCAATAAGATATTCGGGAAGGATTCTGGATATTGGAATTAGGGTTTATTCGTTCTGTTTATTTTGATATTCGTTCTGTTTATTTTGATAGTATTCAATCATATAATCGCGAAAAATTCTGGATTTTGGAGTTAGGATTCTTCCTTCTGTTTGTTTGATCTCGTATGTTGAATCTACGCCTGCCCGTCCATCGATTTTGGTAATTCTTTGCTGGATTGCTGAATTAGGGCTATTCGATTTTCTGGTTTACAGATGCAGATCTTTGTTAAGACCCTCACCGGGAAAACTATTACTCTCGAGGTCGAGAGCAGTGACACCATCGACAACGTTAAGGCGAAGATCCAGGACAAGGAGGGGATTCCTCCGGATCAGCAGCGGCTGATCTTCGCCGGGAAGCAGCTGGAAGACGGGAGGACCTTGGCGGATTACAACATCCAGAAGGAGTCGACCCTCCACCTGGTTCTCCGTCTGCGTGGAGGCATGCAGATCTTCGTCAAGACCTTGACCGGAAAGACGATTACTTTGGAGGTTGAGAGCTCCGACACCATTGATAACGTCAAGGCCAAGATCCAGGACAAGGAGGGGATTCCTCCGGATCAGCAGAGGCTCATCTTCGCTGGTAAGCAGCTGGAGGATGGAAGAACCCTCGCTGACTACAACATCCAGAAGGAGTCCACTCTCCATCTGGTTCTCAGGCTGAGGGGAGGTATGCAGATCTTTGTGAAGACCTTGACTGGGAAGACCATTACTTTGGAGGTTGAGAGCTCAGACACCATTGACAATGTCAAGGCGAAGATCCAGGACAAGGAGGGCATTCCCCCAGACCAGCAGAGGCTTATCTTCGCTGGCAAGCAACTTGAGGATGGAAGGACCCTTGCTGACTACAACATTCAGAAGGAGTCTACCCTCCACCTTGTCTTGAGGCTCAGAGGTGGTATGCAAATCTTTGTGAAGACTCTGACTGGCAAGACCATAACTTTGGAGGTGGAGAGCAGCGATACCATTGACAATGTCAAGGCTAAGATCCAGGACAAGGAGGGCATCCCACCAGACCAGCAGAGGCTCATCTTTGCAGGAAAGCAGCTCGAGGATGGCCGAACTCTGGCCGATTACAACATTCAGAAGGAGTCCACTCTCCATCTGGTGCTGAGGCTCAGGGGAGGAATGCAGATCTTTGTCAAGACCCTTACTGGAAAGACTATCACTTTGGAGGTCGAGAGCAGTGACACCATTGATAATGTCAAGGCCAAAATTCAGGACAAGGAGGGTATCCCACCAGACCAGCAGAGGCTGATCTTCGCTGGCAAGCAGCTTGAAGATGGAAGGACTTTGGCGGACTATAATATTCAGAAGGAGTCCACCCTCCACCTTGTCCTGCGTCTGCGTGGTGGCTTCTAAAGGGTTCTAAGTCTTGTTCCGGTGCTGCTGTCGCTGTGTCTGTTGATGATGGCTTTGAAGGTTGTTGGATTTATCATGGATGTTTGAAGATTGTTTTTTAAGTTTCTGGTGTTCATGAGGTAGCCTAATGGCTCCTCAAGTTTCAAGCTTTGTTTGTTTCAGTTCTATGTTGGCCCTGGTGGCCTTGTGAACAGCTATTTCTCTTTCGGTTTTCTGTTGAATAATAATATCTGAAGTATTTCGTGTCTATGGTGATTTCTTTTCATTTAGATCCTCACGGTGAATGATTTCTGCAACTCAACTTACTAGCCCTCTGGATCAATGAACTTCTAGTGTTGTGTTCTAAATTTGCCATGCAAGAGCTTGGAATCACGACTTGTAAAAGTATTGATCTACTGTCGGTTGAAAACCAAACAACCTCACAATTCCTGATGCAGTTGAATCTCAGGCTACACAGTCTGCTGAAAACTTGTTAAGTCTCGAAGGTGAGATGGTCAATTTTCTATATTCTTCGGTTGGGTAGAAGACTGTCGAAAGCATATTTTGATAAGGGCGCCATCTGGATATTGATCAAATAGCTATCATGTAGTCACTTTCACAAAGTTTAGGGAGACAATGACTCAACAATGGCCAAAGAGCCACTCCATTATCTTTTTTTAACTGGTACCATCCTCCTGGTAGAAAGAGGCTTCGCTTTTCCAAGAAGGGTCTCCTTCATCCAACTGTTCGTAAGCTGGAAACTTTGGCTAAACTAAAAGAGGCTCGCTCGCCTGTCGGTCAAAACCTACCATTCTTGCTTAGACTCCCATACCTTGCTTCCTATTTAGTAGTAAGATTGACACTCGAGTTGCACAGACAGCAAAAGCCTTCCTTTTCTTACAATTAAGTTTTCACAATCCTTCCTGCTCACGGATTGTTTCCATATGGCCGGCTCCAAGCATTCTACCTCGCCTTGTCGTGATGCTTTAGACAATCCTCAAGGTGACCAAGTTTGAGAAGTTGGTTAATATTCTCACTGGTGTTATCAAGTCTGATTGGTTGCTCGTTCCTCGTTGTCAGTGCTTGATACAGAGATGGAACAGAAACTAGAGAAAACAATCGAGTTCTCGGACGATGAGGAGTCTCTCATAATCAGGATGTACAATCTTGTTGGAGAGAGGTGTGTTTCCTCCATCTTTGCGGCCTCGGTTTAGGACAAATTACCAATCACCTTACCTCTATTTCTTTGGAGTTGTTCATGCAGGTGGCACCTGATCGCAGGAAGAATCCCTGGAAGAACAGCTCAGGAAATTCAAAAGTACTGGAACTCCAGATACTCCACAAGCGAATGAAGCCTAAATGCATGTGCCTTCTGTGTAAGAGACCTTGTTGGACTAGCATTTTCGATAGTTCATTGAATTGTCAATTACGGCTAAGGAACAGAATATGAGTTTCAGTGAAAATGAATTAAGATCATCATCTTTACAGCTACAGTTTGATATCATGTCAAGTACACTAGTTAGTTACAAGGTGGTTTCAATACATCAATCATCTCGCAAATTATCCGACACGCAAGCACGAAAAACAACCAAGTTGTATGATTTGTCTCCGTTGCATCGCTTGAGCTTGAAGCACATGGTATTCCCCAGGTTCAGATCATACATTGCTCTGTTTGTAAACCTTCGTGTCCAAGACTTGCTTACCGCACATTGCACAGACTCCTGAGAAACAACATCCATATACATCAGTTGCTCAGCAGTGCACAGAGCAGAAAATATGAACCACAAGAAAGGAAATTGATCAACACTTCGAAAGAGTAATAATGCGGCTGCGATAACTAACGCACCTTTGGTATAGGCACAGGTGTGGCAGTACTTGGCCTCCTGGTGCGTTTGTTGCTTGCAGACCATGCACTTGGTATTTCCATAAGGTGTCCATCTGAAACAAATACATTTACTGAGTTATTCATCTAAAAGGAACAAACACATTTGCAGTGCTTGTAAGATTTTGGCCAAATGATTTGAAAGATCTGCTAAAGATGACAACTTTAGACACATTCCCTTTAACATACGCAACAGGTAACCAGCATCAACCTATCCTTCCTGATTCCTAGACCGGCAATTCCCAAGTCGTTCATTTGGGACGCCTAAGAATCGAGTTACGAACATGGTAACTACACATCAAGAGAAGAAACTGAACGTTGTATCAGATGGCCCGTCAGCTTCGTCCCCTACAATAAGCAGCACTATCTCCCCTATTTGGTCTCACAACGCAAAAGCTCTGAATGAAACAAAGGCACATGATTAGTGAGAGCAATATGACAGTAGAACCTGAATCTCCCAAAGCTGCTACCATTGACACTAAGGGAAAAGGGGCAACCCTCGAGATTAAGTTACTTGAAACTTGTGAGTTTCCCCCTTCTCTAATGAACATTGGTAACGCTAAAGCTAAGAGGAAATTAAGCCTGTGCAGGGTAAACCCCAGAGAAGGAAGGGGAAAAAAGCCATACCGGTTTTTCTTGGAGAGGAGCTTGTTCTCGTTGATCTTCCGGCCGCCGCTTTCGTAGGTGTTGGAAGCTCCTTCCTTCCATTTATCGGGAACTATCACCCTCGTCAGCTTCTTCTCGCCTGAATCAAAACAGAATTCCATGAAATTGCAGCCACAATCTGAATCAAAATCGCTGGAAAGGGAAGGGGAAAAAAAGACTTACACTTGGCGCAAACCATCGTCGGATAGCAATCTCTTTTATTCTCTCTTCTCGCCGGAACCCCAAATCGCCAATCCCTAATCACAATCCGCCGGAGAATCGGAGAATCCAGGAAAAAAGATTGTTACAGTGAGGAGCTGAATTGGCTGAACTAGCCCCGGGAAAAGTTGTTACTCTCCGAGTTCGTATCCGGGTCGGGTAGTAACTAACAACAAAACGGGTATTGGAGCGCTTGCCCCAACCAAAAGCCCATACTTAGCATGATAGCATCTCTCGACCCACCTGCTACTTTTAGTGATTATCACAAAAAGCCCATACTTAGCATCTCTTGACCAACCTGCTCATTTCAGTGATTATCTTAGTGTGACATTTCAGTAGGAGACCTTTTGAAATAAATTCGTTACGACTCCATTTTGTAATGTTTTGTAATAGTCATGACATGAATCTAATATGTTTCCAGAAATCTCTTATAAATATAAAGATATATGTGGCGTATTCGGTGCACTCATTTTTTCGGGTACACTCAGTGCACCCGCCTCATAATTGTCATTCTGAGCATGCGATTTATGTCAAAACGGTATCAATTGTTGCTTATGGTATTATGAACAAGAAGCACATGAATTTGAAAAAAAATTCATTCAAAATTTACTTTAATTCAAAGGATTTAGGATTTAGGGATTTAGGGTTAGGGTTTAGGTTTACAATTTTGGATTTTGGGTTGGAGTTCAAAATTGAAGGTTAAGGGGTTAGGGTAATATATTGATTTGTTATTATTCTATGTCATATCATCATATTAGATCGAGAGTACTAATTAAAGTTCGAAATTTGATATATTATGGAAACTTTTAGAGTTGGGTGTACTGAGTGCACCGAAGTAGCCACTGTATTCCAAGAAATCATTTTACTCAACTTTATATATATTTAGTGAAGTTTTCAGCTAACAATATCGACCCAATCTGTTGAAGAGATTCAAACTCGAGTTGTTCAAAGCACGACCAAAAAATAATAAAACTAATTCAAGCTTGGGCTACTAATCATTAAACAAATAATAATGAAATAAATAATGAGAGAAGAAAGAGGGGAAAAAACATCCAAAAAATGCAAATCCAAATTACACATTTTACACAAAAGTCTACTCAAAACGCTGCCGTTGCTTCCCAAAAAACGTGGTATTATATGAACCAACAAAACCATCTCTCCCCGCCGGCCGGCCGGCCGGCCCCTGTTTCACTCCCAAGGGCTCATCGAACACTCCTCCGGCAGCGTCGGGAACCTCTCGGTGTCCTTACAGTAATCGTAAACCACCAGGTTCCTCTCCACCCACGCGAAATCCATCTTCTGCGCGTCCGACAAGTGCCACGCGTCGTACTGGTCCCACCAGTTCTCCGTCGTCGTCGAGACGCAGTCCGGGTACGGGTCGACCCACTGGCACCCGTCGACGCTGAAGTCCTTGTACGCCGACACGAACGGCGCCTTCTTCCAGTCGGTCTTCTCCAGCCCGCCGCGCGTCGCCCAGTCGTCGGCGTTCCAGATGGAGGAGAACAGGTACATCGGCTTCTCGTTGGGGAAGTAGTTGTTCGGCTTCCCGTTGTTCTTCATCACCCGCACCGGCACTCTGTCCACGAAGAACCTGCAATGTAATTTTTTTTTTCTTCTTCTACCGTTAGTAATTGATTGAATTCAAATAACAAATCGAGATCGAGATAGTTAAAGGTAGTCAAAATCGCGTTTTAAATTTCGAAATTGGGGAGCTTACACTAGCTGATGGTCGTTCCAGAGGATGGAGTAGGTGTGGAAGTCTTCGGTCGGGTCGAACCAGAGGGCGTGCCTCATCTCTCGGTTCCCTGTTCCGTTCTTGTACACATTGGTTTGAATCAGATACGGTTCGCCGGTTCGATTCCCGAGGAACTCAATGTCCACTTCGTCCCTCGTTGGCCCTGCCGCTGTCTCTGTGCACATCTGCAATTAAATCGATTCAATTCACATCAATCGAGCCGAAAAATCAAACCGTTCGGCGACTCAACCATCTTGATCGACAGTGACTCACGTAATAAGCCGTGACAACTCCGGCCGAATCGCCGCCGACCAGCTTCAGTTTCATGCTGAACCACCCGAATCTGTAGCTCTGCTTCGTCTGAAAACCGCACCCTGTGAATGACAAACCAAGTTAGTGTAAAAAATCGATACGATCGGGTCAAATTGAAACGCACAAAATCAGCTACCAATATCGCAATGACATCTTTTTCTTCTTTCTAATAATGTGGATCGCAATGACATCTTTTTCTTCTTTCTCCGGCGGCAGCAACAATTGGTTACATACCTGTTTGTTTGTCCAAGGAGAGGTACCAGATCTGGCCGTCCTCCGACGTCTTGAAGTGCTCCTCGGAGAACATGATGTTGAAATTGTCCTCGAATGCGCCTTTCGCAACCGCCCCTTCCGCCGCCGGAGCGGAAGGAGATGCCAGGACGGCGGCGATGAAGAGAAGAGCTGCTGCTGCCGCCGGAGAAAAAGCTCTTCTCTCCATTTTTCTCGGAATGATCTCACGGAAAGAAGCAGAGAAGTGAGATGGGAATGAGGGATATGACAGTAGCGAGAAGAAAAGTATTAAAAGGCAGAAGCACATTTCGATGTCCTCCCACATGGCTCGAGGGGCAAAACGGGGAAATCAAGTGTGGTTGTATTATTGTTCGTAAATAATTGAGGCAAGTGATCGGACGTTGCCGAATTTGCCCCCTGGAAATAATGTACAGCCATATGGTAGGTGATGGTTGGAATGACGAGCTTAGCCTTCTTGTTTTATTATTCTGTGGGACCCATGAGGCCAGGCTGGCAGCTGGCTGCTCTCCACGAAGAATGTGAAAGAGTGGGAGGTGGGTGGGACCCATATGTTCCATCTAGGGACTCGTCGACTCGACAACTTCGAAATGTTACTCTTTTTTTTTTTGGGTAAGAATGTTACTTTGATCTAATTTGCCGAATTTACGTTTTAGTCTTCTCATTTGTTTATAATAAAAATATGTAAAATCCTATCCTAGATCAAAATCGAGAAATTGACATTTCAAAGTATTATGAAGATTATAATTGTTTAGAAAAAATTACAAAAAATTATATATCCCTACCAATTTAACTGATAATACATGGTTTGACTAATATGATTGGTGGATGTGCTATTACAAATACTAAATTTAATACTTTTATCAAATATATAAAAACAATGACCACCATATAAAAGTAAACATATCTGATAAATTATTTCTTTTACTTTCATATTTTCATTGATTCATTCTAGATCTTCTCTTCTAACATTATATGTTATCGTAATAAGAATATTGGTCGAGTTGCTAAATCTCCTGCATAGGATTCGGAATTTTACTCCCTCATAACTAGATTCAAATCTCCGATTTTCATGTTCTAGTTAGGAACTTGTTTTGTATGCAAGCCACTAGCAATGAAATGATAATTTCTTGTAAAAATTCATTGATCTTGTCTTTTGATTAGTGGTGACAAACGGTAAGTTGGTAATCGGTTTACTGTTTTACCAAACCGATAACCGATGATTAACGGTAAATCGATTATCGATGGTATCGATAGTCGATTGTGAAATGGGGAAGTTCGATATACCGGCCCTAGTTACGGTAATTACCGCCGGTTAGTCGGTAATACCGATATCGAGGACCAGTGCGCTGCGTTTTGGCCAACATCCCTCAAAACCCTAAAAGTGAATCCCTAATCCCTTCGTTTCCACTTTCGCCGCCCTCTCCTTCTCCTCTCCGCTTCTCCTGTCTCGACCGACAACCACGCAGCCCCCCAAATCGAAACCCAGCTAGACGAGCGACCGCCACTTTCCCCGCCACCTCCTCCTGTGCCTCTCAGAAAAATCAAAATTTTACAACCTGCCTCCCACTGCCCAGAATTTCGGTTCGGTAATTTACCGGTAATCCGAACCGAAAACCATCTGCAGCCCCTCCTTGCGGTGAATCGGTAAAACCAGTTTGTAATCGTTTACCGGACATTCGGTAACCGATAAACCGGTAACCGTATCCAATTTCCCCTCCCCGTGATCAACATACAGTTTACAGGGTCGATCGGTAACCGATTTATCGATTACCGACCGATTGTCACCTCTACTTTCGATGACATACGATAATCCATTGATCTTGGTTCTAGGTAATAAATACTATCATTACAAAACAAATTAACAACAACCTGAATAATAGAAAGTAAAGAGGGTAGATCTAAAATACATTCACCAGGAACCACCAAGTAAAGCATGCTGTTTGTTTTTTATTGGATTTGTGTAACATGGTATATAGTAAGTTGACTGTTGCGAAGTCTACCATCGAGAATTCGATTATAGCCGTTGCATGCTTTGGTCCTAATTTAATTGCTAGCCACTTCTTAGTTGACTAATCACGGTCCACACTAATAAGTAATTCCATCACAAATTTATAATAATATTGGTTGAAGATGGCTGAGAAAGACTATAGTAGTTTTAATGGAGATGGTTATTTTCTTATTGGGTAGCTTCCTTGAGAGATTTCATGTCGACCTTTCTCTAACGATAGAGGGTTCATAGATAACACTATGTATGTTAATTTGATTATGAAGTGTTTCTCCATGTTGTTTATTAGGGTAAGTGTCCTTTCAACACTTGTAATGGTAACTAATAGAAACATAAGCCACAAGTGTTGAGTCTTTTTTATAGATAAAACTATGTTAATTATGGGTTTAGAAAAGTAAGCCAACTTTTGTAAAGACCAGTTAGTAAATGGTATATGATTCATAATTGAACATCTCTTAAAAACGTGAGTTATAGAGATTAAGTGGATCTTGATATGGTATCAGAGCATTTTGTTATCGATAGGTCTTTTGTTCTAATCCCGATGACAAGCACATGATGTATCTAATGCTTCTGCAAACTTCAACCTCATATATATTAGACGGTTTTTGTTTTACGGGGTGTGTCAAATGATATATGATCCATAATTGAACTTCTCCCAACAACTCGAGTTATTGAGACAAACTGGTTATTCACAATTTGGACTCAGTTTGGACCCTGTAAGTGCAAGATCGATCTATCACTTATCGACAACTAAGCTGAATGAAACATGTTTAGTCTTTCTTCATGGAGAATGAGTACTCATTCTCGATCTTATAAGTACTCATTCTCGATTTTATAAGGATCCTCTTACTAGTTATGACTTAATTATGAGATTGTATGTATTGGACTTCTCTATTGATCTAGGTTATAGTTAACTTCTCAGGCGTGATATATCTCAATCTTCCTAAAAGGTTAATAAAACCATTAATCCTTTCGAAACATAAAATGTTAATTATTAACAAATAAACTCTAAATTCATCATGTTGATTTCAGAAAGTATAACAAAGGGAGCAGTGATCGACATTATTGGCGTAGTGGTGGGACGCATTTTGGTTGTTTTTTCTTTCCGACTATTATTTTTATAAGCATAAATGCATAATAATAACACGTAATTGTATAATAATGATGTTAATAATTATCATATACACAGCTAATATCCAATGCAATCTCACATGAACCCACTAGCGTCACTCACGTGTTAATTGGTAGTAGGAGACGTCGGTGAGTAAAGAGGATTAAAGAATGGTTCCCCCAAAGCTGATTAATCTCCTTGTCTTATTTGGAGATTTGGGCTCTATATTATTATTGTTATGATGTCTGGTTTGTAGCAATCAACGCGCACCAGGAGATAGCAAACTCGTTAATGTCTTCAACTTAGAATGGTCTCTAATAAAGATGCGAAGGTAGCAGTGTTGACATATACAGCAACAAAGCAAATTTGCATATGCTTTCGACCTTATCCCATTCCTTTGTATTCGTATTTAGTACGAAATATCAAAATTATTTGTGCGTCTCACCTTGCTATGCAAATTCACTTTAGGTTTGATGCGATGCTCATTGTCTGAACCCAGATCATGTGCAATTTAGGGGTGGCCAACGGGAAACGGGTATTTGGGTATACCCATACCCATCCCATTTTTAGAGGGTTACGGGTACTCGTAATATTATTAACGGATGAGACTTGAGATTGTACATTCTTACATTGGCTACCCGCGGGTTACCCGTAAATACCCGTTTGGGTAATATGGGTACCCGTTATACCCATTCCTGATATACCCGTTATGCTTTTGCTGCTTAGCTGATATGGTTTCCCCTTTAATTTTGTGATTTGCTGATTATTTTGTGTTTAAAGTTTTAATGAAATTGTTGAATATATTGTACTGGCTGTTAACAAACCCCACTCCCTCACTTACAATCATGTATGCTATTCCCCTGTACATTCGGTGCTATGTTATATTCCTTAGTTTAGAGCTTTCTGTTAATTGCCCATGTATATATTCCTTTCCAGATTAACGAGAGCATAAATCTTTTTCCCTATTCTTCTGTTACCCTTTATATTGCAGGCTGCAGCGGTCAGCGGAACTGCAAAACAGCAGCAGCTTGGTGCTTGGAACTGTCAACCTTAATACTGAAGTTGGAATGCTTTATTTCTATTTTGTGATTGTTCATGAATTTGTATTTTGTAAGCCGAGTATTTGTGATTGTGTGATTGGGATGGATTTTATAATTTGTATTGATTTTGTGATTGTTAAGCATGTACAAGTTTTTAAGTTTAAATTTTTGTTAGAGTTTGAGTGATTCAATTTTTGGGTATTTATGGGTAGTTTGGGTACCCATTGTCCGTCCCGTACGGGTAACGAGTACCCGTTTACCTGTACGGGTTTGGGAATGGGATGGACTTTACTCTTAAAATGGGATCGGGTACCCGTTTCAAACGGGACGGGTATCCCATCCCATCCCGTTGTCCACCCCTAGTGCAATTGGATATGACATAAAACTTTTTTGAAGAAAAATTATAAATAATAAAATAAATAAAACAAGCCACCCATTGAATGCGCACGAAACTGGTATTCTCAAAAATATTTGTTTGTTTTGCTGGTGGTAAATGGAGAAACAAAGCCTTAAGTTGCAAACTTGTTTCATGAATTTGTGTTACCAATTAAATACATTTTGTTGTTTTTATATCAGCATGTAAGACAGTTTGGCCGAGTGGTCTAAGGCGCCAGATTTAGGCTCTGGTCCGAAAGGGCGTGGGTTCAAATCCCACAGCTGTCATTTCTTTTGTGGATTTCGTTATAAGCTGTTGTGGGCTTGGGCTGATAATCTTACTATATTTACAAAGGCCCAAGTTATGACCCGGGTCAATTTTTTTTGCCTCTTTCCAGTAATTTCTGCAAATCGATGAACCAATAAAGAAACTGGATTGGATCAATTAAGAACATATGACACCAATGAGTGTCATCAAAACTTTACAATTAGTCTATGTCTGAGTGTAAAATTTTGTTAATCTAAATCGTTAGGCGAACTCTTGATCCGTTTTAATTTATAGGATTTTTTAAAAACTATAATATGGGGTCCCTAAATCCAAATAATTGATAAGTTGGTCTCACCTTTAAAAAGGTCAGATATTTCATAGATTGTCTTTTTTTGGTGGGAAATGGATATTTTATAGATTGATGGTGAGATGGTGTCATTTTCATAAAAGAAAAAAAAATGGTCACTAAAATTTCACCAAAAAGAAGGTTCATCAGAACTTTGGATCAATAGCGAATCGGTGAGTTTATTGAACTTTGATTTCAATAAAAATATATAATTAAGAATTTAAAATAGAATGACATATAAACCTGTCACTTCAGTCTTCATGTACTTATGTTTATTTCTTTTACATTAGTATCCGTATTAAGATATTGAGACGCCGAATTTAATAACCTGAAATGTCCAATGCATACTAATTAGTTAGTTGAATAATTTATTTTTATTTGGATGCAAATCCAACCCGTGTGTTTTGTAACCAACCTACATTACGTGATATATTGTTAGATTCTTAGTAATTAGATCAATGTAATACTTGTTTATCATCAACTCGGGCGCTTCTATTAACTCAATTTCGAAACATGTGAGAAATTAAAATTTAACATATTAACTGGGCGAGTGTTATATAAGTATGTTTAAAATTGCTGACCAATTTTATTAATAATCAAAATTTATGCAAAATTTTTTGTAATCTAGAGGTTAAGAAATTGGGATTGAATTAAAAATGACTTAAATGTTAATTGGAAGAAAGGAAATTACCTTCGAATGACCAAGACTGGTAGCTGTTGGTGACAAGTTAGGTGGCCATCGACAAAATATAGAACTGTCTCATTTCATCGGACGACAATTGTGGAGTAAAGCCACTTGAATCCAACGGCCCTCATTAGTCATTATCGCGTACACAAACATGTATTGTATTCGTACAATATACGAGAAAAAAAGAGAGACAATAATCGTATTTATAAAATCGTATTTTATTTTTCTATTTGTCCGCATGCATGCACGCGCACTTGGTTTGTCGTCTCCCGTAACCCAACGCATTCACGAGTCTGACTGGACAGCTGACTCAGCTGAGCCCTTCGAGCCGGAAACGGACACGTCAGCCCACCGAAACCCGAGAATTGCTCGCGACCATCCGAACTCCGGCTCCTCCACTTCTTTTACCTGCCCTTAAGTCAAGTGCTCGTAGATATTTTTCAGTTCACTGCAGATATTTTGGTAAAAAAACTTGAATCATCACTAAACGATAAGTTAGGATTTACTACAATGCTCATCAATTTTTTCAAAATCTAGCTAGCTAGACTAAGGAAAAGTTAGCATTTTCTTCAAAATCCTCATTATTCAATGACCATTTTATGACAAACACCATAGTTTAATGACCATACCGTCATTTACCCACAGATATTTTCCCCAGTCCCCACTATGGCACTCCCAAATGCTTGTATAAATTCCCCTTCTAAACCACTCCCTTCTCATCATCACCTTCTCTAAAAACCTTCCCCTCCTTATCTCCTCAAACACCAATCTTTCTCCCATGGCGTCCACCATAACCTCCACCCTCAAAACCCCTTTCCTCGACACCACCAAGTCGTCGTCCTTCCATGGTGCCCCGATCCCGACCTCCCGCTTCTTCTTCACACCCACCAAATCCTCCTCCGCCCAAAACGGCGCCGTCTCGATGTCCATGGCCACCCCGCCGTACGACCTCAACTCCTTCAAGTTCGCTCCTATAAAAGAATCCATCGTCTCCCGCGAGATGACGCGCCGCTACATGACCGACATGCTCACCTACGCCGACACCGACGTCGTCATCGTCGGCGCCGGGTCCGCGGGGCTCTCCTGCGCCTACGAGCTCAGCAAGAACCCGGACATCCGGATCGCCATCATCGAGCAGTCCGTCAGCCCCGGCGGCGGCGCGTGGCTCGGCGGCCAGCTGTTCTCCGCCATGGTCGTCCGCAAGCCCGCACACCTCTTCCTCAACGAGGTCGGCGTCGATTACGATGAGCTCGAGGACTACGTCGTCATCAAGGTAGTTAAAATAAACCGTCGCCTTCTTAACTGAAATCACTCCTGAATTTTACTATTTTTTACTTTTACCCCTATTTTACAATTTTTCTTGACCTTATGGATCTTAATTTCCCCGAAAAATACAAATAAATGGGCCTAAATTTTAGATAAATTAATAACCTTACAGTCACAAAGTTTACTATTTGGTCATTTTAATTTTTATTTACTATTTAACCGTCTTATCTAGTGGTAAGAGTAGTCCGTAGAGTTAAAAACCAATGTTGTCGAACCAGTTTAAATCGTTGAGCCGATGAAACAAATAGTTTGAAGTTCAGTCTAATATGGTTGAGGCTTTTTTTTCATTTTCCATATATATCTATATATACAAGTAAGACAATAATTTAATAACTTATATAAATTTTACCTTACATATATTATTTAATAATTTTATATTTAAGTATATATATATACCAATTAAACTTATCTCATTTGCTTATTCCATTTCAAAACGACAACATTTTATTGATCCAACTACCGATTTTCATAGTCGATCTCTCAAGATTTACTATATTATTATTCGAGTTGTTCGAACGAATCAAAACAACCAATATCCGAATTAATCCAACCGGCCGGTCTGATAGTGGTTTGGCAATCTTGGTTAAAAGCTAGCTACTACTATAATTTTTGTGAGGTAAATTAAAATTTAGTCCCTATACAGCTATACTATATTCTCCTAACAAATACATCCTCACAATATCTATTTTCTTGTGATCCTCCAAAAGCACGCGGCGCTGTTCACCTCCACAATCATGAGCAAGCTCCTGGCCCGGCCTAACGTGAAGCTGTTCAACGCCGTGGCGGTGGAGGACCTGATCGTGAAGGGCGGCAGGGTCGGCGGCGTGGTGACCAACTGGGCCCTGGTGTCGATGAACCACGACACGCAGTCGTGCATGGACCCGAACGTGATGGAGGCGAAGGTGGTGGTGAGCTCGTGCGGCCACGACGGTCCGTTCGGCGCCACGGGGGTGAAGAGGCTGATGGACATCGGGATGATCGACAAGGTCCCCGGGATGAAGGCCCTCGACATGAACGCCGCGGAGGATGCCATCGTCAGGCTGACGAGGGAGGTCGTCCCCGGGATGATTGTGACGGGGATGGAAGTTGCCGAGATCGACGGAGCGCCGAGGATGGTAAGTGGGTTGGGCGGATTTGGTTTTGGGTTTGGGTTGGGTTGATGTTGATTCGGGTGGGTTTTTGGTTTGTTGGTATTGCAGGGACCGACATTTGGGGCGATGATGATTTCGGGGCAGAAAGCGGCTCATCTGGCGTTGAGGGCGCTTGGGGAAGCTAATGCGTTGGATGTGAACAACGGGAAGGTGAAGCAGCCGGAGTTTGTTATTGCTGATGCAGGAACCGCCGGAGAGGCCGTGGATGCTTAATTAGGGGGACTCAAGTGTAAAAAATAAAAATGTGGAGGCCGGAAGAATAAAAGGAGGGAAGAAGAAGAAGAGCTAGTGTGTGAATGTGGTGTTTGCTAGTTGTTCCTTTGGGGTTTTGGAAGGGTGATGGTAGATAGTTCTTTAGTTTTAACAAAAATGGAAGCATGGTCCCGTTTGAGTGATGAGAAACTAAAGGGGAGGGGAGTGCTAATCCGTGTTTGATCTGGATTTACAATTAATGAATCAGTCGCCGAATCGAATAAACTCAACTCAACATTTTGGGTTCTTGAAATTCTTTCAGGAGATTTTAAAACTTCTCAAAGTTATAACGAACCGATTATATATCTTAACAATAATTTCGCAAATCATGATTAACGGCCTACGCTCTAAAGTTTCTGAACTCATACGCCATCCAAATCAAACTATAATTTATTGAATCTATATTGATCGGCATGACCTAGGACTAAGGATGTAAGTTTGGTCCTAAATATCCAATGGTCCGATCCGGTCACGAGGATCGAACTGGATCAATCTATTCTTTCAAGTCTTTCTAGTCCATTGTTAAATATTCATAATTTTTACTATGCTAGATAAATGACTCTTTTTATTTTTCTTATTTCTTCCTCTTCGAAAGTGACTTCCCAAATTGTCATAACAAGTTGTTCTTAACTAGTCTATATCATTGTGAGATATTTTTTTGGCACTTGTGATTTGGGGCCATTGCAAGCCCGACCTTTCGAAGCGGGTTTGGAGTATCCAAATTTGGGACATATTCCTTGACGATTCCAACAAAAGAAACCACAACAAGAGTCATTTTCTTTGTAGGGCTCAAGTGGACCTAATTACTTGTCTGGACTTTGTTGGAAGTTGGAACGACTGTGGTCTTCACTCTCCGTGACTTCTTAAGCGAAGGTGATCCTCTCGATCTCAGAAAGGTTTCTAGATATGCAAGTTCGATTTTAGTTTTTTTAACCGACTTCGACACATCCATTGGTGTAGGCAGGAGTGTATGCATTATCCGATGTTATTTCTTCGATCACATATCATATCATTCTATATCATCTCCAACAAGTTCAGAAAGCTTCTTACTATTGTTCAATCAAAGATCCAAAATTAGAATTACAACTAACTTTCTGGATCTCTGTTCATTTGGAATAATAGGCAAAATCAATTCCTTGGTTTATAACTCGAGGTTTTATGAGATGTCTGAGTATGGATCTCATATAACTTACTTATGCATCTCGTCAAACAGAATTCAATTAATGGACTTGAAATTTGCATGTGATTGTGCCCACCATGCAAATTCAATGAGATGTAAAATAGTGATATAAGATTCACATAAAATCTCTCCCAACAACTAGAGTTATTGGAAGAGGTTGCATAATTATTTAGGGCTTCTAAAGTCATGAACATGCCAAACATGAAACACCCAACAAATCAGAAAGACATTACATAAAATACTTTATGATCATTAGATTGTTTGATCTAACGAATGAAATTGATTTAATCAACTTAATGGATAAACGCTTGCTACAAATAACACATAAGATATGGCCGATGTGCTTCCATAGGTACTTGTGCAGTTGTGCGGGTATAATCCGACCTAATCGGCATTGCGTAACATATATGAATAAAGTATCCAATCCAAAGCATCATTAATGGTAGAAAAGGAAAACATTTTTACAAGGAAAGAAGTGAATAAGATGAAGAACTTCTTGGCTGTTGCAATCGCGTGAAACAGATTTCTCAATCCTAATCCTCTCAAATTCGTCAAAGCCTCAAAGGGTGTCTCAATTCAATGACATGTCTAGATTAGGGTGTGCACTGGTTTGGTCTGATTTGAACCAGACCAAACTCATGAGAATCGGGATTCATTAGTAAAATATATCTTAGGACTAAGGACTAGAATATTATTGCATTCGATCTATTTCATCCGGTTCGGTTCATTCAAATATCATTTGGACTATCATTTCTTACGTGATTATAAAATTCATGAGAACTAATAACCGAACCACATTATACTCGATCCCGTACAGACTAGACCATTGCACACCCTAGTTCTACAATAAACCAAGACTCCCTCCCCTCGGATGAAATAAGTCTGGGCCTTGTATACTCGATAGCAGAAACGGGTGGTCCTCGGACAACCAGAAACCCAAAGCCAAGAAGAATTGGCGCGGTTTTTGGGCCCAAGTAAAGAGAAAACAATAAAAGCCCACGAACAGACTAAAGGTCAAAGTCTTTTCCTCTTTACCATTCCCAGTTTCCTACTCTCCCCACCAATCCACACTTTACTTCTCTCGCCGGCCAAAGCAAAAATGGCGAAGTCCCCAAACCTCTCCCGTTTCCTCTCCTTCTTCCTCCTCCTCACAATCGCCGCCGCCGATGACTCCGACCTAGTCGCCGACCTTCTTTCCCTTCGATCCCAATCCAAATCCGGCGTAATCCACCTCGACGACCACACCATCTCCCGCTTCCTCACCTCCACAAAACCCCCTCGCCCCTACTCCCTCCTCGTCTTCTTCGACGCCAAGCAGCTCCACGACAAGTCCGAGCTCCGCCTCCAAGATCTCCACCGCGAGTTCTCCCTCCTCTCCTCTTCCTTCATCACCAACAACCCCGACAACGACAAGCTCTTCCTCTGCGACATCGAGTTCAAAGAATCGCAATCCACATTCTCCCTCTTCGGCGTCAACTCCCTCCCCCACATCCGCCTGATCGGCCCCGATGTCAAGAACCCCAAGGAATCGGAGCAGATGGACCAGGGGGATTTCTCGAGGCTTGCGGAATCGATGGCGGAATTCGTCGAATCGAGGACCCAGATCTCCGTCGGCCCGATCCATCGCCCGCCGTTCATTTCGAAGACCCAGCTAGGGTTCCTGATCGCGTTCTTCCTCTGCTGGACGCCGTACTTCGTGAAGAAGGTCATCGCCGGGGAGACTGTGTTCCACGATTCGAAGGTCTGGTTGGCTGGTTCGGTTTTCATTTACTTCTTCAGCGTTTCTGGTGCGATGCATAACATAATTCGCAAGATGCCTATGTTCATGGTTGATCGGAATGATCCTAGCAAGCTGGTGTTCTTTTACCAAGGTTCTGGGATGCAATTGGGAGCTGAGGGGTTTGCTGTAGGGTTTCTGTATACTGTTGTTGGGTTGTTGCTTGCTGGGATGACTCATGGGCTGGTGAAGGTGAAGAATGTGACTGCTCAGAGGGTGATTATGATTGCCGCCATATTGGTCTGCTTCTGGGCTGTGAACAAGGTTGTGTATTTGGACAATTGGAAGACTGGGTATGGGATTCATACTTTCTGGCCTAGGAGCTGGAGTTGATCAAGGTGAGGTGATGTTAGTGACAGCCACATTTCGTTACAAGCTCTGGCATTTTCGAGATGGTGGTTGGAAAATGCGGATAGTGGTGAGTGATTTCTTGCTTTAAAGAAGAGACTGGTAGACAGTTTACCTTGATGGTTTAGAATGTACTACTGTTACTCTGCATTGAGCAGAGTTCTATGCTGTTTATGACTGGCTAATGCTTAGTATCGATGAAGGTTTTACATGTGGATGGAATTTTGGAACAGTGATTACCTAGCTTTTTGGCTGGTAATGTTAGCACTCACTTTGAAGGTTTCAAATGTACTATTACTCCGCCCCAAATTGAATGGCTGCTCGCCAGGTTTTTTAGGGTTTTATCTCTTTTGCCACTGACTATGCTCAGTACTTGCCAATAGTTTGCATCGATGTGGAATTTTAGCTGTGTTGCTAAAAGCTTTGATCTTTGGTACTGCCCTAATGTTCTTGCTCTGAAATAATTATGCAGTTACCGGTCTTTTGGTTGACTTGCATTGTTACTAGATTCACCTTCTATTGTCTCCTTCGTGGTTGTGTGGACATGGAAGTGTGTTCTTCAATGCTGCGATTGTCCATGTAATGTGAATGGGAGAGTTGATGAGTGCATGTTAATTCAGACAGGCCACATAGACTACGCCGATGGAAATGGTAGTTAAGAGTTAGTACTTAGTTGTGTGAAGTTATCATATAGCCCCAGAACTTAAGGTTATCAGATTACAGCCCTAGGGGAGAATTTGGAATCTAACTGACTTTAACATTAGTTCTGCTTCTGCAGTTTAAAGTTTATCTATGCCTTCTTTTCTTGGCTACACCACTACGGAAACATCTTTATGCCTTGGGGTAATACCACCACGAAAACGTCGTTCGACTCTTGTTTTGGTTTGCTGTTTGAAGCAAGTAAGCATTTTGTGGTGGTATTCTCATGAACTGAATGCATGCTTATATACCTGTTTTCTGGGTTGGGGATAGAGTAATGACAATTTCGATTTGACTTGTTCAAAATCCATTTATGTTGAGCAGTTGTTTCCTGATATGTGAGGCGGGAATCAGGTCTGCTCTCTTTGTCATCTCACTCTCTTCTGTTCATTCATTGCTCTCCACCCTATCAAAAGCAAAGAAACTGGCCTGGATCGATTTCACAGTGAACGTGTGATTTCAATTCGATTTTGTTCCTTGATCTTTGCTGTTTTCAACCCGATCTCATGTCAGATTTCGCTCGAAGCTAAAGGTGACTTATCATATTAGTTGTTCCAAATGGTTAATGACCCAGAATCTTGGTGGCCGTTTATTTAATAAAATCAAACCAAGCATACAATAATACACAAGCTTTGCGTAAGAACACAGCCGCCTGTGATTCTCTCTTCCCGTGAATTCACCCCTCTGCCCTCGCCTTTAGCTCCATCACGACCAACCAAGGAGGACATATTCGTCAACAAACCCACTTTCCCTGCTCTGTTATAAGACCTTCATTTCCTTGAATAACGCAGGTGGCGTACGAAGAAGGAGAAGCCATTAACGTTTCCATTCCCCGCCACAGAGCAACATGGAAGAACAAGTGGAAACGCTGGGGAAGGCGTTCGTGGATCACTACTACCACCTCTTCGACGCGGATCGATCCTCCCTGTCGTCTCTTTACCAGCCTTCCTCCATGCTTACTTTCGAAGGCCAGAAGTTCGTCGGCGCCAACGACATCTCCGCCAAGCTCAGAGCCCTGCCGTTCGACCACTGCAAGCACGCCATCAGCACCATCGATTCGCAGGCTGCTGCGGCAACAGGTGGCATCGTGGTGTTCGTCAGTGGCAGCCTGCAACTGCTCGGCGAGGAACATCCTCTCCGATTCAGCCAGGTGACGAAAACAGGGTTATATCATATATGTTGCTACATAACACTCTGGAGTTTGAACTTTGACGCCAAATGATAATTCTGCCTCCATGGGTTGTTCTTATTGCAGATGTTTCACTTGCTTCCGACGATCCATGGGACATTCTTCGTGCAGAACGACATTTTCCGTCTTAATTATGGTTGATTTTTAGTGTGTACTTATTCAGGCGATGATCATTATTCTTCTATTGTTGTAATGTGTAAAACTGGACCTTGATTCTCTAGCAATTGGATATATTATGTGTCTCCGGCTTTTTCGTGAAAGGATGAAAGCGAATAAAACGTCTCCATGATCTTAACTTGAGAGTTGAGACTCATTTCCGTTTCCTTTTCCACTTAGGATTGCAATTTGCAAACCATTCTATCATCACTTGATCAGCATCTGCCTTTATGGGCGAGCACAGAGCATGTCGTTTTGTTATGGGCCATATTCAGGCTTGACCTTGTGGGTAGTTGGGCTTTCCGAAGGATGGGCCTAAGGCAACAATTTGGATCAACAAGATGATCCCGGCCCAAACGAGCATTAGACGATAGCATAGAAGGAAAATGTGGAAATTTGAATCTAATGGCAAAAAAAAAAAAGGTGGAAATTTGACCTGGTTTTAACTTCATTAATTATGTATTTCTTTATCTTATATAACAATATTTATCATGACCTGGCCTCGTTGTCATTTCTGTCTTCTCGATGTCCACTTTATCCGTTATCTTCGATAAGAAAATGACCGATTTTTTAAATCAGATTCAATTGTTAACCGAAACAATGTACTTCATTGATTCAATTTTTGCGACAAATGAAAGTAAAGCTCCCAAAATCGATCGATTTGCTCTTCCCTGCTAATTCAAGAAACGTAAGTGCAAACATCAATTTGGATAGGCTAGGAGTGTGTCTCGTTATAAAAGAGGAAATCCCAACAGAGAATGTTTCTTTCTTATATAACAATTAACAGACAGTACAGTGGCTTTTATGAGGTCAAATTTCTGTACATACATTCCTTCCTAGTGTGTGAGCTCAGCAGCTTACCTGGCCTGGAATGTCAATTTTGATAATTGGATTAAAATTTAATTATCACAATGATAAGCTGATAATTGATGAATGAATCACCAACAAAAAAAGAAGACGTCACCACGAATGGCAGAGAAACAATGATCACAGAAATTATCGTTTGCAAAAATGGAATGTCAAGATATGCAGTTTGCTTATAATAGTAATAATTAAAAATAAATAATATAAACCAACTCGGGCAAATTTCCAGTTAATTAATTAATTAAAGGGGGGGAATGGCTGAGCTTGCCCATTAAAAAACCAAACGTGGGTACGAGTAAGTGAGTAAACCTCTGTTGCATTACATGTCATGCTTAATCCCTAATTACATTACATCACCCCATAACACATAAATTAAACATATAAAAAAAAAGAGATTTGGCAGAGAGGGGAAAAAAAATTGGGGGGAAATTGTGAGTAAATAGTATCTTTAAGCTCTTAAGATTTTGAGGATAAAATGAGAAGCACACTGCCATCTAATCCAAGCAATTTATTATAATTAATTATTCTTTCTTGATTAAGCATAGTGATTATGATAGGGAGAGGTCATGTGGGTTGCACGAAAACCATTACACACCATAATAAAGGAACCCCCAGCCTGCCTCTGTCTGACATCTCTCTCTCTCTCTCTCGTTTCCTTTAACTCTCACCCACCATGTGATTTGGACCCATTAAATGTATATTAGGTTATTACCATATTCTCAACTCGAATTCGACTCAGATGTTTATAAAAGTGGGAACATGCCTTTGGTTGCCTCGATTCGCCTTCTGTGTCTGTATGTGTTGTGTCATTAGATTGACGAGTAGATTAGTTCATGACAATATCATTCTGTCGATCTAACGAACCAAATCACATTGGCAAGACCGGTCAAACGGTGTAAAGAAGGGGGCACCATAGCCCGCAACTATAAACATTGTGTTCTTATTTCTTACTCTTATATTTGGTAGGAGCATGGACTATTTGATTATACGTATGATAGTTAATGAGTCATCGTTGTTATTGCCTATTCGACCAGGTGACTCAAATATAAAAAAATTCGAGCTCGTCAAAAGTTGTTTCCGTAGGTAGGTGACACTAATTAAACATGTAATAACTCAGACTGAGGTAAAAATGACTACTCAAAGCTCTTACCATTTGCTAACTCCAAAATGACAAATGAAAAATGGAGCATTAACAACAAACAGGACAAAACCGTATTGGGAAGCTGAGAGTGCGTTACAGTTGATTGAAACAAGTCAAGAACACAAACACAGTAACAGAGGGCTTAAACAATTAGTAAAACACACATAAATTAATGAAAAGAATAAACAAACAAAACATCTTTTTGTTTGTCTGTTACTCTGTTGTGCAAAGAAAAATAATGAGAAGATCTCTGCTTGAAAATCTTATGGACATAAATAATCAAATAAAGGTGGGATCTTTGAGCTAAACCCAGTCCATATAAAACCCTAACTCCCTCTCTCAATCCATTTGGCTCCCTTGTCAAAAAACAAAACCAGAAAGAAAACAGCTATTTGACAGAAAAAAACCCACCAACCCATTTTCTCTCTCAAATACAGCCATATCTCATCAACATATTGATAAAATCAAAATTGGGGAATTAATTAAAATAATTAGTTAATCCCTCCTCTTCCTCTTTCCCTTCTTTTCTGTTTTCTTTTCTCCCATCTTGTCTTGCCAAAAAACCCTCTTCTTATATTATTTTACTTTCTCCCCCATTTTCCTCTGCCTTCTTCGTCTGCTGCTGAGCTTCCTTTTCTGCTCTGGTTTCCCTTCTGGGTCTTCTCTGTTTTAGCACTAAAATGGTGAAGGGAGCTCTTTCATATTGCTTGGAGGAAGGAGATTCCGAGTTCCTTCTCGCTTGAATCTTTCCATTACAGCCATTCCTCAAGAGGTATTTTTGGGTTTTCTGTATAACTTTAATTTGATGAGTCATGCCTATACATTCCAATCTTGCTTAAGGGGAAATGAGGAAAAATAGCTTCTCTTATCACATGCATTGATGAATCTCTTTTTTCCTGTTTCCAAGCTCATTGGTACCTTTTTGGTCTTTTTCACTTTGCTTGTGAGCAGGCAAAAGGAACTACACCCAATCTGCTTCCCCTCTTCTGTGTGGTTTCTGTGGCCTTCTGCAGCATTATTGCTTCAACTTGATTGCTTTTGGGGGTTGGTTTGATAAATGGGAACCAACAAGATTAAAGGGTTCTACAAAGGGTTCAAGTTCATCACTCAAATCTTCGGTAAAACCTCCCTTCTCTCTATCTCTCTCTTTCTTCATTGGTGTTCATTGAATTCAATGATTTCTTATCCAATTTGGGTAATGTGGGTTTTCTGAATGAAACCTCGTGTGGGTTTCTTCCTGTTTTGCAGTTGTGAAGGAGAGAGAGCTGGAGATTGGGTTCCCAACAGATGTAAAGCATGTTGCTCATATTGGATGGGATGGTGCCTCTGGGAATCCACCCAGCTGGGTAAGTTCATTTGTATAGAAAACTAGAAAAGTAGTGAAAATCTCCCATCTCCCCCACCTCAATGATATAAAAAAAGTTTTGATTTGTGATTCATTTATGTGTTTATATAGCAGATTAGTATACTATCTCCATTTTCCAAAATTGTTTAACAAAGAAAGTTTTGGTCTTTAATTCAATTGGGTTTACATAATATATATATAGCAAATTATTGAACTATCTCCCATTTTCCCAACTTGTGGATGGAAAAAGTTTTGATCTTTAATTAATTTGGGGGTTGTCTTGGTTTCTTCTGCAGATGAGTGAGTACAAGACAGCTCCTGAATTCTCGTCCTCGAAACCTTATGGTGGAGCTAATGGAGTTCCAAGAGAGTCCAATTCCGTGTCTTTCTCTCCATGGTCCTCTCAAGGTAATTCAATATCCGCTGTATCTTCTCTTTTCTTATCTGTGGTGGTGAAATGGAGTGGCAATCATCCGGTTCGATTCAGAGTCTGATTGAATTAGTACAGGATCTGATAGGAAATGAAGAGATAGAGGAAAGGAAGATAAAACCTGGATCTCTGAAATGCATTCGATTAGGAATGGTATTAGCCTCTTTATGAATGGTTTGGGCAATTGTCTGGTCTGATCTGGAATCAGATCGAATCAATATGGAATGAGATAAAAAAAAATGGAGAGGTATGAGAAACTCAATCTGGGTTTTGGGAATGCATGGATTCAGATTCCATCCATTTCTCTTTTACTCTTTTAAGTGATCAAAATGGCCTTGAATGGTGCAATGACTCAGATCGGTTCAATCTCAGTACCGATCAGCTCCGGTTCTGTCTGGTCTAAGACTGGATGGTGTCGCCCACCCATGAAAATGAAAATGTGATGCCATGTGCGAGGTTTGGATTTTGTGTTGAGAGAGAGCTCAATGGTTCGCTTTCAACTTAGTTGGATTCTTGTGTTGCTGAATGCAGAAAGTGTCCAAATTTTAGGTTCATGGGAAGCTAAAAATCTATAGCTTACAAAAGAAAGTTATTGAAGACTCCTTGCGTCCAAATAGCAAAGAGTTTGGCTGTTTATGTCACGGGACTATGCTTCCCTTTCACTACTGAATCTACCTTAGCGTGAAGCATTAAACAACAGTTTGTTTTTGTTTGGACCCTCCTTGCCTCACTTTCCACTTTCCAGTAGTAAGTATAACCATCGTCTGGAAGTCATGTTCTTGAGTAAGAAACCTCGTGCAATGCCTCCAAGAACATGGCTTTCTTTTTCCTTTCTGAAACCTTTTGTTTACCCTTTTGCTCTCAATGTTTTTGGTTACAGATTTTAGCGAGTCAATGGGGCTTCACCAGATGCCTGTGTCGACAATGTTGGATCAAACCGTGCCAACTTCAGACCCACCAAGCATCCCAAAGAAGCAGAAGAGGAAAAAGAAGTCTGCATCGACATCATCGCCTTCAAAGGGTTCATCGTCGTCTTCGATATCTAAGGCCTTACGATCATCCAAGGCCAATAAGGCCGTGTACCACGAGATGGAGCCGACCATGATTGCACAAGCTTAATTAGTTGCCCGATTTGTCGAAGTGTAAAAGGAATGTGCATAGCAGGAAGAATGTGCCCTTTTTTTCTCTCTTGGTGATCAAGGCTTCTGTAAATGTGTTGACAAAGTGTACTACAAACGTTGACCGGTGGAGTACTTAGGGTTTGATGGCATAAGGGGACATAAAAAGTAATGTTAGGTGGTAAGTTCTACTCTTGAGGTTTACAAGAATGTGTTGTAAGACATTATTGTAAGGAAATGTGGGTTCAAAGGTGAGAAATTTTGGAATTCAAATCGGTTGGCATGAATGAGAAAGCTCTGGTTGATGATTTGGTTTGTGGTAGGGTTAGGAAGTTAGAAAAAGGGTCTAGCTTGAGCAAGTCAGGGTAGAGATGTTTCGATTGTTTGGTAGGCAACAATTCTCAATAAATTATGGATATGATCATACAAGTGTTTGCACTAAAAGCGTTGCATCTAGGGCCAAACCGAGGAACTTGTTCATGGGTGACAGTGGCACTGGTTCATAATAAATCAAATCCCCAATCTTTGGCGAAGCTCAGAGTGCATTCCAATTTGTCTTGATGGGTGGCGTCTATTGGACCAACCTCGTCTTTCTAGAAAGGTTTGCGATCGTTATCTACTTATTTATTTGGAACCATTGATACAAAACTATACTTATAAAACATAACTAACATAGTTTTAAGTATAGTGTCTTGACATTGTGTTGGAGTGGATTTTAATTTCCTCCAAAATCTCATGAAAAATAAATTCTTGTCTCCTGTGTCTTGAAGTATCGTGGTATTAGCTTAGGCTCAATCATTTTTAGCATAATAACAATGGCTTGTTATAATCTCCATTCATCCTCAAGGCATTCTTTTGGAGTGGGATTTCATTCATGCGTTGGGACAAGTAAAAAAAACTCACCTAATTAAATTTAAATGATTTGATCAATTTAGTGCTTGGGCTTAAGCTCATTTTTCTAGTCTTTTTATTTTTCTTAATTGGTTTATATCATTTTATTTTAACTCGAATTTTAGAAACATTAGTACAAAAAAAAAAATTTGCAATCTACATGATGATGTCCAATTTTGTATTTATTTGAAAAAAAATTAACATGGGATGTAAAGCACATTTTAAGTGGGATGCACGAATTAAATTTTTTTGTATTAAAAAATATTAAAATAAATATAATTTTGTAAGCACAAATACAATTCTTATATTTTTATGTGCAAATTTTTTAGAATTCGAGTTAAAATCAATTACACATGTTTGGCCCGCTCCGTCTACAAAGCGAGTAGATTTGACCAAAACTATTGAATACCAAAAAGATTATGTATACTCGATTCTAATGTAATTTTTGCTTTATTTTTTGTTATGGAACAATAAAAATAAGGCGAAAAATCAACATTAGAAGTTTGAATTGAAAGCAATTACTGAGATGATCTATATACTACTTTCGTGTGTAAAATAATCTAAACTTCTATTGACACATATGTGTAAGGAATAACCTCTGCATTGATTTGATCCAACTTGTTTTAACAACTCATCGTGTAGGATCTGTACTTGCTATTGTCACTTGGTATGTGATTCAGATGGGAGAGTTTCTGCTCGATTTCTTTGAGATGTTTGGCCACATTTCCCTGCTGCACAAGGGACTGCATCCTTCACTGCATGTGGAAGAATATCTCCCCCAATATTTTGCTCTTTCCCAACTTTTTTTTCTTCGTTGAATAGGGTTGTACTAGACTTTACCTTTTTATTTTCTTTTAATTCTTCTTCTGCTTTTTGTTTATTGGATCATCTCTCCTAATTCATTTTTTCTCGTGGGATTGTACTAGACTATAACTATTTTATCTTCTTTTAATTTAATCACCCTTATAAACAAATTTATTCTTGGTTTCTTACAATACTGTTTGGGCCAGGTCATCGCTAAGAAATCGATGGAGGAGCTCAGAGGCCACAGAGGTGGGAAAGTTGGAGGCAATAGAGGCTGACAGATCCGAACCGATCAAGATAGAGAGCTCGGAGGGGGTGGATGCGAAGGTGGATAGGCCGGAATGCGTCGATCGAGGTGGAGAGCTCGTTAATTAGCTATTAAATTAGAAATAATTTCAATAATGATTGGTGGTCTCTTCTATTCCTATTACACCCTTTGTGTATTTGCAACAATTAGATCTAAAGTAGGGATTAGTGGCTTAGATGCTAGTCTACACATAATATAATACGCCGAAGGGAAAAACGGGAGCTCCATTTCAAATTTCCTGCAACGAGAGTGAAAGTAGGAAGGACATTTTGGTCTTCACAATTGCTTTTTTTTATTCATTAAAAAGACACGTACTGGGATTCGAACCATGCCCATTTTAAAGAAAAGCAAGGATAATAACCAATCACACTAAGCACATTTGTTATATCTTTTTAAATTAAAAACATATAATAGCAGGGAGGAAAAAATCATTCCCCCATTTCAAATTCCCTGCTCCATGAGTGTTTGTAGGAAGGGTAGAATAGGAAGTGTCAATTTTTTTCTCTTTCCTCTGTGGAACGGGCCAACTTACCGTACACATGCGAATTTAAACGGGTCCAGGAGTGTCAATTTTTTTTCTTTAAACCCTTTTATTTCTCCGTGGTGATAAAATATATATGAAAAGGAAAAACTAATACTCCTTTTTATTGTTAAACATAAAAAATTTAACAATAAACTAATGCATGGTATCTAATGGGCTAACCACTAACCATAAAATAAAAGAGTTGAATGGGTCTGACCTACATGGGATTTGGCCATCAAGTAAAACAAATGAACATCATTGGTTTGTCATTCTAAAACAAGCTATTTTCTATTATGCTATTATTTTATATCTTAGTGGCTAAAATATAATGTATTTTAAAGTTATTCAATGGTTCAACCTCGACCAACACAATTAGTCCAATTTTTATCATTTCAAATATATATTTTATAATTATTTGATATCACAATGATCAAATTATAGTGTATTTTATAGGGAATCGTTTGGTATTTGTTAGTAAAAAACTAAACATAACGATCTATTTGGTTATTTTAAACATTATAACGATCCTAAACATTTTCAGTTCCTTTTGAATTTCCATGGTTTTAATCTCGATTAAGTGATGTGCAAATGGCGAATTGTAGTCGTCTCTTTTCTTTCACTATTTTTTTTATTTTCAAATAGAAAGTTTAAAAGTAAAGAATAATTAGAATTTGGCATGGGTCGATCGAACAGGCTGAATTTCAAGTTTTGGCCCGTTTGTTTTATGCATTGCAAATTTATTAGCATGTTGATGGAAATGGCTTGGAAAAAAGACATATAAGTTGTACCTTTGCAGAAATGTCCTCAAATGTTTGAATGCTTTGTGAATCAGGTTCCATGACTTTTGTGATGGTGTATGTGCTTGACGATTGCTCTTTTGATTTTCCCTATGAGTTGTGATACCAGTTCTGGTAGTTGCAGCATGTTGTCGTTGTTGGCCTGTAAAAGTTGTTCCACCGTGGTGCTAAATACCTTTCTTTCTTTTTTAACAAATTGTGTGGTAGTGCTATGAAACAGACCACCCATGAATGTTACGCTTATTATGGTCTGTTCTTACTTCCGGTGGTGAGAAATTGTGAATTGAGAATCATATTCGCCTACCGCACTGTGTCTGGCTGGTGGCTGCTTACTGTGCTCTCTAGAGTTATGAAACAAACTACCCATGAACGTTACCCTTAAGAGTCCATAACTTTGCGAAAAACCAAATTTAGGCAATCAAAGGTGGTGGATGTATGATATTTTTTATGGCTTAATTGTTTGTGAATTGGATATATGACCTTTAGTAACTCAAAACCTTCGAGACACATATCACCTACTGCATTGTATCATTTTGCCTGGGTACTTGCTGTGTTGTCAAACTTCTTTGCCGCTGCTGCTGCTTTTACACTAACAGGGGAGTTAAGAACCCATGAATGTTTCCGTTTGACACAAACAGGAGGACTTGCTTCTAAATCGTGCAGTTGATATACTGGAGACCAGAACAAAAGCAATGTATAACATCAAAACCAACCATCTGAACTATTAGCATTGTTGCTTTACTCTTTTTTCGTGGTTAGGTCTCCTTCAAAAAATTTAGTTTGATTTTAGAAAATTTTGCTTCTGCAGTCCTGTCTTGCCACCAACGCGTTCAGTAGATGGAGATGGCAGAGGCGAAGGCTATTTTTGTGTTGTTGTTGCTGGTTTAGGGATCGGTTTGTGAAGAAGAGGGAGAAGAGAGGGGGAAAGGGAAATGCAAGAGAGGGGGTTAACTCTTTTCTCTGACAAAAATGGAGTGAAGAAAGGAATTATGATCAGTAAGGATATGGTTATCTTACATAACTGTCTCTATTCTGTTGGAATTGAGCTTGGGAGGCAGTGATAAGGACGAGCTGCAACCAATTCATAGTGAGAAGAGAGCTATGAACTGTGATCATGTCCTATTTCAAGTTAGAAGGTAGTTTTGAGTATAAGGATTATTTAATTTGACAAGTTGTTTCGTCCATGATTCTTGGTAGTTTCAGTGCCATTCTAGCCATTGTTTAGTCTGTAATTTTTGAGAATTGATTTGCGAGTAATGACTTTCACTTAGCTTCACTATTATGCGTGTATTTATTGGCATGTGATAGAATTCTCTTTTCCTTTCTTTGAATTCAGTTTCATACTCTAATTGTATCATTTGTACATAGGCAAATCATGCTCGAGATGACAACTCGCCGATATGGCTGGTGCAAGGAACGAAGCCATCATTAGAATTCAGATTGACAACGGGGAGGGATGCCCAGGACTAATTCAATGATGATTGATGATGGTATAATAAAAACTGCAGTCTGCATCAGCACCATTCTCGAGATGACAACTCGAGAATTCAGATCGACAACGGGGAGGGATGCCCAGGACTAATTCAATGATGATTGATGATGGTATAATAAAAACTGCAGTATGCATTCAGTGCCATTCTAGCCATTGTTTAGTCTGTAATTTTTGAGAATTGATTTGCGAGTAATGACTTTCACTTAGCTTCACTATTATGCGTGTATTTATTGGCATGTGATAGAATTCTCTTTTCCTTTCTTTGAATTCAGTTTCATACTCTAATTGTATCATTTGTACATAGGCAAATCATGCTCGAGATGACAACTCGCTGATATGGCTGGTGCAAGGAACGAAGCCATCATTAGAATTCAGATCGACAACGGGGAGGGATGCCCAGGACTAATTCAATGATGATTGATGATGGTATAATAAAAACTGCAGTCTGCATCAGCACCAATTTCTAGGCCTAAGTAAAGTTATTCAACCAGAACTCTGCTTAGCGCTAAAAATTCCCCTCACCCAACCTTGATCCTGTTTGACCCACTTATGAAGATTCAAGATATATGACTAATCCTCTCCGTTCGTATTTTCTTATTGACTCTTTCTGACCCCTTAGGTTGGGGCGGGTCGGGAAGAATCGGATTAGTGGGTCGGTCCTAAGCAAGTGGAATCCCAATTCCTTCTACTCTCACTTGCTTTTTCTCCTATTCCACAAGTGGGTAACATACACTAATCCGGCCAACGGTCCGGGTAATAGGCTAGTTATCAAGACAATGAACCTAATCAGATTTATCATCATATGTCCTTCTGACATTTTCTTTCTATGTTGAATACGAGATAACTTAGTATGGTTTACTCGGTTTATTGCTTTAATGGAAGAATGGATGCTTTGCACTTTTTATATTATTTTGAAGTATATTTCAATTTAGTTTCCTCCAAAACCTCAATAAAATAAATATTTGTTTACTTTGTCTTTCAATAACTTCTTATTTGCTGAGGGTCAATAGTTCTTAGCTAGCAATAGCTAACATTGGATTTTATAATCCCCATTCATACTTAAGTCATTTTCTTGGAGTAGGATTTGAATCATGATCGAGTAAATACAAATACTCATGGATATCCTATTTTGTAATCACAATTATGTTATGTGTTGGGTTGTGAGGAGCGTTGGGGCCTATTGGGCCTTCAGAATTACATAGGCCTGTTTCTGAGTTTTTGGGCTCGTTATGTGAGTGATATTTGAGGTTTCAGTATACTCCATATGTTCCATAATTTCATTATACTTATCATTGGTTTTGGAGCATATAAATGGTATTGGTATTTGGTACACAGTGTTAATTGGGAATTCTTACAACATGATATCTCCAATTCTTACACCATTTGATGTTTCATCCCAATCTATATGCATTGACGGATCGAATTGTAGAGTCGACAAATCTAATTAATCATAAATATACATTTCAAGACAACAACTTTATTATTGTGATACACGTTGCATTTTGACTACCTTTGAACTCCATTAATTTATATTCCTGACTACGCCAATATCTATATGGATCTCACCATAAATTCATACAAATCAAACATAATATTTTATTATTACGTGAATTCTCAATATCTACAATCCTGCATACAAAAATTCTTCGAATACATTTTAATTTCTTGACAAACAACTCGTACATTTTTTGGAGCTCTCTTTCGTTTCCAATGAAGTCAAGCATCAACATCACAACTTACCATGCCAAAAAACATCCCAACAAGTCCCCATCAACATTTTTTTCTTCTTCTTAATATCATTTGCCCATTTTTGTCTTTGATCCACAAAACCAAAGATGAACATCCTCGGAACTTGGCGCTCTTTCATTGTTTTCTCAAAAGATTCCTCATTAGATTATTAAACTAATACACCATAATAAGGCATCATACAACACACAATGCTCATTATGACAAGCCTTCCAATCAAAAGCATTAATTCTCCAAAAATATATCCGCCCTTTTCTTCACTTTATTCACAGCACATTACCAATAATTTCTTTAAAATAAAACACAACAACAATGCAAATCAATGCCACTTTCCCCTACTCTTAAACACCAATTTCGTTTTTTTCTTTATTTTTTGGCGATGAATGAATGAATGATAGATTCATGCAATTAGTAACAACTTTTTACGAGATTCACATGTCACGCATAATTCCTCATTCGCATTTTGCTTTTTAATCCGACGAATGCATTATCAAAATTGAAATAACAAGAGGATACATAAAATGTGAATTTAAACATAATACTAGAGTAACCGTATGATCACATGCTGACCATCAATTACGTGCTTTTCAACGTGTCAATTCCATCATTAAATATCTCAGATGAAACCACAAACTTTATAACAAAATGAACTTAGTACCGTAAATCCAGATTAACACTAAAATACTAATGAGAAAAAATAAAGAAGTATTCACAACTTTTTGTCTTCCCCCATTCTTCCTTTTCCGTATTCAGAATTTTAACCTAGTAGATATGGAATAGAGCATCTCCCCGCCGATTCATTCCTCCGTCCTTTTCTCAAAACATTCCATTCCAACTTTATATAAACAAAAACACAAGAAGAACGAAAGAACCCTATCACCATCACAACTCCAAATTCTCCTCCACAAAAAAAAAACCCTCACACCCAAAAACTCCCCAAATCCCGCCGCCATGTCGTGCTGCGGCCGCGGCCTCAAAATCTGCCTCGTCGTCGCCTGCATCCTCCTCCTCGTCATCGCCGTGGCCCTAGTCGTCCTCTTCCTCGTGGTCCTCAAGCCCAAAGAGCCCAAAATCACAACCAAGTCCGTGACACTGGACCGGATCCAGTCCGCGATCCTCCCCAGGCCCTTTCTCAACCTCACATTGGGCCTCGTGGTTGAAGTCAAGAACCCAAACTACGGCAGCTTCCGCTACGACGACAGCAACGCTTACCTCGTCTACCGCGGCGACCTCGTCGGCGTGTCGCCGATTCCGGCCGGTTACCAGAAGGCCCGGTCGACCCAGACGATTCGGACCAACATCACGCTGATGGCGGGGGAGTTTTTGAAGGATTTTGAATTCTATGGGGATTTGCTGAAGGGGGTTTTGAATTTCACGTCGACGTCGTCGCTTCACGGGAAGGCGTCGATTTTCAAGGTGCTGAAGACGGAGGTTTCGAGCAATTGTACGTGTGAGATTTCGGTTCATGTGGCTAGCCAGAAGACGGAGTCCAGTTGCAAAACTGTGGTCCGGCACTAGGTGGTGGGAGTTGGGGAAAAAAAGTGGATTGATTTGTAAGGAATTTTAAAAAAGCTTTTTTTTTTTTGGTGATTGGAATTGTGTAGTTTTTTTTGTGGGATTTGTGGGTTTATTCTGTCTATGAAATTTCTTTCACGTTATTGCTAATTTTTTTTGGTTATTGAAATGTAGAGTTTTTCCGTTATCGATCGTGTTGCTTATTCTATATTTGGATTCGTATTAAGTTGGGTAACCACATGTATGTTGTGGCTCATGATAGAAAATTTCAAGCATAGGTGTTTGAGCTTGAGATATGTCGATTATTGATGATTTTACCTATCTCGATCATGTATTATAACTGAATTAAGTGGCGATTTGTTGTTAGAACCCACATATTGTAGAGGAAATATATTTGGATAATTGGCTGGGTATTGAGAATTACTTAAAGCTTGTCGTCGAAGTCAATTGATCTCAAAGTGGCGATATGTTTATATTTGTTAGCAATATGATATTTTGATCAGACTATAAAGAATCTTTGTGTGCTAATTCGAGCTCTGTCCAACAAACTCCACTAATGACGGACATGCCCACAAGACGAAACATAGATAAAATTATCGGGGATCATCATGATCTACATCTCGAAACTTAAGTCATTTCGAATTGAAGTACAAAGTAAAATAACGAAAATTCGTCCGATTTAAGTGTTTGAGAAAGGAGAAGGGCTCGGACCCTTAACTTTGGACAAAAACGATAGGGTAGGGCTTGGACCCTAAACCTCCTTATGGGCCAGGTGGACTTCGAGTGATATTTTTCTCTGGGCTATTCTAGTTTTGCCTGGTTCATGAGTAGTTTGCCAGGAAATAGTTGATTCCTTCATTAAAAATTTGTGAAGGTACAAGAGAGTATTCAATTGATGTGATTGCAATTTCAACCTCCAAACTGGCCCATATGGCTATGAGGAAGATGGAATCCAGTATGCTCTCCAGCTTTATCCATAAAAGCACACATTAAGGGATTTGTCCATGTAACACATTTACTCGTATTACTTGTTATAGTAAAGGAAGGCCATTAATACTGGTCAGAGCTCATAAAACCCAAATCCATTGATTAGGCTTTTATTGAATTGTACAAACAACGCCTCCTCCACAGCCTCTTTTTTTTTTTTTTTGTTTTTTTTTTTTTTGGGTTATTGCAAGAGAACTCAAGCTAGAGTAGTTTTGGAGAAAAATGGAATAACCCATTCAGAATGTTTGAGCAAGCTTACCATGGCTAATGTTTAGGGATCAGTGTCCTTATTGGTTCGTATTTGATCTCTCGTACGATTTTACAAGAGAACGGGACTATGATCATGTAATCAGTATTATCACATTATGAGAGGACAATTTAGCGTGGATTTGAGAAGCATTGTTTGTAGGATAGTTTAAAGAGTTGTTCCATCAATGATTGGAATGATTTGTAAGGATATCCCTTTGTCAATGGGATAGATTGTCCAGTTCCATTGAATTATTTGAAGATTCGAAAGAGTCAACTACTGAGAGATTGATTTTTTTTTATAGAAAATATAGGACGTTAATGAACTTTTAGGACATTGTACTACGTATATCTCTTGGGAAACAAATGTACTCGCTCATAACCATGCTCGTTTCCCTATTTTCAGTTTGGTGATTGCAATGGATGGTTAGATGATTTCTCTTCTTTTGTTTCAGACATTATTATTCATTTATTTAATTCAATTTGATACATAGTAAATTTAGTTCACAAGGTGCCCCTCTCTTTTTTCTAGACGAAAAAAAGGTTAGTTGATCATTATCTTTTATCTAATGATCATAGGTGCAATGTAAACTCTACCACAATAACAAACCTAAGAAAATCAAGAGCCCATATGAAAACTAGAATGAGCCACATAAAATTCACAACGAACGACTATTACATGCATTCTCCTCTGAATTTCGAAGTTTTGTAAAAGACGTTCGTTTCAGTTTATCAATACAAACTATCGAGATCGGAACTATTTTCTTTCTGAACTTCTCTTTCATGTCATAGGATGCCATTGTATGTTACTACTGGCCATGGTACTTATATGTTAGTAGCAACACTGACATGTAGTTGAAGTAAGAGAAGAGTTGGCTGGGAAGAGTATGCTTATAATTTGGTTTGGTTGGTCCAAAAGATTCTGTGGCGAGCAATCATATTGGAAGCCAGAATGGCATAGGGGCAGGAAGACGATGTGGTTGGTAGGCATATTGAACACGCCAGCCAATGCAAATTGCAAAAGCGTGGCTACAATTAATGTTTCGCTGCTCTTATAGGACAGTTTGGAAAATATGATTGAACTTGGTATGGCATGATGTATTTCAAAATGCATGTATTAGGAAATAATAAGATATACAATTTGATATTAGGTTAAGATTAAGTTGAATTTTTTAAACCGAGCTCATTTGGTGTTATTTTGGACATGCATGTTCATGTATCACGTATGTGTTGATGAGATGAGTTAATTAAGTCTTACAATTTTTTTAAATTAAATCCAAATAATTATTACTTTTAAAGTGCATCCAAAATCACTATAAGTAACATTGGTTCGATTGCAATTCACATGTGTTATATTGGTTCGTTTTATAGAGAATATATTGTACGTTAAAGAATTGTCGGCAACTAACTATCTACTTATCTGATTCATTGAATTCCAAAATTGAAAATATACATTCTACAAATCACGCCAACTTGAAACCGCCCTCTAGTTTGAAACTGACAATTTTTTTTCTTTGTGTCAGCCAAGACAATGAACTGAAGTAATGAAGTGAAGCATGTTGTACTCTCCTTCGAGCATGGCAGTTGATGAAGTCCGAGGGAGATAAAGAGGGGCGCTTCATCAGAGTTTTTACTGTAAATTTGATAAATCTGATTTGAACATAACTGAAAATTGTTAAAAATTTGAGGATATATACAAAGATTATTTTCATATTATTTTTAACTATATTTAAGCATAGATTGAAATTGTCGTCCCCTACCCAACTCATTACAGTTTGCTGACGGAAATTCGATGTCCTTGTTTGCATCCTCGACAAATCCGAATTGAACATGTAATTTCACTTGGATTACATTGAGACAAAAACATCCATAATAATATAAGTAATCGGACCACCTACTTCTCCTTTTAGCATCCGTTTTCCTTTGACAAATACATAAAAGAACTTGAAGAAGGGTGATTAATTATGGCAGAAATGATGGCCCTTCACCAAACATCACATCAGATCATTTTTTTATTATCGTTAGGGTGAGTTCAATTCCCTGTCTCCTTCCTTCTTGCGGACTTCCGACTATAGCACAGCTAGCTAGCAAATCGATCGAGCCGGCAAATTGCGCCAATTTTTTTTTAACACTATAAATATGGTACTTTGTTTTGTTCTTTGGTGGATGACTTTACGAGTTAGTTAGTTGAAAATAAAGGGGGGAGGACTTTGATAATTAGTGCACAATAGTGATTCTTGTTGGAAGAGCATTTCCTTCTTCACCCGTCACATCTAATTAAATGGGTCCAGTTCAGTTTGAACCAAATCTATATGGATGTGGTTTTGGGTCTTAAATAGGACTTATTGCATGGTTGCAAATGATTTTAGTTTGCATATTAGTTATCATTTGGAATCAATGGATCACTTTTTGAAGAGTAGTATGAAGATTGAGATTATTTAATGGATTAAGATATTTCGTTCATTTTGTTAGGTCAATCATTTAATTGTTTCTAGTAATTAAAATCAAGTTTGTTTGAATGTCAAAAGCAATCATGATCACAATCTATTATCATGTTGGTAGTGAACCTCAACCCCATCTTTCTCTTGTTTTAATTCATCTTCATAGAGTTGTAATTATGAATACTGAGTCAATCAAGGCCTCTCTCCACAATCCAACCCGAGCGTAATTCCGAAAACATGGCAACTGAACTCATCACTGTTTGTGTTTCAAGTTGATATAATTAGGTCATCACTTTTTCAACTAGTAAATGATGTACACCTTGTGCCCCACTTACCCTCTTCTCAGTTCTCATCCCCTCTTCAACTGACTCAACACTTAATCGAGGCGATTATACACAAAGAGACACCATTCATTTATCTTGATTTCCTTATTAGTGTTGATGATCCTAGAAGATCAAGCAAAATATAGGTTCATAAACATAAACTTCGCTCAACTACAAACCCACATGTGACATGACTTGCATTCTATAAGAGTTCGTTACAAACAAAATACGAACATAAACACGAGGATAACGAATCATATCATCATTCATCGCTAATGCACTGGATCCTATAAGAACTCTCACAAAGGGAGACCTATCGACGCCATTTTGGACTCAAAGAAACTGGTACTGTACAATTTGGTGAGGCGGATATCTCCTTATCTATATATATGTATGGCCGATGAATAATGAATACCTAGGGAAAACAAGCTTTGATTAGGATAACATGCAGGAGCAGATGATGGGCCTTTTTGGTCGTAGATAAGAGAACAAGATGGCAGGGTGTAGCCGAAGAAATGTATACAATTTGGGCTTCGAAGATTTCGACCACGCATTGTGGGGGCCGTAAAGCATTGTGTTTATGTTCTTGCTGAATAGTCAAAATCCTATTCAAGCTGTGTTTTATGATTCATGTTTTGTTGTGCCCTTCCTACGGCTCATGTTAATTAATAACTTCGTTGTGAATTGATCCTAGCCAAGTTATAAAGAGATCAATGAAACAGGATCGAATTAGAATTCCTAAAAATCGAGACGAATCAAGATTTCGATTTGATTGTAGCGCAATCGTTTATGCATATTGGTTCTGATCCGATTCAAATACCAAACCGGGATGTTATCATCCCTAACTCATATTATACAGACTCAACACCTCCTACACTACGCATTTACATATCATAGGTGGGACGGTTGGGTTATGCAGGATCCGAATGGTCTGATTGTGGTGGCAGTTGAGGGGTGTCACTTGTATCATAGGGTTGAGGGCTCATTCCCGGTAGAGCTGTTGGCACTATGGGATGCGAATCGCTCGTGTGTGCAACATGGAGTACGAGGGGTGTCTTTTGCAGGTGATGCAAATGTGATCTTGGATAAGGTTTTAAAAGGGGAACGCGTCACATCCACATGTTTGTTGGTGGTGTCATCCTTGTTGAGATTGCCATGCTTAACGATTATTTTCAGGTGTTCAGTGTGCGATTCATTAGTTGGGATAGTAATATGATTGTCCATTGAGAGGGATCTTGTTTTGTAACTTGGATAATTGTATTGATTTTTTCGATTTTTTTGATGGATGATCTAATGAAAAAAAGATACACCTCATTATCATGGAAGAAGATGCAACTTTTTTCAATGGCACGAACGGCGTCGGATTGAAGCAAGATGTTAAAAGTAAGGCTAAGGTTTAAAATAATTATAGAAAATTAGAAAGGGATTAATCAAGGTAGAAACTGAAAAGTAAGGGGGTGTGAAGTGTAATTGGGCATTTTAGCCAAACTATTGACAGGTCACAATAATATGGGCCCCACCATTGACGTCGATTTTCAACACACGGGAAAATCCATGCCCACACGTACCACCAAACCCATTCCCCGTTCCTTATTTACGCTAACGCCACGTCGACGTCCCCTGACGTCACGTCATCTTGCCTCGCTGGAAGTCAAATTTCCCTTCCTCCCCCCTTGGAAATGACGGAATTGGACCCTTGTTTAGAGGCAAAGACTTTTTTTTACCTATTGTTACTATTTTCACCTTTTATTACCAAAAATCTTGTATTAGTTTTTTTTACTAACTTATTTTTTTGTGTGCAAACCTTTGACTCTGGTTGTGGACTTGTGTGACAATTGTGTTTGTGTCTACCGTTGATTTTTGTTTTGTCTAGACTAGACTATCTGTAGGCGGCTAGCCCTAGGGCCACACATTTGTTTTTTACAGTGGTGAGTGGTTCTCTTTTTTAACCCTAAAAGTCAAAGGGAAAGGTGTTAGTTTATTGTGAAATGAGGTCACTCCTTAGTGAGGGTGTGCAACGATTTGATTCGAGCTAGCCAGATCAAATCAACGTTGAAATCGAACCATCTTAATTATATTATATTACATTCGGCATTAGTTTCAATTCTATATTATAAGGACCAAAATCCAAAAATGTATCTGTAGTTTTATATAAATAAATTAATTATAATAATAAGATGGGGTAATGAAAACTTCTATGCATACGAAAAATGTACACCTTTTCCAATCCGAATTAGGACTATACATCTCAATAAGGGAAAGCAATACGCAGAACCAATAATGTGTCCTGTTTTGCATCAAGTTTCCCTTATAGCCCACATCATTGAATGGCAGGTTATGATTTGTTTCCCTAATTTATTAAGGCAGCTAAGAAATCCCTTTTCAGCCCCAGCAATCCTATATTAAGTAATAAAATAACCAAACCCATAAATTAAAAATAAAATAAAGCAAAAAAAAATTAAAATATTCAAAAGATGGACAAGTCTCCATCGTGGATGGTCCAAAGCTTATTTATGATCAAAATTCCTCCATTTTTTCATCCTGCCAAAATCCAATTTCATTTGGTCAATTCACTCACTCGAAAGTAGTTAATTTGCAAGGAGTGTTATTATTGGACTTAATGAAACACCTATATGATGATGAAATATTTGATTAATGAACATTCATTTTTGTCTGACACAATTACTACTCCCCTAATCCATATTCTCATCCAAACAAGTGAATTTTGATAATCAATGGTCTTTATTAAATTCCTATCCATTTCCCACAAAATTTTTTCTCAATCCATGTCGCGTTAATTCAAGTTTTCGAGATTGCAAATAGCATTTGACGTGGTGATTTAGAAATAACCATTGATTTTAGCAGCACTCCACACTATTAACATAATTGAAGTACGACTAATGTCATCGCTTTTTGTTGCACTTTAGATAAGAACTCGTCACATAAAATCACGTGTCAAACGATACCCGTAGAAAATAAATCCATCCACCGCCATTAGAAAGAACTGTGTGGCACTGTTTTGATGGTAAGGAACCCTAAAATTAGGGCTTCATCAGAAAGATGTACACAGCATGACGGAAAGAAGGGAGGATAGATAAGGAGATGATGATCTATACATTATTCAGAAAAGGAGGAAGACAAGCACAAAAATACAATATTGAAACTTTCTTCGTGTGTATATATTTATTTCAAAAGAAGGTATTTTTATTTATATATATAAATATATTTCTTTCATATTCTTTCCATATATACAAACACCCTTTCTCTCTCTGGTAGCATTAAAAACCTGCTCTTGCTCTTGCTCTACCATAAATGCAATTGCACCCTCTCAATACGCTCTTCCTCCTTCTCCTTCTCCCCGCAATAACTCCTCTTCTCTGGCTGCCCGCATCTCCCCACCTGTTTTCCTCCCTTTCCCTTCTTCTTCCTCCATCCATCTTCACCATCTCTTCCTCCTTTGATCTGTTCAAAAATCTCCTACCCTTCCTTTGTTTCTCTCTCTAGCAGTCATCATCTCATCAAGAAAACCCTACTTTCCTCGGCCCTCTTTTTCTCTAGCACAGCAAACACATCATTAAGAGGAACAAGGACACAGTCCCAAGAGTCAAACCAGTCCAGCTGCTGAGGTTGAACAATCAAGCTCCTTGGTCTCGAAGTAAAAGGAAGAAGAAACCCTAATCTGGGGGGTAAGTCCTTGTTTTGCTCATAACCCTTTCATCTTCCTGTATAGTTGTATCTAGTCTTGCAGTCTACTGAGCTTGATTCTCAATCCGATCCACGAGAATTCTGATGGAGGTCTAGGAGTTAATAGGTTTACGTTAGTGTTTTATGAGGAGAGAGAGAGAGTGGAAAATGAGGAATGGCGATGGGATTTTGCCGAGATCTTAGCGGCCAAGCGTTATGAACTTTTTTTTTTGGGGTTGTTGTAAGGTTTATTACAATAATTTTCTTGTTCCGTTGTTGTAACTTGTAAGTGTTAAGACCTTATTATACGGTGTTGCGGTGGTGATAATAATAAGGGGGAAAAGAAGCCATCTCTCTCCTTTTTCTTTCTCAGACTTGGTAATGTAATGAGAGTCGAGAGACCTTTGTTTTTTTTTTCTTCCCCAGAGAATCTAGTAAGAAGTCAAAAGGATGTGCATAAAACTAAACAAAAACCCAACAATTTCTACTTACTGAAAACTTGCTTTTGCTTCCTACTTACTTACTTACCCTCTCTCTCTGTTGATTTGCCTTCTTCTTTCCCTAGGGTTTCTCTTGATGTGAAAGAAAGAAGCTCTCAGAAAAAGTTCTCCACACACATATAAACATGCATTGCAAGATGGAGATCCATACCCGCGAAAGGTCCCCCGATCTTGGCTAGCTACCTAAATCTAGCCCGCAAGCTTTACTCTCCAACCACACAAAGGTACACTACTGCTATATCTCTCACTCTTGTTCTATTTGCGAGGGTTTTCGTTTAGATACTCGAAACCCGAACAAGATGAAAACAGTGATTCGTTTGCATCCTCTAGTTCATGTACCGTGTAAACAAGTTTCTTCTTCCATTCTGTAAACCGTTTACGTTTCTTCCCAATTACCATTGGCCATCCAAAGCATTTGGACTCTCCCTTAATTAATCTTCGAGATCTCTCCCTCTCTCTCTCTCTCTCTCCCTGTCTCTCTTGCTTTTTTTTCACACGCTTGCCTTATCACATTCTTCTTCCCGTTTTCTCAGTTAACGCGTGTACGTACTAAATCTCTCTTATCATTTTTCAGGATTCTTAAGGAGCAATAGTACGAGGAGCACTGGACAATAGTTGCAGTGAGAAAGTACATTGGTGGCAAAGATGTTCCAACCAAACATGTTCGACAGCCCGCACATCTTCGAGATGACCTCGAAGGCGTTCGAGGCCGAGATGGGCAAGTCGAGGGACTTGATGGACGACTACGAGACCAAGTCGGGAACCGAGACCATGGGCGGAGCCGATCCGTCGGGGGATGACCTAGATGGCAGCCCGACGCAGCCGCCGAACAAGAAGAAGCGGTACCACCGCCACACTCAGCGCCAAATCCAAGAGATGGAGGCGTAAGTAAAAGTCACCCTTTTCCCTCAATATGATACATATGGCACATCTTTTGTACAAATTGTGTCTTTGTAAGTTAGTTTGTTGGACATTATCTGCAACGATGTCATGTGCATTCAAACGATTGAGATTACAGGGGTTTGACGCAACAATATCAGTTCATACGAAGTTATTTAGATGTACATTGTAATGTTTATTAAACTTGTGCTGATTTTCTTTTTTGGGTTAATTCAGCTTCTTCAAGGAGTGCCCCCATCCGGACGACAAGCAGAGGAAAGAGCTGAGCAGGGAGTTAGGGTTGGAGCCGTTGCAAGTCAAGTTTTGGTTCCAGAACAAGCGCACTCAAATGAAGGTGATCATTCATCAACTGAGTGTCAAATCTTCATTTTCACTGAATACATGGAATTATGCTTAGGCTTTCCTGTCACTGAAACATTAGGATGTCAGCAATTTGACTCAATTGTCACGATTCATATGAGATTGGATTGAACTTAAATGGATTTATATGTACTTTAAATTGGTTTTGATTTTGGATTAGGTTTGAATCGGTACCGATTTAGTTAAATTCATTCGGCCCAACTCAAATGGATCTATGCGAATCTAAATGATTATGCACACCAAAAACAATCTCGAACATCTCAATAACTCTTACCAAAATAAGATACAAATAGCATTAGAATTGAGTGTCCATTTTCATTCGGGTTCAATTTAGATCCAAACTTAAGTATAAGCTTGACTAAAAACAAACAACCCAAACCCAATTTGACCCATACTAAAATGAATTTGGGCAATATCCAAATGTGGAGTTGTTTTTCCTGTAGTTCTTTAGTGAACTATTGGAGATATAACAAAGCACCAGGCGAGTATGGCGAGTGAATTCTGAGTAACGAATAATGATAAAAGATATGCTTCTTGTTGCTCGCAGGCACAACACGAGCGCCACGAGAACTCGATCCTGAAGTCGGAGAACGACAAGCTCCGCGCTGAGAACAACCGCTACAAGGAAGCCCTAACCAACGCCTCGTGCCCTAACTGCGGCGGCCCCGCCGCCCTCGGCGAGATGTCGTTCGACGAGCAGCACCTCAGGATCGAGAACGCCCGCTTAAGAGAGGAGGTAACGTACACTTTTGCACATCTCCTTTTGCACCTTACGATTACTTTGTTGGTTGGATTTACGGTAGAATAGTTTTGGTGATTTAGAAGAGTAAAAGCGCAAGTTTCTAAGTATATTAGTTATAAAAGCAGCAATTTTGCCTGGTACTCAGAAATGTAAAAGGGCAAGTTTTTAAGAGCGATTTTGACTGTGTGACACTTTACATGCACGCGCAGATCGACAGGATTTCGGCCATAGCAGCCAAGTACGTGGGCAAGCCGATCAACTCATTCTCCTCCCATCTCTCCCCACACCTACCCTCCCGCTCGTCGATCGACTTCGGCGGGCAACCTTCAGCCGGCGGCTTCGTCGGTGAAATGTACGGTGCCGCCTCGGACCTGTTGAGGTCGGTGGCTGGCCCCACTGAGGCCGACAAGCCTATGATCGTCGAGCTGGCCGTGGCGGCGATGGAGGAACTCGTGAGGATGGCTCAGGCAGGGGAGCCCTTGTGGGTCCCAGCGGCGGCGGCGGGCGGTGGAGATCATCAGTTTCTTCATCAGGGAAGTAGTAATATTGTCGGCGAGATGCTTAACGAGGAGGAGTACTTGAGGACGTTCCCGAGAGGGATTGGGCCGAAGCCGTTGGGCCTCAGGTCGGAGGCCTCGAGGGAGTCGGCTGTGGTGATCATGAACCATGTCAATCTCGTTGAGATCTTGATGGACGTGGTTAGTGCTTAATTTGGGTTTGATTGCTTTTTAAGCTTCAACGATCTTGAATTAATTAAGGAGGAAGTAAATGTAGTTTGATTGACTTGACTATTGTTTTTGGGCAGAACCAATGGTCGACTGTGTTCTGTGGGATTGTGTCTCGAGCCATGACTCTAGAAGTGCTATCAACTGGCGTTGCTGGGAACTACAATGGCGCCTTGCAAGTGGTAAAATTGTTGCTTGCCCATTATTTCCAATTCGTTGTTTTTGTTTCAACGTTAAGTGTCCATTTATTTGTTAGTGATCACGTGCCAAACTTAAGTGACCATTTTGCTAAATGCAGATGACAGCTGAGTTCCAAGTTCCTTCACCGTTAGTTCCGACGAGGGAGAATTACTTCGTAAGGTATTGTAAGCAGCAGAGCGACGGAACATGGGCAGTCGTCGACGTCTCATTGGACAGCCTCCGCCCGAGCCCGCTCTCCAAGAACAGAAGAAGGCCTTCCGGCTGTCTAATCCAAGAACTACCAAACGGTTACTCCAAGGTACGTAATCACAACGTTAATCAACGTAATTAATTAACCGTCCTTAGTTAATTAGAACTTAATTAACAAGAATACCTTCTGTCGTTAATCCACCAGGTGATGTGGGTCGAACACATCGAAGTCGACGACTCATCGGTCCACAACATCTACCGGCCGCTGGTCCACTCCGGTCTAGCCTTCGGGGCCAAAAGATGGGTCGCCACGCTGGACCGGCAGTGCGAGCGGCTGGCCAGCTCCATGGCCATGAACATTCCCGCTGGCGATCTCTGTGGTACGTTTCGCTATTTTTTTTTTCCGAATCGAAAGGTCTCAGGTTCAAATCCATTAAGTAACGTGTAATATGTTTTGACGTTTGAGCGTGTATTTTTTTTTCTCAGTGATGACGGGGCCGGAAGGGAGGAAGAGCATGCTGAAGCTGGCGGAGAGAATGGTGATGAGCTTCTGCACCGGCGTCGGCGCCTCCACGGCCCACGCCTGGACGACGCTGTCACCGTCGGGGACCGACGACGTTCGTGTCATGACGAGGAAGAGCATGGACGATCCCGGCAGGCCACCGGGGATCGTACTCAGCGCCGCCACTTCTTTCTGGATCTCCGTTCCTCCCAAGAGGGTTTTCGATTTCCTCAGGGACGAGAACCACCGCAGCGAGGTACGTAATCATCAAACTATGTGCTCTTTGATAGGTAAAAATTTAAGCTGAATCATTCATTTGAAAACAAAAACCAAAATGGCAGTGGGATATACTCTCCAATGGCGGCCAAGTTCAAGAAATTGCCCACATTGCCAACGGACGCGATCCAGGCAACTGCGTCTCATTGCTTCGAGTCAACGTAAGTTTTCTGAATACTCTGTTTGTAAAATCACAATTCGATGGAAATTGTTTATTTTAGACTCAGTAATCCACCCACGGTCACATAGATTTAGGTTCGTAACAAAACAATCATTTCGTCTCTTTAATTTATAGTCATATTTCTATCCAAAACAAGTAATTGTTATGTCGTGACCTTTTTGTTACGTTTTAAATGTTAAAGAAATGTTTGTAACCACTTTATTACTTGACCAAACCTATGCAATTTTTTTTTTGCCTAAGTTTTTTTTTTTTTTTTTGACTTGTACAGAGCGCGAACTCGAGCCAGAGCAACATGCTGATACTGCAGGAGAGCTGCGTTGACGCGACGGGGTCGTACGTGATCTACGCGCCGGTGGATATCGCCGCCATGAACCTCGTGATCAGCGGCGGGGACCCGGACTACGTGGCGCTGCTCCCTTCGGGGTTCGCGATTCTGCCCGACAGGCCGACGGCGGCGGCGTTCAACCCTGCGGAAGGGATCGTCGACGACGTGGGCTCCGGCGGGACTCTGCTCACCGTGGCGTTTCAGATACTTGTGGATTCGGTCCCCACGGCGAAGCTCTCGCTTGGGTCGGTGGCGACGGTGAATAGTCTGATCAAGTGCACGGTGGAGAGGATCAAGGAGGCCGTCGCAGGGAAGACCGCATAAAATAAGGTAAAAATAAATCGCTATCTATTTATTCATTCATTTTTTTTACTTCTGCTGCGGTAAAATCTTGATTATTGAATTAAGGCTATTATTCATTCATTAAGGATATTAAGGAAGAAACGGGAAGAAGTCAAGAACGCACCTAAGGTGATCCTTTTGATGAAGTGGGAAAGAAGTCAAAGGGTTGTAGCTAGGTTCGGGTATTGACTTTGCCTAACTTCGAAGATTTGGAGGTGGAGAGCAAAAGGAGAGGAAGTTCTTTTAAGTGTAAAAGTCGAAAGTACGATATTATTAATTTATCTTTGTTCATTGCTATATCAATGATGGATTATCGTGTTGTGTTAGAGATTATCCTTTAATTTTGTATTTAGGGTTTTGATTAAATAGGGGGTTGGTGTTTGAGTAGCATTTTGGAAAATTAGTGATTGTGTATGTTAGAGGCTAATGTTAGAACTCCAAGTACATTTGTTTTTTAGTTTTAGAACTTTTGTCTAATGAGTAATTGTCCATTTCCTGTTCTCATTAGCATTTATCATTTACTTTAACACCTTTAACTATGGAATTATCATATCTCCTGTTCATAGTAGGAATAGCTTTGATCTAACACGAATCGATTTACAAATATTATAAGAAATAACTTTTTTTTATCATCATGTAATATTATTATGGTAATTTGTTTTTTCTATAACTTGAACATTATAACATCTTTTAAAATAATTATCGAAGAGTCAAACAATCTATTACACCATAAATATGAACAAAATATTTCTTTCATTTACGGTTAGTACCAAACCAACCCCTTGAAATTAACGATGACAAAATCAATTTATACTATGATTTCTGATCATGTTGATGCAAGTTATGTAGATATCTCGTTATATGTTTTTCTTGTGACCGGTCGGGAAAATAACAAAGTAAATAACATATTTGGTTTATCAACCTGATGCGTGTTAGCTAATTCACGAACATGAAAGACCAGTTTGACTATACTTCAGAAGATATCGATTACAGAGTATTTGAGAAGGCTTATATATATGAACCTAGCTTGTCCATCCAGCCAAATTCCTAGTCAATATGGAGATGAAAAGGTTGCAGACAAGGTTTAAAACTAGAGGGGAAAATATATCTGTACAAGTGAAACCCATATACCATGGATCATGACATATTTTCTCTAGTCACAAGAGATAATCAGATTTCAAATCACATCAATAGTTTTGATGACATATCTCGAGTACAACTAGACTAGAAAAACCTTGTACATTAATGTCTGCCTTTAAATTTTGGTGAACTCTGTTTTATTTTTCATTTAACAAATTTGTTAACTCTAACTAGACACTTGCATATTCCATGATTCTAACTCTTAGGTTGTCTAATTACAAACTCTACCACAACTAATTTTCGGATGATATGTTATTGCAAGAGACCAACATAAGTAAGAAGAGGCCAGCTAGTCAAGTCCTCCCAATATTTTCTACAAGTGTATTGACTTACAACTCTCATCAATGTTTTGGTCAGTCGCGTAGTTGATTGTATTTTTTTGTGACCTGTTATACGAGGAGTAATCTAAGTTCAGGCGAAAAATTTCTTAGGTCATATCTTACAACATAAATTAAATACAAATGACATGATTATGCTATTCTTAAGAACGTAACAAGAAAAGCATTACTAAATTGAGAATGGAATATTCTAAATTTCTGATGATATTTTAGCTGGAGAAACAGCTGCGTCATGTTTTACGATGAGGATTAGACACAAACAAACCATGAAAGAGACCCATTAGCTAGCTTGTTACCATGTGAGGTGCTTCAAGGTACCATGTGAGGTGCTTTAAGGTAATATCATATCATCAACTGGAATTCAAGTCCAGGTCTACTACGTACTAGCAACAGATGGAATTATATAAATGGCCTTCTCAATTGAGCATTTAAACAACGTTTCCACATGGAACTGATAGAAACCTAATTTTTAGGGTATATCATTATAGTATTTATTAGCATATTATTAGAGATGGTTAGTAGTCATTGAGTCGTATTAGGATAGTCTATTAGGTTTTCTAGTCTTTTGCTATAAATATGTCATAGGCAGTCAAGAAGAATATTAAGAAAACTCTTCCCAAACCCTAATCTCCCTATCCTCTCAATTCTCGTTCTCAACCCTCTAAAGGCCTAGGCCGATTCTCTATCTTTCTCTTCTCAAATCCCTAATTCTGTTCTTAATCCCTAAATCCCAATTACCGATAGAATCCTAGAAACAAGTTCTATCAGGAACACTTCCTTGGACATTTATATAGTGCAACATATTAAGAATGAGGAATTTTACAATGCTATATAGTATTGGTGCTATAGGTTTTTGTCTTTATGGTACAACTTGAAATTGTACCTTTAACGTTATGGTACAACTTCGGATTGTACATATACTTTTTGTACAGATCCTTTTATGGTACAACTTGAACTTGTACCTTTATGTGATGGTACAACTTCAAGTTGTAAAGTTGTATCATAACATAATAATACAAATTCCTTTATGGTACAACCTAAACTTATACATTAAATGTTATGGTACAACTTCAAGTTGTACATTAAAGCACCAATAATATATAGCATAGTAGTAGTCCTCATTAAGAATCAGTTGATTGCAGTAACTCGAATTGTTGATATATGTTAAGTTGTAGATCTTATACTATTTACTAATGACCCGAGTTATGGAACCAACTCGTTCTTGACAAGGTAGTATAGCATTTTGTGATCGCGAAATTTTCTATTATACTTGCAACCCCATTTGTTAAGCACATGGGTATTTCGAACCTGTACTTCAAGCCAATATGAATGACTTTGGTCTAAGAGGGTGTGTGTTAGTATAATATGTGGTATAAGATTCATTATCGAACCTCTCCCAAAAAACTCGAGTTATTGAGACCAACTTATTCTTGACATGATATTAGAGCATTCCGTAACTAAGAGGTCTTGAGTTCGAATCTGAACGGTATACATTTGTCAAGCACATAGTATTCAAACCTGTGCAAACTTCAAGCACATATGAATGACTTTCATTACAGAGAGCGTATTTTTTTACGGTTAATATATGGTATAAGATTCATTATCAAACCTCTCCCAACAAGTCCTCCTATTCACAACCAACTGCTTCTTAACCCAACAAACAACAGAGGACTATCAATAATTCAACAGTACTACACTACGCGTACGAACAGTGCCACAAAGACGAAGGACTGGTTGTTGGCGATGGCGCGAAAAGGAAGCCATAGCCAACCATTATGTGCATTGATATTGACACGCTTAATATTCTTCTTCTGTGCTGCTGCTGCTGCAACGTACGTAGCTGCACCTGCCACTCTCGCTTCCCTTTCTTCCATTTAATTTCGTCCTTTTCGATATAGTATAGTGCCCCATCACACAATTGAGTTGGCCACATGGCGGAGGTTCACAAGACATCGCCTACTTGCGAAGTCTTGTCAGGTGGTTTGGTTTTGGTAGTATTCGCAGAATACAGATTTACCAGCTCATTTAAAACGATTCTTCATATATATAAGAGCTTAAAAGGCTTAACTATCCCTTTCCCAATAACTCGAGTTATTGGGGCAAAGTGGTTAGTTCGCTAACTTGGTATCAGAGCCTAGAACCGAAAGGTCATGATTTCGAATCCTCATGAGTCATGACGACCCCCATTTTCAGCCATTTGTTTAGCACAAGGGATGATATGTCCAACCTGTGCAAACTAAAGCCTCGTGGTTTGGCAGCACAAGGTTTCAACCTGTGCAAACCGTAAAAATCCACAATTCGGCATCGGCTTTCGTTTGAGGGGGCGTATAAGAGGTTAAAAGCTCTGTTTTCAGAACAGAACCGGAGGCTGAACCGAAAAAGTTAGTGGTTTAAGGGTTAACCGGTTAACCGTTACAAAACCGTTGGTGAACCGTTGATAGAACCGTTAATGATATATAACAAATTTTAAGAATGAAATTATCATTGACCATAAACAAGTTCAAATTCATATCATCACGAAAATATCTAATAAATCATTCCAACCATCTCATAAAAGAAACCATATTTTTTAATTCAAATTAAAAATTACGGTTCTAGTTGGTAGTAGACAATGTAAAATCGACAATAAGGTTGAGGAAGCATATATAAAATTAATAATTATGATTTGATGGTTTTAGTTTATGTTAATTTTTCTTTTGTTACAATAGTGAGCCAATGGACTAGCTAAACCGTGTGGTTCATCTGATTTTATGTTGAACCGTGAAAAACCGTTTGGTCCATCAATAACCGTTTAAATAATGAACCAGACGCTATCATAACTGGTTTGACGGTTCTACTGGCCCGGCCGTTGATCCAGTTCGGTTCTTATAACAAGGGTTAAAAGGCTTAACTATCCATTTCCCAACAACTCGAGTTATTGGAGCCAAGTGGTTAGTTCGCTAATACTTCATTCCATCGATGCTTTTGCGTGTTTTACTAATATCCGTTTCATACCCAGTTAATATAAGGATTTCACGCGTCGATCGGATCGAGAACGTTTGGTATCCTCAGTTGCGAATTCGATTGCCGTCCCTAACTATTATACATAAAGCGTTACATATCTTGTAGCTTGGTGGTTGAAATTAATGCTGACCTATAAAAGAGAGGTTTCATGTTCGAATCTCACTCCCAATATATATAGAACATAAGTATATGTTTTCTTCCTGATATTTTTTTTCAGATTTTAGATGGTGTCTAGAACTTAGCTAAAGTACTCCAAGTGGCTCTACTCTTTTGATAATCTCTACCTTATATAAAGAATCACATTGTTCCAATAATACAATAAATCAAAAAAAATGTGAAGGATTTCAAAATACATCAAGTTACCTTATTTTCAATATATCGAAAAAAAATCTCATTCCATATTATTCTCGTACTCGATAATGTTCCTCCTTACCTCATGTTTTCTATCCACTGATTTGCACATCGAACCCGCTCCTTTCATGAAATTTGTTTCGTCTGCCTGAAAAAAATGGTTGAAACATAGGCAGTCCGAAATTGATGGAGACAAAACACGTTGCTATTGTAATGTCGGACCTACATACAAACGTACATGAAACAGTTGTTTGATTGTCACATAAAGTAGCACTCGTCAGACCAATACCTCACTCAATGACGTCCCTCAACGTTTTGGCAATGGGCTAAAAAAAAGCCTATATAAAGATAAAAAAAAAGAAGCCTATATCTTCGTATTCTTCCTTCTGCTCCATAGTTCCTCGAAGAATATTACAGCTACTTTAGAGAGATGAATTACGCCTGCAAAACCCCGAATCACCATTCCACCATGAAAACTCATCACTTCCATTTCAAGACTCGTCGGCACAATTACCCACAAGTGGTTAGCGCTAATCATCGTGTGATGGGTAATGATTATGATCATGTGATGATGATCACAAGCAAATCCAACGTTAATCCCTCCGTCTTGCGGCTACACAAGTCTCCAAGTCCGCCGGCAGACTCAGCCAAGGAGAGAGTAGTATCAGCCGACGAAACTAAGTATCCCTCGACGGGGAAGTTCGGTAGGTTCGGTGGCAAGTTCGTCCCCGAGACTCTGATTTCCTGTCTGGAACAACTTGAAGTCGTCTTCCATCAAGTCTTGAAAGATCCGGAATTTAAGGTATTTGTTTTTTAATTTGCTACTCAAATCTAAGAGGTTTATGTTGCTAAAGTGATTGGTACCTTAAAAGAAACTAAATATTTGTACGAAGGGTTAAAAAAACCTATCAGTGGTTCGACCTGAAAAATCTAACTCCTACCAGAGGCTAGATATGGTACAAAAAAGGTTGAACCACGCTTTGAACCACAGTTTTAACATAAAATACTCTATCCCTTATTTTTTTTATGGTACAACCCCCGATTCGATTTTACAATCATTCGATTTAAACATTTTAAATGGAAATTTGGTCTTCTATCTGATTGATTATCAAACAACCTCTATCCAACTTTAGATTGAATCCTCCTAATAATTTTATGAAGTTTATTTATTATGAATTCTTATCTTTCTGAGTAATTTGAAGAAGAGAATTATTCATCTTTTAAAATATTGTTTTCAGCCAAATAAAATTCGGATGATTCAAATCATAAACTCATAATCAGTAGCTATGCTAAAAGTTGGAAATTTTTCAACACAAGTTTATGAGGTCAACTAGAGTTGGCATATCTCGATTAGTTGGATGAATTTCATTACTTCAATCATGTATTGATTACATGAAGAACTTTAAATAATGTATTTTGTATTGAGTATTTGGTTGGAAAATCTATAATAAGTTATAGACTTATAAAGCTCACTAGGATGGGATGAGTGGATTTCAGTTTTGAATTGATCTATCTGTTTATAAACAGGTTGATATGATTGTGACTCGTTACTATCCACATTCTTAGGTTGGGTTGGGTTGTAACTTATAAAACAATTCTATGATTAGCCATTGAACAAATTGACTAATATTTATAATAATTTCTCTCAAATCAGAAAAAAAAAACAACTTACAAACTTTTCGCTTTGTCTCCTGTATCCATCTAGTACTTGTGATATGTGAAGTTTTTTTTTACTATTCACATAATCTATTAGTCACTTTAAACGAAGTATTCATTGACAAAGAAAACAAAGTCACTACCACGTATTTCTAGATACCAAGACTCTTTACATGTATCAATCAATTCTTTGATAGAAATATCAAATTTCATTACTCCATCAACCAATTGCATAGTAAACATTAATAATTTGCTTCTTAATATGAAATAGACTTACACTACATAGTAACAAAAAGTAAGTATTGAAAGTACAATTTTAATTTTCATTTTTAGAAGTTGATGGTCAGTGTGTGGGGCGGTTATGAAATATGATGACTATTCGATATTATAAACAAGAAATAACTTATTGTCATGTGTAAGTAAGGTACGAGTCATTTGAGTGACCCGTGACCAAGCAACCACCCACTCAAATAAGTACGTGTTGAAATTTTGTTTATCCAAAACCCACCTAACATCAATCATTCACCCATTACGAGTTTAATTATTTGCGAGCACTAATAAACAAATATTGTTTGTTTTGATCCGTGAAGGAGGAGCTATCGACGGCCCTAAAGGACTACGTGGGCAGGGAAACCCCACTGTACTGCGCGGAGCGGCTCACGGCCCACTACAAGGCCCAAAACATGGGCCGAGGCCCAGACATCTACATCAAGCGCGAGGACCTGGCCCACTATGGAGCGCACAAGATGAACAACGCTCTGGCCCAGGCTATGATCGCCAAACGGATGGGCCTCACCGCCGTCGTAGCGGCCACCGGTGCGGGCCAGCACGGCGTCGCGACCGCCGCCGCATGCGCCAAGCTCGGACTCAGCTGCACGATCTTCATGAGCACCGCCGACATGGAGAAACAGCCGTCGAACGTCGACCTCATGACCCTCCTCGGCGCGAAGGTCGAGCCGACGGCGGGGAATTTCAAGGACGCGAGCTCGGAGTCGATTAGGGTTTGGGCGGGAAAATTGGGGGAGGTCTATTACCTGGCCGGAGCGGCGGTCGGGCCCCACCCTTGCCCGACGATGGTTCGGGAGTTTCAGTCGGTGATCGGGAGGGAGACGCGGCGGCAGGCGGCGGAGAAGTGGGGCGGGACTCCCGACGCGGTGGTGGCATGCGTCGGGAGCGGATCGAATGCGCTGGGGATTTTCCATGAATTCGTGGGTGATCCGACGGTGAGGCTTATCGGAGTGGAAGCGGCCGGGTTTGGGCTGAACAGCGGGAAACACGCGGCGACGCTGGCCGCCGGCGAAGTAGGGGTTTATCACGGCGCGATGAGCTACTTGTTGCAGGATGAGGAAGGAAACATTATCTGCCCGCACTCTATCGGTGTTGGGTTAGTAATCAAATTAACAAAAAATTATGCAATACTTTTGTAGGTTAGGTCACTAGACGAAAAGTAGAAGAAGAAAAAAAATGTTGGTCGACAAGTGCTTATAAACAAGCTAATGTGTGTCGTTTACTTGTCGCGCGCGTTGATTAGCTGATTACTTGATATCTTCGTATTTAATACCGTGCAGATTGGAGTATCCCGGAGTAGCACCGGAGTTGAGCTTTCTTAAGGAGTCGGGACAAATGGAGTTCTACTCAGCAACAGACAAAGAAGCTGTCGATGGTAAGATACGATACCATCGTCTTGTCCTAAACGCTAAACTCTAAACTGAAAACGATTTAATGTTTTGATATGAATTTTGACAATCTGGGGCTTCCCGAATTGCAGCGTACATAAGGGTGGCGAAATTAGAAGGCATAATCCCGGCACTGGAGGCTTCTCATGCGTTTGCGTATCTGGAGAAACTGTGCCCTACTTTGCCCGACGACGCCAAAATCGTCGTGAGTTGCAGTGGCCGAGGTGATAAAGATGCAACCACGGTTTCTAAGTACCTGGGTCTTTAAGGGAAGCTGGACAGTATGCGGAAACTATAGTTGCAATGCAATGTAAATACGATAAAGCAGATGCAAGTATGCAACTATATGTACGATTGGTTAAAAACTAGAGATGTGATTGAGGATGTAAAAGATGTGATGAAGACTCGAGAGTTGGTCTTTTGTGGGGATGGATGCATGGGGACGGAGTAGCGTAATATTATGTACAATTGCTACGCTTCGATTTTTAAACAAGAGATCATATAGTAGGAAAAAGAATCTTGCCATTAAGGAGAGCAAATGGAGTATCACATCACATACGACTCGAAAAAAGAGAAATAGATGAGGTTGTCGAAGGGAATTCATTGTAAACATCACGTGGAGGATTTAATTAGATGCATGTATTGGAGGTGTCGAAAGTGCAGACTTTTAAGGGCGGACAAGGTGCTTTAAAGGGAGAGGATTTTTTTTACGAGATTGAGTCGCCGTGACAATTCCGATATCTAAACTTGCGTATAATTTAATATCTTTGTGTTTCATATTATTTTAGGAATAAGGATAACTTTCCTCAAGTAGAGGAATCTGATCTCAGTATACGTGGAAGAGAAATAAATGCACAGAAAATGAGCACGTTTTGTTTTCCAACCATGCATTGATAATTTGATATCGACAGGCTTATCCTCTTAATTCTTCTTCTGTGCTGCTACGTAGCTAGCTGCCACCTGCCTTACTGGCGACATGGCCGATGGAGGGAGGAGCTTTATAAAACATTGCCAACTTGACGAAATCTTGAGTTTTTCAGGCATGGGCTATTTGTAGGTGGAAGGGGAAGGGAACTAGTTATTGTGTTTTTTTTGGGGTAGAAAATGGAGAGTTTAAAGTTGCATTCTCTAGTTCTACCACGGGTAGAGAACTAGTTAAGGGTTTAAGGCTACAATTAGGCCTATCGATATACATGTTCTCATCCTGATTAACCTCTCAGAGTTACACCGATATAAGTCACACGATCTCTGCAACCGTCGAGAGGTGTGAAATTTGTATATATATACAAACCCAAATCGAAACAAACACTTAATTTCTCTTTCTTCAACTGAGTCTCACAAAAACAATAAGTATGAATTTAAAGCTTGCACATATTCGTCATATCGTGTGTGTCTGGAATCAAAAGTTAATAATTAGGGTAAGTGAAATCTGAATATGAGATTGTAAAAGATGTCAAGATGGAATTAGAGTTGGTCCGTTGGTGATGGATGGAGAGGAAAAAGTAACATAAAATTCTCTGCAATTGCACGAATAAGGGCTTAATATAGTAATAATATTACTAGTTTTGAATCTGGAAGTCTCAAATTCGAATATTTAAAAGGGCAAAATTTGGCTGCTGGCTGTGTTGCAGCCCTCCGCTGCTACCAGCCATGTGGCACTATGTGATTGATTTCATTTGGTTAATTAATTATTACTTTGATGCTGGTTAAAAAAGGACGGAACAGAAATTGAAAATTGGATGCTCTTTTTTTTACGGGACGCGGACGTAAGAGCTGGCCGACGTCAAATGATTTATTTTGCTTTATATTTTGTTTTATATATTTTTTTTGTTATCATGCTTCATACATATTGTTGTGGTGATTTCGCTGTACAATAATAACAAAATCATCTCATATCAAAGGAAAGCCATCATGTTTGGGTCATATTAGTTTTAAATTCTAATTTCTATCTATCTAAAGTTTTCTGTAGATAGATATTATAGTTGTGTTACTCTATATAATATTATAGTATTTCTCTTTTTTCAAAGATAGTGTAATAATAACAACATAAGATAGCATAAATCAAACTACGAAACCAAATACGATAGTCGACAAATAAAAATTAAATCTATGTTTAAAAGCGAAATCTAAAAAAGATAAAAGAAACGTAACGTAATCTTAAAGAGGTATGATGAAACTATTATAAAAAAGAGGCATGATGAAACTTTACAATTAAAATTGAGGACGTAGGCAAAAAACCTATAGGAAAAATACCTTTTTAATGGTGGCTTATACGGTATTCCAGGTGAAATTCAGGGTACTGCATACCTTGAGTATGAAAACACTATCTAGACCTCGAATTAGCAGAATTTTTGGGATTGATACTATGCCCTAAGTCCTAACCCTTAATGTGTGAACCCTAGGTCCTAATTATCTAAATCATAAACTATAAACCCTAAGATCGAGCATTCATTTTTTTGCCTATATTTGGATGAATCATAGCCGTCGATTATTGTTTCTAATAAAATTAATTTTGTTGTATAAGATTTAAGGAACTAAGACCTAGATTTTGATCTTTACGTATTAGAGTATAGTATCATCTTCAAAAGATTAATCAATTCAAAGTCTGGATAGCATTTTCATACTCAAAGTATGCGGTACCTCAGATTTCTCCCTGGATAGTGTAGAACTCAACCCTTTTTTAATAATTTTTACACTTAATTGATAAAAATTGATAACACAGATATAAATAAAACAAAACATAAAGCAAAGTAACTAATTTGGCGACGGCCAGCTCCTCCGTCCGCGTCCCGTTAAAAAAAAAACTCATCCAATCCCACTTTCGTTCCGTCCAAATCCAGCATTCAAGTAATAAATGATTAATCAATTTGAACCAATCCGACACTGCCACATGGCTGGGTAGCAGCGGAGGGCTGCAACCCAGCCAGCAGCCAAATTTTGCCCTATTTAAAATAGTATCCAAAACCCAAAAAAAAAAAAAAACTATAGAACCTTATAAAAAAAAAATTCTCTACACTTGCGATAGTTTGATTTGCAGTAGGGATCATATAGAAATAAAAAAAAGTCTCGAAAGTAAGACAAGACCATCGTCCCATCGTAAATTAGAAAGTGGATGTCCATTGTATAATTAACTAATTGTAATTAGGTTATTACACTTTTCTACCAAAAAAAGAGAAGGTTGGTTACACACTTACACTTGAGGGCTGGATGTGGCTTATGTTTTGTATTAGTTTTTTTTTCTTCTTATAAAGGTATTAGTTTTTTTTTTACAAGAGAATTATTTTTGGTATTGATGGATGATCTCAATTTAACCATGGAACGCAAATACATTCATAGTCGAAGAACCACATGTCTTGTATTCACAGGTTTGAACACCAGAACATGCAAATGGAGATTAGAAAATAGGGAGCCATTCATCCTTTTCCTCCTCAATTTCGTCTGCCTAAAATTTGGCTGAATTGATGGAGACATAAACTAGCCTGGCTACTCGAAGACCACTCTACATGCATATATGGTTTAGGGTAGCATTCATCTTGCATACGCTAATTTTATCCTACGATTAATGACTTTTGCTATTTAGTTCATAAAATAACAAGAGTTTGGTATAGTACTATAATCTCTCATGGATCAACCTCAGGTCTGTAATTCTCTACACCAAAATCATAAAATCATTTTAATCAAAAATAAAAATCTATGATTATGATTCGTCAAAATATATCAAATTACATAAAGTATATCACATTACATCTACTAGGTATAAATGCAAGCATATATTACAGATGTACGCTACACTTTGCTATATAATTATATATGTTATGGGATGCATTGCATACCAATTCACTCCCCAAAAATTAAAGGCCCTTCTTCATCTCTTCATCATGCCTTCTTCTACCCAATAATTCCCTCCGGCAAAAGCCCAAATTTACCTTTACCATCATGACTAGTCTCTTCCATTTCAAGACCACAGCTGGTCATCGTCACAATTATCCACAAGTGGTTTGCCCTAATCATGCGGTGATCGGCGGCAACCGCCACTTCAAGACAAGCAAATCAACTGTTAATCCCTCCGTCTTGCGGCTTAACAAGTATGGAACTCCGGCGATAGACCCACCCAAGGAAAGACTAGAATGGGTCGTCGACACCAAGTCTCCGTCGACGGGGAAGTTCGGTAGGTTTGGTGGCAGGTTCGTCGCCGAGACCCTCATTTCCGCTCTGGAAGAGCTTGAAGTCGTATTTCATCATGTTCTTCAAGATCCTGAATTTCAGGTATTTGTTTAGGTTAAAGAGTTTATCTATTTTTTCTTTGGTGCACCATAAATTGCTAATCTCTACCACTTTCAAATCAAAAGTAAATCTTGAATGAGGCTTGTTTAAATTTATGTATTTTCTTGTTAATCATATTACAAAATATGATTGACATTATTTTGACATGAAATATTTGCTGAAAATGATAATTATGAGGCAAGTATATTGAATGAAAAAAATGACACGAAGTCCATTTCAAAAACCATACTGTTAGAGTGTGGTATAAGATCCAGCAGAACCTTCTTCCAACAACTCGAGTTATTGAGATCAACTGGTTCTTGACATGGTATCAGAACATCGAACTGAAAGGTCATGTGTTCGAATATCCACGACCCCCAATATTAACCGTTGTCTTTCAAACACATGGTATGGTGGGCATGTGCAAACTTCAAGCCCATGGATTGACTTTCGTTTGAGGGGGCGTGTTAGAGTGTGGTATAAGATTCAGCGGAACCTTCTTCCAATAACTCGAGTTATTGGGATCAACTGGTTCTTGACACATACTACTATTATATTGAGGAATTTTACAATGCTATATAGTATTGGTGCTATAGGTTTTTACTTTTATGGTACAATTTGAAATTGTACCTTTAACGTTATGGTACAACTTTAGATTATACCTATATTGTTTGTACAAATTCTTTTATGGTACAACTTGAACTTGTACCTTTATGTGATGGTACAACTTCAAGTTGTAAAGATGTATCATAACATAATGGTACAAATTGTTTTATGGTACAATCTAAATTTATAGATTTCATGTTATGATACAACTTAACTCGTATATTAAAGCACCGCTACATGGTAGAAATGCTCCAATTATATTATGTTAATCTGTTTTTTGGTGAAGGAGGAGCTAACGACGGCACTAAAGGACTACGTAGGCAGGGAAACCCCGCTCTACTACGCGGAGCGCCTCACGGCCCACTACAAGGGCCAAAACTTGGGCCGAGGTCCAGACATCTACATCAAGCGCGAGGATCTGGCCCACCTCGGGGCCCACAAGATGAACAACGCACTGGCCCAGGCAATGATCGCCAAACGGATGGGCCTCACCGCCGTCATAGCGGCGACCGGTGCGGGACAGCACGGAGTAGCGACGGCCGCCGCCTGTGCGAAGTTCGGACTCAGCTGTACAATCTTCATGGGCACCGCCGACATGGAGAAACAGCCGTCGAGCGTAGACCTCATGAACCTCCTCGGCGCGAAGGTCAGGCCGACGGCAGGAAGCTTCAAGGACGCCACCTCGGATTCAATCAGGGATTGGACGGAAAAATTGGGGGAAGTTTACTACTTGGCTGGCACGGCGGTTGGCCCCCACCCTTGCCCGACGATGGTTCGGGAGTTTCAGTCGGTGATCGGGAGGGAGACGCGGCGGCAGGCGGCGGAGAAATGGGGTGGGACTCCCGACGCGGTGGTTGCCTGCGTCGGGAGCGGCTCGAATGCGCTGGGGATTTTCCACGAATTTGTGCGGGATCCGACGGTGAGGCTGATCGTAGTGGAGGCGGCCGGGTTTGGACTGAACAGCGGGAAACACGCGGCGACGCTGGCCGCCGGTGAAGTTGGGGTTTATCACGGCGCGATGAGCTACTTGTTGCAGGATGAGGAAGGGCAGATTATCTGTCCGCACTCCGTCGGCGTTGGGTTAGTAACTTAGTAATCAACAAATCACTGTGTTTAGTTTCATTACCGTGCTAATTAACTTACTTAATAATGTTGATATTGATAATTGCGCAGGATGGAGTATCCTGGTGTAGCACCGGAGTTGAGCTTTCTGAAGGAGACCGGAAGAATGGAGTTCTACTCAGCTTCAGACGAAGAGGCTGTCGAAGGTAATGACACGCGTCGCACGAGCATCTGCTCGTGCTAAACCCTAAACCGTAAATGCTAAATCGAAAACAGTTTAATGCTTTGATTTCCATACTGATGTTGGAGGCTCGGGAATTGCAGCATACAGAAGGGTGGCTAGATTAGAAGGCATACTCCCAGCACTGGAGGCTTCTCATGCATTTGCATACCTAGAGAAACTGTGCCCTACTCTGCCCGACGGAGCCAAAATCATCATAAGTTGCAGCGGACGAGGAGAAAAAGATACAGAAACGGTTTTTAACTACCCAATCAGTTAAGGAAAGCCAGACAGGGCTAGATGTGAACACTGAAAACCAATAAGGTATAGTTTGGCAAAAGAACATCATAGCTGTAGTCTATGTACATAGATAAGCAAATGCAACTACAGTAGTGTAAAAACTGGAGATGTGATTGAGAATGTAATAGATGTCGAGACAGCGAGACTCGAGTGTGGGTCCATGGAGATGGATGGAGAAGTATGTGTGGTATAGTATTCTCTACAACTGTGACAGTTTCATCCGAACCAGGGATAGCATAGCTAAAGCCAATCATTACGATTGGTTAAAAGGAAGCATATTAGAACACAGCATCATTCATTTCAACAATCCAACTACTAACCATCCAAATTCATTTATAAAATTACTAGAGGAAACAAGATTCAACTGAACTACAGAGTTCACAAAGAGAAACATATATAGATTCAGATGAACTGCAAAGCTTTGCTAATTTAAGGAGAGATCTGAGTATAAACGACATGAAACAATTGGTAAGCCATCGACAAGCTCATGCGAGAGAAGGGTGTTCAAGTTATAACAAAAGCAACTGGAAAAAAATGAAACCTGATAAGTACAGGATATCACTGGTTTCTATCATGCTTCAGTTCTCTAAGTTCCTGAGCTCGTTTGGTAAGACTTACATTTCATAGATGAGCAGAAATGCCTCCCTGCTCAATGTGGAAAACAAGGGAAGAGTAGATTCTGAAGGACCTTTGTCTGCTAATGGATGTGAAGGCAAGCATATCTGCTAATGGATTCCTCTCCCTAGATGATCTGATAAGCAAAAAAGAGAGCTGGCAAATATGAATTTTCCCCCCTGCAAAATTAAGCATGCCAGATACAACTCCAACTATACATGTACACAGATTTCAACCATGGGCATGGAAACTCCTGTAAAATTAAGCAAAGAGCACACCACTAACATCATGAAATTAAAAGTTATAAAAGGACTGTGAAGCCTGGTCTAACACAAATTTTAACTCCGCAGTCGTTTCCTTTGACTACCCTCTTCTACATTGACCTGCACGTTGAGAAACAGTCGCACATATTTCAGCTAATAGCAACAGAGAAAAGGAAAAAGGGCCAAATATGCCAGATGTTATATCATCACTCAACCTAATAGAACGGATACCTCGAATCTAAATAATCTATCATAACAGCAACGATATTCAAAAATTCTAAACAGATTCTTACCTCATTATCCTGCCTCGAGTCTCCAGTGGGCATTACTCCACTAGACTCCGGCCTGCATTTGGCATGTACTATAGGACCTAACTGTGATATATCCATGCCTGGTGTCCACCCCTGGGGAGGCGCATTTAAATACACAGCACCTTTATACATCCATTCCTCGGTTTCATCACTAAAGAAATCATCAAATGGCTCTCCACATAATGCACATGCATTCTGATCTTCATCAGCAGGGACGGACAACTCTTCCTCATCATTCTTCTCAACAACATTCTCGGGAGGCAAAAAAAGGGGCACAACATCAGTTCCTAAGGCCTCAGCACCAGTGAGCCACATACTTGCACTAACAAACCACTTGCGAGAAGGGTTCTGCTTTCGGTTTTTAGACATGCGGTTCCTAGTAACATGCCAATCCATGTGAGCGCTGTGCTCTTCTTGGGACTTGAAGCGATGTCCACAAGTCATACACTGTCTAGGGAGATCAGCATACAAGGCTCTTATTGCCGACTCATGACGTACCTTGAGAAGATCAGCATCAAATTCAAGTCCCAGTGACTCCTACAGATGAAGGAGAATCATTAAGACAGGGGCACAAAGGCTCTGCTTTTATTCAACAAGTTGGTCGTATACAGAACAGAAAGTGGTAGAATTGAAATGCTGTAAAACATAAGGTAAAATGTTGTCCACATCAGAATTAGATTGTGGAAATAGAAGTTAAGAGTATGTATTTGATCAAGAAGTGGAATAATAGAGGCACCAATGGGTGGCAATTGTTGAATCTAATGGGGCCAGAGAGAATCTCCTCTCATATCCTAGAAACGAAAAATGGGTAATTCCATACCTGCTTAGTTGTCTGGTTTGTCAATGAGATCACACCTTGAGCCATGAGAGAATTCATCAAACCAGAAAATGCAACCGCTGGAGGCTGGTTCGGAATAAACGGACCACCATGCTGGTGGTTGAGCATCATTTGAGAGGCAGGAGGAGGACCAGGAGGTAGAGGTGGTCTTGCACCTATCTGTGAATGCAAGTTATTCAAAGTATTGTTGACTGGATGCATTGAAATAGGAGGGCCCATGTTAATCCCACCTCCATGTCGCTGCATGGGGTACCCATGATTTGATGGAGGCATATGCCGTGGCATTGAACCCAAAGAAGAATGGTCGAAATTCTCACGAGCTTCATGAGGTGGCAGAAACTGAGGTGCAAAGGGATTCAACTTCTGCCGATTCAAAGCATTGCTTTGATTAGGTGCCAGACGACGTTTCAGTAAACTGAGCCCTCTGCTCTCTAAACTATTATACTGTATCTCTGAGTTGGTAGCATTGTTGCTCTGCCTCTGTGGTGGAAGGCTTGGCTGCACAGATGGATGTGAAGGCAAATTGTCAGACCAAGTTCCAGAGGCATTGGTATCAACAGCCGATTCCATTATTGAAGAGACATACGGACGATGGATAAGCTGGGATTCAGTATCTGGGAATTTATCAGCCACAAGAGCCAAATTTTCCCGAGAATTCAGAAGATGTGTTGACCGAGGTAAGTGACGAGGAAAATTCAATGATTCTCTAGACTTCCCAATCACAGGCATACCGGATGATGACAACAAATTATTACTTATGTTCTGATTTGTCAAAGTAGGGCTCATATCTTCCCAGTCGAATTCCTCCTCTTCAGTATTCTGCCATGATCCTGTTGCCAGCTTATTGCCCACGCCATTCACATTCAGACGATCAAGCTGCAAGGGTTTATTACTTGCATTCCTTTGACTCCTATCATCCCCGTATGCATCTATCAGAGCTCTGGCAACGAGAGGCTCGTGTCCATTGCTAATTCTATGTACAACAGAAGTTTCGAATCTACTGTCTCTATCATCGGAATATCGTTTTCTTCTCCACTCATCTGCTTCTTCATTTCTGACACCAATTTTCCCAAGTTCATAATCAAATACACGATGAGATGGAGATTCCCCATGCACAAGTCTTCTAGGAGAACTCGATGACCCTAAGTCATCAAGCTCTGAAGATAATAGCCTCTCAGCTGAAGGTGACAAAGGTCTTGAAACCCTGGAATTTGAAGACGGGAGTAACTTATTGACTCCAAGAGTGAAAGATGAAGAAGCTGAACCTCCAGCAGTCTTTATTCTTTGGTTTCCTACCTGCAAGGATATGGGCATGACATGAACCTCCAAGTGTCATCTAACGATCAAAAGCATTATATGCAGAAATTTTATTTAACTCTGTCTAAATGATTCGATAGCCACCGTTAGATGAATCCTTTCTCAGCATTTAATTCTATATGCAATCCATATTTATCAGATGACCCTGAAGGGGCGTCAATGTAATCCTTTCAAAAGCATACAATGTCATTAATATTATGACTAAGGGGAATATCAGAATCAGCATATTATGACAAGGAAACCAAGTTCCCAATTTAAATAACCACACAATTGTTTCATAAAAAAATCTTACACTCTCTGAAGTTGATTGTTCTAATTGACGCAAGTACTTTGGATTCACATGTATGCCATGAGCTGGTCTGGGTGATTCAGAATCCCTCAACGATGTCAGGCCAGATGATTGATTGTTAGCTTGAGTGGAAAGCTGCAGCTGGGTGTCAATCTTGCGAAGAACAGCAGGAGGAAACACAGTGGACCATGTCCCAAAAAGATGTCGCATGGAAGGATAGAGACTAGGATGTATTTGTCTGTATGCTTCACAGAAAACCTGTCAAATAACATCACAAGTTTCATATGTCAGAGCAGCACCAGAAATCCTGAGAAAGCTAGCAGTGTACTATGCAATCAACTGACCTCTGGCAATCGGGAAGAGAAGTGCCTAACATAATCACGTCCAATGTTCTTCACAATACTGTCTAGCAGGTATAGAGAAGGCAGCTTTTGGTCAACTGGAGCCTGCAATAGATAAGTAAGAAATATAGCCATTTTGCCAAGATGAAACTCTTAATAGTTGCATAACGCGGTAAAACCAAATATCTTCACAGCTAAATACGCTTGCTCGTCTCTGAGATGTGGTGCGTTTTCGTTGTCACGTTATCTCAAATGTTAAGAACTGAATTGGTTGCACAATCGCCGAATCCACATTATGCGTACTGGTTATTTATTCATTCTAACTGAAGAAATTTCGTTTTCTTTCCTTCATACCCAAGGGGATTCACCATTTCATAACTCTTAAAACAGAATATTCAAACGGTTGAGACTATTATAATCCTGGAGTTGCAAGAGTCCTTTGAGTGCCCGAGCCTCAACCATATTGAAAGCGCCTCAGATGGAGGCAGTGCCAATTACCAACAGAACCCGACATTCGTGAAACAATCAGCTATATATTAGAAAAGCGAGTGAATACTTCAGGAACCCATCTATTTAAACGCGAGCAATCCTACTTCCCCACGGTTTCGAATCAGAGAGAAGAGCAAGAGCCAGAGTGTACACTAAAGAGCAGAAAATTGCCAATCAAGAGCCTTACATTGCACCAATCGAAACCCAACTTCTACTACATTTTCCCAGAACCCCTAAACCCGCTCTGCTAGAATTAATACAAGAAACGAAACTGGGAAGAGGTCTCCGTGACACGAACTGACCTCGATAATTCGAGCACAGATAGCGTCGGCAATTCCCTCGCCATGCTCCCGCTGCTCCCCGGCGACGATTGTCAAATCAGTGATGATAGGCTTGGAGTTGAAAGTTAATTCGGAGAGCATCAACTCGTAAAGCTGCACCACCTCATCCCCGGCCAACGACGACGAAGCGACTCCGCCGACATCGTCTCTGCCGGTAATCTCGGCCCGCTGCTTCATCAATGCCCTGAACCTATCGATTATCGTCGGCGGCGTCGGCTGCTGCTGAGACTTCTGTGGCGGCAGTTGGTCATTGGGCATGGCCTTGGTCGAAAACGAGAGGCCTCTAGGGTTCTCGCGGCGGACTAGAATCTCATCCGAGTCCATCCGAACTCAGAGGGAAGCGGAGAAATGGAATTAGGGTTTTCAAACACCATGTGAAGAAGAAGATTCGGTACGGTTAGGGATTTTTTTTCAACAATGCAAAATTTGATGGATAGGAAGTTTGAAGCAGAAAGGTCGGTTCTGACTTCTGATTCAATTCATGCGTTTTTTTTTGTCTGTCGCTTATTACGTCCTATGGGCCTAAACAAAATGTGGACCAAAGGCCCAAAGAGAGGTAGTAAAGGCCCATCAACGAAATAAGCAAATTTTAGAGTGAAAGGCCCATAAAAGAAAATCTTCCCTTGCGTTGGTCCTCACTCCACAGTCAGGCAGACCAGCAGCAGCTTTACTCTCTTAACTTCACCGGCATTCGGCGATCGAACAGCGGAGGACGCCATCGGCCGACGGCGAGCTTGTTCTCCCTATTCCCGTCCTCCTTTTATCTCCATTTGCATTAATTTTCACAACCTTCAAACCCCGTTTTGCCACCAAAAAAAAGTATATAGAAAAAAGGAACGTGGCCGATCACATCAACCGTTTCCTCTTCTCCTTCCTTTATTTCCGTCGATCCTCCCTTCCGCTTCCCTATATCAGCGCCGCAGCAACAGTTTTACTCTCAGTCTCCACCAATCAATCTGCGGAGATCGGATTTCTAGTGGTCGGCGGCGCAAGACAGGTGAGCTTCTTCTTCCTCTCCCCTTCCTCTGCCTTTCCAGCGCTCCTGGTTTCTCCTGATTACTGACCAATTGTAGCCGCCGGCATAAGCCGTGCTGGTTGCCGGTCATCGGAATCAGCTCCGTTCCCTAGAACCAGATTAATTTTCGTTGTCATTTCTCTATACTACCGGCAAATCCTTTTTTATCCCTAATCCTTTGAATGTAATGCTCTGATTATACATTCTCTCTGCCCTAAATCTGGTAATTTTATTTTTCAGGGCGGCGGGGCAATGGAGAAACTCAGGCGATTCAACCGGGACATCCGTGCTATCGAAGTTTGGAACTAGGGAATTGATTCAGATGAAACGCGTCTCCAAACTCTGGCGCAGCCTCATCTCCGACCTCCTCTCCGACCGTGACTTCGCACTGAACCATTCGCGGGGGCGGAACCAGTTGCTATCCGGATTCTTCTTCCGGCAGAACTCTGGAAAGGTAACCTACAATCTCTCATACGCAAGTTACATGTTTTCGGCTAGAAGGGAAGAAGATGTACGGCCACCAAAGCTTCTTAAAACCCATCTTGATCTCGTTCCAGAACATTTGGTGTTAGCCTCTTGCTGCAATGGTCTGGTTTGTTGCAAGAGTCTCTCCCATTACGCAAGCGATACCTTGACCATCCATGTAGGCAACCCGTTAACCAGAGAATTGGTTGAGCTAGATTTCCATTGGAGCAAGGGGGGATAGTGAGTGGCATCACGTTGATCTTCGATCCTTCCCGTGACATCGCTGATGATTCGACAGACTTCAAGGTGCTGTTGGCGTGGGATGGAGAGGAAGATGATGTGCTTTAAATCCATCTATACTCTTCGTTACTCGTCGAAAACGAAGAGGTGGAAGAATGGGCGTGTTAGGGTTGTGGTATATGATTCACGATTGAACATCTCTCAACAATTCGAGTTATTGGGACCAACTGGTTTATGACATGATATTAGAGCTATTTTGTTTTTGATGTCACGTGTTCAAGTCCTCACGACCCCCAATATTAACTGTTATCTTTCAAGCACATGGTATGATGGGTATGTGCAACATCAAGCCCATGAGTCGATTTTCGTTTGAGGGGTCGTGTAAGGAAGTGATTAAGTACCATACATGGGCCTGTATAAAATCCAGCATAACTTTCTCTCAATAACTCGAGTTATTGGGTTGGGACCAATTGGTTTATGACAATTGTTAGATATCTGTATCGACTGTTCAATACTGAAACCGAGTTGGCTCATGCGATCTTAGATATCTGTATCAACCGTAAGTGTGTGTGTCAAACGGATGTTGTATTGGCTCACAGGTGGCGCTGACTTGTGTATGTTCGATACTGAAACCGAGTTGGCTCATGCGATCTCCCCGCTAGTCCCAGCTTCCGAATTGGATAGCTTTGGGCCAGTTGTGTGCATCGGGGAATCGGATGGTGAGTTGCAGTATGCGATGATGTCGAACCAAGGACAGTGTATGTGGGTTCTGGAGGATCTGCGCAAGGGCAAATGGTCGTCATTGAGGTACGTAAAGTCGTTGGCTGATATCGAGAATGAGCATGCTAAGTTTTCTCTCAATTTGCAAGAGGAGATGAGGTTGCAGCAGCTCCGGGAGTCGGGTGGAAGCTTTGGCATTGAAAGATGGGGTTCTCGTACTAGAGGTGGGGGGCTATGTTTTCTTGTACGACATGGGGAACAATCGAATGAACCGCATTGCTCATACGACGGAGTTTGGTGACGAGCGAATGTTTGATTCTGATGTGTTTCCATATTCGGAGGTACCTAAGGTGGTTCCTTATTCTATGAATTTGGTTCCTCTGAATAGATCATGAACGAATATGTTACCCTAGGTTCGGTCTCCCTATTGTAAATCTTTGTTTGTACATTGTCGAGTCGCAACTCTCAGCGAGATTGAGAACATGAGAAAAACTTCGTTTAAATTTTCATTTGCTTGTTGATTTTCATGTTGTGGTGTTTTGCTTAGACTTAGAGATAGTTTCCTTTGGTGGTAATTTGTCCAAGAAAGACATGTTCAAATTTTACGATCGGACAAATTGAGTAAAAGTAGTAATTTAGAGCCAAACAGTTGAAATCGGACTATCGTTTTTGCCCATCTCAATTCGAAATAAATTCATGGCCTCAATGCATGCCAAATTAACGAGAATCTAATTCCTTCACCCTCGTATTTGTTTGACATATTTTATTATTGATTTTATGAGGATTTTGGATTAATATGCTAATTTGGACAAAATACATTTGATGGAAATATAAAAATTTCAGCCGTAGGTTTGCTAAAATCAAAGGTTAGTGACTGCTTTCAATAAGAATCCAAAGTTTGGGGACTGTTTAAGAAATTTACATGTGAATCAATTGGATTCGGAGGTTTGTTTTGTGTAACAAGATTTGTCCTTTTGCTGATCTCATTTCATTCCTCCCACCATTTTGTCTTCTTCTTCTCTCTCTTGCGTCTTTCCCCTTTCCAGTCCACAGCACCTTTCTCATTCTCACCACTCTACGCACAGAGCAGCAGCTGCAACTGACAGCTTTCTCTCCAATCTCCGACGGACTCCGGTGATCAAACGGTGGAGGCGGCGGCACTCAACGGTAAGCTTCTTCTCGCCCCTCCTCGTTTCCCCGTCTCTTTTCGTTTTCTTTTCTATGTATCTCCATGGCTTCTTCTGCTTTTTGTTCCCTATATCTGCCCGCCGTTAGCATCGGTGGCTATGCGCCGGTCGCCGGGGAGGGGAACCACCGGCCCCATTACATTTATTCATCTTCATCTGTTATTGAAGCTCTCTAACTACCTGCTGTCTACTTTCCCTCTGCATTCTTTCCTCTATGAAACTTGGGTAGAAATTAGGTTTTCGTTGCTCTGATTCGTGTCTTTTTCTCTGAAATTTCTTCCCATCTTCGTCAGCCAGGGGAACCCGGTGATCAAACGGCGGAGAACACACTACCATCGGACGGCTGCACTAGACGGTGGTGAGCTTCTCTTCTTTCTCCTCGCTCTTTTTCATTCTCTGCGTCTCCATGGTTTCTTATGCTTTTCTTTTTTCTATTTTTGCCGCCGTCAGAATGGAGAAGCTTAGGCGGATCAACCGGGACGTCTCCGATTTGGTGCTAACAAAATTGCAAGCTAGGGATTTGCTTCAGATGAAATGCGTCTCCAGAGCTTGGCGCGACCTCATCTCTGACCGATCATTCGCTGTGCACCATTCCCTCCACGGGCATCCGCCGCTGCTATCGGGGTTCCTCTTCCAGGAGAAATCTCGATGGGTGCCGCACAAGGTCTCGGCTGTGAGCTACGTCTCCACTCCGAAGGAAGAACCACCAAAGCTTCTCAAGACCCCTCTGGACTCCATTCCAGAGAATTTCGCCATTGCATCTTCCTGCAACGGCTTGATCTGCTGCAAGAGCTTCTCCCCTCTCAGCAAGGGTGCTTCCATCCCTTTATCAAAAAACACTAGTGCTACTATCCACGTAGGTAACGTTCTAACCAAAGAGTGGGTGCAAGTAGACTGGAAAGGGCCGCTTGGGACTGCGGTTGCCATGGGACTGACTTTTGATCCTTGTTCTGATCTCACCGGTAGTTCCACCAACTTCAAGGTGGTCATGGTATGGCAGACGGAGGACAGTGATGGGTACTCGTTTCATGTGTACTCATCGGAGACGAAGAGTTGGAGGCTTTCGGATGAAATGTGTGATCCCGGGTGGTACGAGGTGTACGATACCAAATGTGTGTCTGTGAAAGGGGTAGTGTACTGGCTCACTGATGGAGATAAGATTCTGCTGTTTGATGTGGAAAAGGAGATGTCTTATAGTGTCTCTACCCCGATCCCAGCTTCAGAATTCGATACCGAACCAGTGGTTGCCTGTGTTGGGGAAGCTGATGGGAAGTTGCAATATGTAATGGTGTCGATGGAAGGACTTCTGGTTTGGGGTTTGGAAGATCTATACGAGGGTAAGTGGTCGCTCGAGTATACAAAGTCGTTGGCCGATATGGAGAAAGAGCATGCCGAGTTCTCACTCAATCTGCAACAAGTGCTGAGGATGCAGGAGCTCAAGGAGCGATGGGTGGATCCTTTGGCTTTTAGAGATGGTATTTTGATGCTGAGGGTTTCGAACACGGTTTTCTCCTACAACACGAGGAACGGTGGGATGAACCGTGTTGCTCATGTGACTGAGTTTGGTACTGAGAGCATGTTTGATTCTATAGTGGTTCCTTACTCTTTGAGCTTGGCTCCTCTGAATCTGCCCTGAAAAAAGGTGCCTAGCTCTAGTTTCTTTTGCTACTTATCGTTGATTTACGTCGTCGATGTCTGATTGTGCCTCTCTCTATACTTCGTTTTGCAGAAAATATGCAGAAGGCACCTCCTGTGCAGGTTTCATGGGTACAATTCAAAGCTTTCCCCTGTCCCATAACCATTTTGTTGAGGGAGCAAGGTTTTGGAATTTGGATGTCTCAAAGATTAGTTATGGATGTAGACTGTATAGTACTGACATATATATGTCTAGCTAAACAGTAATATAGGTTACATTTGCCAGATAGTTCTGGTGTTGCACCTGCTGCCCATTTTGTTTGGGAGAGTTTCTTTTGATAGGGTACAAAACAGAGGGTGGGGAAAGAAAGTATTATGTTTTCTCCTGTGAAAACTCTTCGATCTTTTTCACCTGACCTGATATGTCATATGTGCTGATGGGAAGCCCTGGAAATGGGCCCGGGGATCCGGAGAACAATTCTGTCCCGGGCCGGCAAATAATTCGAGTCGACCAACACATTCTTGAGCTGATCGGGTAACAGTTAAACTCGGCTCGATTCCACCCTAAATTAGCACGACTAACAAGTCATCTTGAACATCACGATCATTTGTTTACCGAGTATTCTACATGTGTCGAGAAGTCAAACTAGGAAGCCATAAGAATAAGATGCCTCCTAATGCAAACAAAGAACACGGTCACAATCAAACATACTACAACAAGATCGTACATCCACCGCGTAGTTATAAGTTGGCAATTCAGTGCACAGCTTACGCATCAAAACAAACTAAGGGTCCTAGATCTTTTGGCTTCCTCTTCCTATTACTTGCATTATGGTTTCCCCTTCAAAACCTCATTTCAACCGTTCAAAATTGACGACGAATATTTGATTTTTCTCCATGGAGGCAAATATGGTGACCATCTCTTTCTCCCTGCCTGGGAAAGCTGCCAAAGGTCCCAGGTTTGTACGTCTTTCTCATTGGGATATTTGTGTAATGAGTTTCGCTTGTTGCGGTTGTTGAGAATTGATTTTGAGAACCCAATTTGCGGTTCAGAAATTGCGAGGTGGGTCTCTGTTTGTTTGCGACTCTGTTCCAAAGAGCCATGTGCTGGGAAAGTATGTGCAGCGATATGAGCAGGATCGTCGTTGAAAGTGGGTTTATTATGGGGAGTTGGTGCAATGCAATGACATTTCTGTAACTTGGTTTCAATAATTGATGATGGGTGGCTGGTTGTCCTGTTATGGGGAAAGAATTGTAACAAAAATATTGAACGGCTGTGGAGGATTGGTGTTCTTGTCTATGGCATGAACATGAATTGTCAGGGCGAAATTGGCAGCCTTTTAGACGTCAATTCGTGTCGATGGATGTGCATGTGAAAGAGTTTGGAGAGGAATGGGGAGACTGACGGTTCAAAATGTTGTACTATGAAGCTCTTGATGGCTCGTTAGACCCATTGTATAAGAAATGGAAATGGTCGTTGTCTGGATCGATGATTCTTAATTCCAATCATGTGTCATTTTATAAGGAGAAGGAAAAAAAATCATTAACAAACTAATTTTGGTTGCGAATTAACTTTTCGGTATATAATTTTGTTCGTTTATCTCATTGGCGGTGAGTCCAACATGTCCATGGTGAATGTTTGGTATCTTTCTTTCACTCGGATATGAATTGTGCTATGTACGAAACTCCCTGGCTTAATTATATCTGTAATATTGAGGATAAGTTTCATGAAGCGAACAGTTTCATACATTCACTAATCCGAGAGGGTCGTTGGGTTTCTTGAACGAGAACAAATGGATGTTAAATATGCTTAGTTATGAATGTGACAAGAGTCGAAACCCTTTTTTAGTTAGTCTCATTCAGTAATTGACCCTTGACGTGTTGTGGTTACTTGATTGGACTACCTCGTCACCGATGATGAGTCTACAAGTAGTTCGTGACGTATATCTCTTACAAGTTACGACGATACTGATCGTATCAGCTTCAAATTTGTGCTTAAACTTCTTAGATTCATATCCAAACTAGATTAATGTAAGATTAGTTACCACTCTTCTTTCACTTCAATGGAACTGAATACACATATTGATCATGTTGGTAGTGTGCCTTTATACAACATGCAAAAACCTTTAAAATCTCAATTAACTCATGGGTCATTCGCATCTCACAAAGGGACACTTGCTCTCTAAGGGTCACTTGTGGTTGGGACAGGAAATTGGAATTCCAACTCTCCCAAGTGGAATAATAACAAAACAAAACATAACATGTCTGTTAAAAAAATAAATGAAAAATCAACGGCTGCTGCTCTTTGCTACCCAGCAAGGGCCAGTAAGGACTTCGAAAGAGACAGAACAGAAGGGGTTGTAATCGTAATTTCCTAAACTACATGCTCAGTGCATTCACGAGCCAAACCGTATATTTGCTCCATCCCCTCTCTTTCCCCTCACCCAGTTCTTCTTGGTACTAAACCCGGTTCGGTTTAAATCAGGTTGAACCGCCGGATTCCATCAAACAAATCTCGAATCGAGATTAATACTGTTGTAATTAGATCATATAATTTTTTTCAACATCTGTTCTCAACATCTTCTTTGAGTTTTAGGGTCTCGCGCTCTGACCCCGGTCCACTTTCATATCGACTTAGATTTTGACTCGAGGTGCAAAGACAATTTGGCCAGGCAAAATTAGGTCGAACGATATCGATATTCTTGGATGAACTAGAGTCTAGAGTGATGTATGAGCCAATCCAATGCTGATTTCCATAAACGAGCAAATAAGCCGACAGAGTTGGAATCTAAAAGTCAAATAGAATCGAAAGTTGATCCTAATTATAGTTCTGATATCTTCTTTCATTTTCGATATGATCTAGCAATCACTTCGATGCTTTTACTCGATCGTGAATCAGATCGACTAGTCGAACCGAACCGTTACCCCACCCATGACCCACCCAACTTCCTTAATTATATAAAGCTCCCTCACTCCCCATCCTTTCTTCTCCAGAATCCAAAGCTCCTCCAACTCCTACTTCTCTTCCTCAAACCAAACCTCCAAAGTCACTCTTTTTCCCCTTCACTTCCCCCTTCCATTCATTCTAACCATGAACACAAAAATGATGTTATCTTCCCTCAATCGCGCTACCCATCCCATCTTCACCGCCTCTTCTTCCTCCTCAGAATTCTCACCCTGCATCAGAAGAAATTCCTCCACCGTCCCCAATTTCTCCCCACTCTCAATCACTCACAAGCCTCTCCACATTTCTTCCCTCCACCGCCGTCTCACGCCCTCGGAGAACAAAAAATCCCCGACCAGCACGGTATGCAATGCCTACGAGGCCGGCCAGCCGCGGCCGCTCGACATCAACATCGAGCTCCCCGTCGTCGACGGCGAGCAGGCGGCGCAGAAGATCAAGATCGGGATCTACTTCGCCACGTGGTGGGCGCTCAACGTCGTGTTCAACATCTACAACAAGAAGGTGCTGAATGCGTTTCCTTATCCATGGCTGACATCCACCCTTTCCCTCGCCTGTGGCTCGCTGATGATGCTCGTCTCGTGGGCCACCCGAGTCGCCGATGCTCCCCGAGTCGACTCCGAGTTCTTGAAGTCTCTGTTACCCGTAAGTCGTTGAAGGACTTGATTGATCATGGTTTAAAGTTAACGGGGTTTAACAGTCAGAATGTGAAATTTGGAGGGATGGACTAAATAGACTTTCTCGTCTAAAGATGAGAACTTTGTTTGTTTGAGGTCCAATTCTTGATTCGTAATAGTCAGAATTGGACGTCCAATTCTGACTATTACGAGTTGAAAGTGGAAGAGAAAGAAAAAGAAAACGTGTTTGATTATTTAGTCGTGTCGAATTTTGGTAGAAATTTGTGGTTGACAATTATGAATTGGTTTCGAATGTTGTGTTAGGTTGCTATCGCGCATACGATCGGGCATGTGGCTGCCACAGTGAGCATGTCGAAGGTGGCGGTGTCGTTCACACACATCATCAAGAGCGGCGAGCCAGCTTTTAGTGTCTTGGTGTCGGGGTTGGTGTTGGGGGAGACGTTCCCTCTTCCGGTGTACCTCTCTCTCCTGCCGATCATCGGTGGTTGTGCTCTGGCCGCGATCACCGAGCTCAATTTCAACGTGATTGGTAAGACATCATGAGATGCGAATAAGATGGTAAAACTTTGTAAGAGAGAGAGTGTGTGTGACACAAAATTGTTGACTCTAAGGTTCGAAATTTCGACAGGGTTCATGGGGGCGATGGTGTCGAATTTGGCGTTCGTTTTCCGGAACATTTTCTCGAAGAAAGGGATGAAGGGGAAATCCATTAGCGGGATGAATTACTATGCTTGTCTGTCGATCATGTCCCTCTTGATCCTAACTCCTTTTGCCATCGCCATGGAGGGGCCTCAGATGTGGGCTGCCGGGTGGCAAAACGCGGTTGCTCAAATTGGACCTAATTTCGTCTGGTAAGTACTCCGATTCGTCTAATTAAACTCGTTTGTATGGTACATTACTGCTCGAATTTGACCGATTCGTGCAGTGATAGTGTATGAAAAACGTTACTTCATTTTGAACATGCTATTCGTGTATTTTGACAAACAACGTGACCGAAATTTTTCGAGCAGGTGGGTAGTGGCGCAGAGCATCTTCTACCACTTGTACAATCAAGTGTCGTACATGTCGCTCGACCAGATATCTCCACTGACATTCAGCGTCGGAAACACGATGAAGAGGATCTCGGTCATCGTCTCGTCGATCATCATCTTCCACACCCCGATCCAACCCGTCAATGCCCTCGGAGCCGCCATCGCCATCTTCGGCACATTCCTCTACTCACAGGTAAATCTAATTCCAGCTCTTTTTTTTTTCTTGTGATCTCATACATATCAACTTCTCAAGCTCCTTATGGGACCAAAACGACCCATCTCACAAGTTAATGTCCTATTCTTTCTTCTTGTCTTTTCCTCTTCTGAGCATATTCCAATTCCCACTTGCTTGTGCAGAGGCACATTGACATTGAAGTAGTGTAAAGTGTAAACAGCCTTTGGGGCTGCTCTAGGGGTTTTCAAAGTTAGTAACTTGTTTTCTTGTGCGGTAATTTTTTTGGGCATGCAGGCAAAGCTGTAGATTCTGATGGATCGGAGGGGGAGCTTTTTGTTATCGGAGAAGAGAGGAGAATGGAGTAGCTCAAAGTCATTCAGGACTTGAAGTGGGAATTCGTTGATATTTATTAGCAAGGAATCTGTTGGGCTTATGGTAGCTAATAGAGTTGTTGTAATTTGCTTTATTAAGAAGGGTAAAAAAGGGTAGTAAGTATTTATTATTAGTGTAATTTTGTAGTATTTTTTCCCCTTGTTTTGGTGCAAGAGTTTGGTTTCTCATCATTGTACAATATAAAAATGTTCGAGAATTTTAAAATGCTCATATGGATCGGTATATTTATGATAAAAATTGAATTCATACAACAACGTCGAACATACAAGTTCAGTTTGTATCATAAAAAAAATTGTGTGAAGATATATAAGTATAAATTGAATTTGTACCATAACGTTAAGGTGCAAGTTCTGTTTGTATCGTAAAAAATTTTGTACGAAAAAGTATAAGTACAAACTGAATTTGTATCCTAAAGAAAAAAATGAAACATTGATCTTTATGAATATAATAACGGATCTAAAGATGTAATGTAATGAACCAATGTATAATATGATTTCGAAGAACCAATGCAAACTCTAGTTATAATTTGTAACGTGATAGAGACAACTAATTAAAAAAAAGTTAAGGCAACTCAATTTATGTTGGGAGGTGCCCTTCTAAAGGAAGTTCAGGTTCTGCGAGCATCTTTCCAAGTGTTTCGTTTCATTTCGCTTCGAGTAGGTATAATAGGGCTGTCCATCTCGTGACAAAACAAGTCCTTTTATCGTTGGTTCAGCGTCTCGTTGATCAACGTTCCCTTCTTTTCTTGTGATTTGGCTTGACTTGGCCTAGTATATTTGTATCTTGCTATTACTTTCCGGAATATCTATGGAAAAAAAATGTTGGCGGTTCTGGCCCAGGAAAAGACAATGGATAGGCCAAAATTTTTGCAATATCTCTATGGGCTCTGGCGGAGGCCCAAATGCCAAATCGGCTTTGGGGATTTGCAACTTTTGTCTTTTGAGGTTGTCAACGATACTGATAATGGGCCAAGAGATGGGCTTCCAAGTAGATTTTTGTAAGGGATGCAAAAATCACATATTGACTTCTAGAGTTATTGTGTTCCTTAGTTACAGAGCAGCTCAGTTGGTAGCTACTCAGGTTTTGTTATTGTCGCCTTATTTGTTTGAGGTTCGACTTTATTTTCTAATTTCGCAGTTGGCATGATTATGTTGTAAGTCTGTAGATATTTGTTTGTTCCTCTTATTTAAGAGTGATCTAATGACAAAAAATTCTACAGTTAAACCATCTTTATTTGAACAACTACAAAGAAAATTTTGCCAATTAACGGCTTTTTAGGTGTTTTTTTCATAATTTATGAACATATATGTTCTTCATTATGTCATTATAGAAAGAAAAAATTTGACCGGCCCTCTCTAGTATCAAATCTTAAGGGTCGTTTGGAACCTTTGATTTCGAAAATGGTTTCAAGAATGTGTGTCTTAAGATTATGTGTATACTATGAATGTGTGAGGTTTCAAGAAAGCTTTGTTTGGAAAATATAGAAGAATACATGGATTATACATGAAATGAACTATGGATACTAAATCTCACTAAAAAGATGAGATTAAGAATACAACATTTCCTATGTATTATGAATATAACGTATCATGCATTCTCTATACATGTATTCTATAATTAAAACAAGTTAAAAAATGTTGTATTCTTCAGAATACATGTATAGTTAGAATTGAAGGTTCCAAACGAGTCCGACCCTAATGATACCACCATTTCGTCGGGATTAGTAGCAAACTAGCACGGCATAATCGGAATCCAAGCCGATGGTGAATGTTGATTGGAATGGAATAAAAACAAAAGAACCATAATCAACTAATCATAATCGTCACTAAAAGACAATGAAAACACTGGAGACACGACAATATCGAATGACGAGACATGCAGGCATGTCCCCCGGCCCTAATCAATGATAGGCCAGGAAAAGATTTGATATCTTTGTGATGTGAAGCATGAGGGTTCTGTAATTAGAGCTATGTTACTAATGACCATAACATTAGTAATTTCGCTTAAAAAAAATTATGATGCATATTGAATTTGTATTTTGAATATTAAGATATAAATTTAGTTTGTGTTTGCACCTTTTTCATACAAATTATATTAAAAATTGAATGTCTTTTTTTTTATTGCATGCTGAAACAAACAGTAAATTGTAAATGTCCTATATATACTTTTTTTTGCTCCTTGACATGTAAATTGTTCTTCTGGCTAGTTACTGAATCACTTATTGTATGACTGCGTGAGTATTATTGATCCAATAATGGAAGTAGTGGATTCCAACAAACAACCTCTCAAATCCGATGGACAATTACTGTGACTTCTACTGTCCACCGACCACCGCCGACGTTCGGTCGACTGAGAAGGTACAAACAAGAAGCATACGTTACCCCATTACCACCATCACCATCGCTGCCCTTTCCGGGAAAGGAAAAAAGAACTTTCCAGTGGTCGCCGGTGGGGGACCGCCTAATTTGGATTTTCCCATTCATGATATTTTTCAACAACCACCACCCAATCGTTAATTATCAGAGCGTAACTCAAAGAAAATAATCGAAATCAGAAACAAACCGCGGTCAAGATTTATGTGATTTCATTGTTCAGAAAGTAAACAATATAAATTCTATTCGACGGACGAAATTATCTACAATAGTATTCGAATTCATCAATCGCGATGTCATTTCGTACTTATATATATCAATCTCTACAAACCCTGACCGAGTTAGAGAGGAAGGACTCCGGACAACAAAGAGGTGAACTAGGCCCAATACCAAGTATACTTACATGCAGATCATGCCATGACTCATGAGCGGAGCTTCAACCCTATGAATTACAACGGTACTTTATGAGATCGACTTTTAGTATAAAAAAAAACAGCGTTCACAGTCATCAATACATAGGTAAATCTAATTCGTCAAATCTAAAGAATTTACTGAATAATCGTGTAAAACCGAGATAATGACAGTATTTACCCTTGGAATACAAATATCTCTCTGGAAATGGGAATCCTGCTCCAAGAAACAAAAAAAGCAATGGAAATGGACTTGAGCGAAAGCTCTGCTTGCTGGCCTAGCTAGCTAGATAGCCTTCAATTCATTGCGACCACAAATGGAGCCAGCTAGGTCCGATTCGTGACAACAACAAAAAATGATTGACAAGGCCCCACAATTCCTGCGCTTAAAATGATGGCGAACTCTGCTCCTCCGTCCAATAAAATAATACACTCGGTCTATCTAAGCTTTGTTCTTCGCGCCATCAGCCATGGAAGAAGTGAGGTTTCCTGCTCTGATGTTGAGGACGATGGTGTGGTTTTTGCTGGGTGTGTGTACGGGTACTAATCCTGTCTCCGTGCGGAGTGCGGATTCAGGGGTACTTTCTTCTCCGTTTCCTAGCAATTTCCTGTTCGGGACTGCTTCTTCCTCTTATCAGTTCGAAGGGGCTTACTTGTCGGATGGTAAAGGTCTTAACAACTGGGACGTTTTCACCCATACTCCAGGTAAATTAACCTGTTCTATTCTATCTATCCCTTCGTTTTTTTTTACTGAGCGATTCATATATTTGAACCTGTTCATTGCAACTAATCATGGTTGGAGCTGGTAATTACACGGAAGATTGATGGTTGGTGCCATTGTGTTTGTAATTGATGCAGGCAACATAGCGGATGGAACTACGGGAGATATCGCCGTTGACCATTACAATAGATATCCGGTATGGTAAAAAAAAAAAATTTTATCTCCGTGAATATTTACTCTTAAATGACCCACGTGTGTAATTTGTTTTTACATGGACCAAAACAGGAAGACTTGGACTTGATGAGTTATCTCGGTGTCAATAGTTACCGTTTCTCGATATCATGGACGAGAATCCTACCGAGTGAGCTTTTCTTTCCTCGATTTCTCAGCCATCTTATATGGTTTACAAGTTTTACCCTAGAAGGTAAATTTACTATACCAATTTTTCATCAACTTGGTAATTCCAAGAGGGGAGATTTGGAGGAGTGAATCAAGCTGGGATAGACCATTACAACGACCTAATCAATGGACTTTTACAGAGAGGTATAGTTGTCTAATCCTATACCTTATAAGACCAGTGAAATCCCAGTCCATAAAGAGTCTAGCCTGAAAGATTCAGTTTTGCATTTCAATTTCAGGAATCCAACCATTTGTCAATTGTCACATTAGTTCACTATGTCATACCCCAGGAACTTGAAGACAGATACAGAGCTTGGCTGAGCCCTCAAATACAGTTAACTATTCTGTCTTTCCTTTCCTTTCCTTTCCCTAGTGGTGGTAAATTACACTGACACTTGAAATCTGTGTTTCAGAGAAGACTTCAGATATTATGCACAAGTGTGTTTCAGATCATTTGGGGACAGAGTGAAGCACTGGGTTACATTCAATGAGCCCAACGTTGCAGCGATTCGGAGTTATCGATCAGGAATCTTCCCGCCATCTCGATGCTCTGGTTCGTTTGGGAACTGCAGCAATGGAGATTCAGAGACAGAGCCTTTCATCGCAGCACATAACATGATCCTGTCGCATGCTGCCGCTGTCAACCTTTACCGAACCAAATACCAGGTAACTAACTACAGTCCATTCCCTCGAAATATGGCACAAAATAACTCGTTCGTGGGTATCCAACCGAATCCGAATCAATTTGATGTGCAGAAAGAACAAGGAGGCAGCATTGGGCTAGTTCTGAATGCCCTGTGGTACGAACCCATCAGCGATTCCATAGAAGATCAGTTGGCAGTTGAAAGAGCCCTGGCTTTCTTTATGAACTGGTAGGCAATTATAGTATGAACATTTTGTTGTAGAATGTAGTTAGAACCCTTAAAACTCTGTGACCATGATTTCAGGTTCCTTGACCCTGCCATATTTGGAAGATACCCTAAGGAAATGCGGCAGATTCTCGGGTCGAAACTGCCCGAATTCTCGAGCTACGAATCGAGGCTTCTGAGGAGGATTGGTCTGGACTTCATTGGGATCAATCAGTACACGAGTTTCTACGCAAAGGACTGCTTGTTTTCATCGTGTGAACAAGGTCCAGGAGCTTCAAAGACAGAGGGGATGGCTTTAAGGCTTGAGCAGAAGAATGGTTCTTACATTGGAACACCGGTATGATACACAAAATTTTGTTTTAAAAAATACGTCTCGACACTATGTTTGTTTATTCGTTTTCAGTCCTTTCAACAAAATTCGATCGGATTATGTTATTATTAACCAACCGGGTTGACTTCTAATACACCTTACAAAATGCGTCATTGATGATCACATGTCTTGTATATAGGAAATTCAAATTATTTGAAATTCTAAAACACTATAAACAAATAAATCGACATACTACATGTACTCCAAAACACTGTTAATACATTGTCAATTGTACTAATGATGTTGAAGTCTTTCTTTGCAGACTGGAGTGGATTGGATATTTGTTTATCCTCAAGGGATGGAAAATATTGTGACATATATAAAAGAGAGGTACAACAATGTACCCATGTACATTACAGAAAATGGTAAGCACCAAACAACACTTTATTCAAGTATCGAAATTCCTTATTTTCACACAAACTGACTTAGAATTTTCTTATTTTTGCAAATTTCTCATGGAGCTAGGGTTTGGGCAGACTCAGGATTTGCTCAATGATGTCAAGAGGGTGGATTACATGAGCAGCTACTTGGATGCGCTAGAAACTGCAGTCGGGTTAGCAAAAAATATAAATCATTTTGACAAGAGCATTTCCCCCATTATATGATGTTATATTTGAAATTCGATTTTGAGGTAAATTTTAGAGGTGGCAAATGAGTCAGGTTCAGTCTTCGTGAAGTGGATTAATACGAGTTGAAGGTTTCTTACAAGTTGGATTAAATAGGAGTTATGGGTCGGTCAAACTACAAATCTTCTTTAACAGGACAGGAGGGTCAATCGATACTGCAAATTTAATAAGTGGGCCAATTAAGTTGGTGTAGATTGGATCATACAAATTATAGGTAATAAAGAATGAGGTTACTAGTCTGTCCCAGGTTGATTCACAATATGGTTTGTACAATGGTTACTCATACAGTCATTACAAGTTTGGTCACTACGAGTAATAAGTTATAACACGTCGAGTTAATACGAGTTATACAAGTCAAAATGGATTAGCCCACCAAAAATATTGTTAGTCTTAAGGAGATGGTTCCAGAAACACTATAAGTTTGATAAACGGGTGTATGTTTAACTGTAATTGTATCATAACAACTATGAATTTGTTTGATTGAATTTGCGACGAATCTCGGATCAAAGACCAATCGGATTGTGTTAGGTTGCAGGAAAGGAGCAGACGTGAGAGGGTATTTTGCATGGTCACTGCTGGACAACTTCGAGTGGACAGCAGGCTACACAAGAAGGTTTGGATTGTACCAGGTTGAGTTCCCCAGCTTGAAAAGGATCCCAAGACTCTCGGCAACTTGGTACAAGAACTACATTGAAAGCTTCAAGGTTGTGAAGAGAAGCTCCTCCCTTTGATATGGGCCTATCTATTCTTAGGGATTAGCATTTGGGCTTGGCCTATGCCACGTTTTGTTGGGGTTGCTATATAAGCAACACTTAACATGTGTATAACTCATCCTCGTAATGCATTATGGCTAAGGATAAGGATGGCAATTGGTCGGGTTTAGCCACACCCAAATTCAAATTCATTAGTTTATTAGTGAAAAAAATTCGAGGCAAAACCCGCTGGGTTTGAAAAACTCAAACCCAACCCAGTCCGCTGGGTATCTGCGGGTTCATGGGTAACCCATGGATTTTTGTCGTAAAAAATCTACAATAACAAGTTCCTATCACAAATTATCCATATACAAAACACCATTCTAGAAAATTCAAGCAAATCACAAATTAACTATACAAATTGTTCAACACCAATCTAGATAACTCAAGAAAATTGAAGAAAATCACAACTTATCCATAAATAACATGATTAATTGAAATCTTCTTACTTTCAATTAAGTTTCTTCACTCTCCACTCGATAACATCAACTTCATTCTGTACAATTAGTAAGAAAAAATTAGACATGTCTCCACAAACATAAATAAGATTAGTTGTTTAGAATATTAAATATATCGAGAAAATTAATTATATGTGTGGGCAGATACCATGGGCCGAGTTTACCTAAACCCAATCCAACGTGAATAGTGAACGGGTTTGAACCCAAACCCGGCCCAAAATCCGTCAACACGAATTTTATCCGCGTTGATCGAGTTGGGTGGTGTGGGTATCTAACCTGTTTTACCCAAACTGTTTGGGCTGTTTTGGAGTGGGTCCGACCCGCCCCGTAAACGGAGCGGGACGGGCATGAATACTTCTCATCGACCCGACCTGCCCTGACCCGACCCATTCGCGACCCGGTCTGCACTAAATTGCATGTAATCTTAGTCAAATTATTTAGGATTTTTCTCTTATTACCTCATATTTTAGCTATAATAAAGTTGTAAATAAGTGAAAACATCAATTTCTCTAATAATTTAACTACATTTTATCATATTGTTGTTTCTTTCTTGATTTTTTAATGAAAATAACGAATATTTCTAATGTTTTTCACATAAATTATATACCTATTGGGTTGATCTGCCCCGAAACACACCCCATAATAAATTACCCGACCTGGCGCGGGGCTGATATGAGTATCGAGATACCCGCCTCGAAACTCCATTGTCATTCCTAATTATGGCAAATCATATACCTGATTTGGAGATTTTAAAGTGCATAAGATGTTGGAACACGTCAACGAGTAAACTATGTCTAGAAGACAGCTAGGTATTTCCTGGGCATAGTTAGATGGAGCTAGTAGTCAATATAAAAGGAGAAGATTAGGATTCGTCTACAAACAAAATCTCTTACATCAATAAGTTATTAATTATTTTAACTAAAGTGTGAAAGTGTTGTAAAAAATCATTTCATTCATTATGCAGTGCTAGGCATGCTTAAGCGATGCCTAAGCGAGCTAGGAACTAGACAAGATCCGTTTAACACATTGATGAATACAACAAGCATACTAGTAGGCACAGTGGTTAATACGACATTATTAACTACGGTAGTTAAAAATACATTTTTCTTGTACTGTATGTTCTTCATTCAAATATTTCTCTCATATGTTGTATTTCTCTCATTCAAAAATACATTTTCTCTCATATTTGGCATGCACGGGCAACAATTTCATTATTGTTAAGAAATCAGAAGCCTAAGCATATCAATGAAATACAGTTAACAAAGGCAATGGGGATCAAACATACCTGTTGTTGATCAATAAAGGTTGACATATTCTCTTTTAATTGAAGTGCTGATGATATGCACAAAAGGATAGGGTGCATCATTGTACTTCCGAGGAAAAGACCAGTCCTGACATGCACTTTGAGCAATGAAGTTAAGTATTCAGAGACACCTGCTGTTGTTTGAATCTAATGCAGACTGAGAAGCCCGAGGACAAGGTGAAGAGCAAAGGAGAGAGGGCGAACAGAAGCACAACGACAATTGACTAGTATTGCTCATATTCCTGACACAACTAACAATCTGCTCATCCCAAAACCAAAATTCGGAAATTGGTCAAACCAGAAAATGGCTAAAACTGGCAAAAGCTATCATTTCTAAGAGAATCCCAACTAGCGGCGCTGGACTAAGCTAGGATATCTCCATTTGCATTCAAAACAAAACAACAGGAAGGAACAACAAGACTAATAGTAATAACATCCAAATCGGTCAAAGGAAAGCACCGAATGCCACGGCTGAATCGCAACACTATAAAAGCCTTTTTGTGAGATATTGATGGAGCCAGAAAGCACTCAGTGAGAAAATGTTTGCAAGATTGAGAAAGCAACAAATTTTCGTGGTAAAAGCTTGGGGGACAAAAGGCAGGTGCGGGACTTGGACCCTGTCTAGAAAAGGAATAACTAAAACTTATTGAATAGATTCAGGATCTACTGTAACAATAATCTTTTCACTGACTCTTCAACGGTACCAAGGATTTGAAGAAAATTAAACAGTTCACACGGTGACTCTAGCGGAATTCTTCTCGAAGATGATCATCAAGTCATGCCATCCAAAAACCAAGCAGCTCATATTCATTTCAGCTGTTAAATATCAACGAAGACTAGAGATAGTTCTACGTCATACAAGAGACAACCTATTCTGTGGCACATCAAGTAGAGTTGGGGTTTTCAAACAAACAAGAAGAAGCATCAAGGCAACTCTTTCGCTGTGTTATAGTTTAAGAAAAGTTTTAAAACATGTAGAGAGCTCAATTTAATCCATGTAAGCACATTTATACTAGGTTAACGACATTAAAAAGGTAACGTCCATCACTCGGTATTTCAAATGTAAACTAACTAGCTCGGGATTACCAGACCCAGTAGGACGTGGAGCCAGACTTCAGTAACAATGATTTTTTCACCGACTTCTCAACAGTATCAAAGATTCGAAGAAAATCAAAACAGTTCACATAGTGATAGTGCCTCTAGCTGAATCTCTTACCAAACAATGCAAAATTTTCGTTCTTCAAACTATTTTGTGGCACATCATGTAAAGCTGGGAGAAGAAGCATCAAGGCAACTCTATCACTGAACTATTGTTTGAGGAAATTTTTAACACATGTACAGCTCAATTTAATCCATGCAAGCACATTTAGACTAGATTAACGACATTCAAAGGTAATTACTTAGTGAGAATACATATGCAGAGATACGCACAGCACCATGCCGCCAGCAATACCGAAGCAACATCCATCACTCGGAATTTCAAACGTAAACTTGCTCTGGACCTTCCTAACAGAAAGACATCTGTGGATCAGCATGAACCTGAACTAGGACTAGAAATTGAAAATGGGGCAAAGGCCAATTAGATAAACATACGCATCTTTAGCCAACCCAAAAGCACCAATTGACAAGTGGGCCGAACAACCAATTGGTTATACATCTCACTACCACACGATATTAATAATCTGAATAACCAGTTGAATGGAACAGGATATAAACTGAATCCCGCAATGCTTAGGGACAAGATAATATATAGAAAATGATCCATGACTGCAGCTTTCCCTGCATGTGATTACAGTGTGCATAGCCCCACACGAAACTAGTATCAAAATCTCTATCCATCAAGCAAGCAACTTTACACGGTCTGCGATCCAATCACTATCAGAATCAATAATATGATGCATGTTATAAAAAAAGGAAACTCCTCCTTGGCAGAGAAAGAAAACTCCGCGGGAAGATTATCATTTGAATAATTGGAATGGATAGCGAAACACTCAAGGTTGACGAAGAGAAAAGGGGCTAGCCTACTACTGAAAAACACTGTAAAAGGATATTTGGTTCGAGAACCATCAGAACCAAATCTGTACTCAAGGCAGAAGGAGAACCTTGATTAAGAATAATTACCTTATAGGACCTTAATAAACAAAATTCTCATAGTAGGGACTCATATAAATGCAAGTACTACCAAGATAGTAATCAACTAATTAACCAGGAAACCCACTATTCAATTCTAGGGAACCAATAATACAGCAGGACAACAAGAACTAACCACAGCTCTGCCCAGGACGTTTTGACTTTCACTTGGAAGCTACAGACATGAAAATATTCCAGAAACAACCAATTCTCAACTCATAAGTTTCCACCGATAAAATCTTGACTTGTGGCTGCATAAGGAAAATATGGACTCAGAAAAACTCATTTCTTCTAACTACTAAGTCCGGCTTATAGAATCTATTGCAAGAACCATAACTTATAGACAAGCAAAATGGCAATTAACAGATCTGGCATGACCACTATGCTTACATGAGGCAACAACTAAGACCAACATTCCTTTACAGAATAGTTTGTTTTTTTTAAAAGCCAAGGAATTGCCCAAACCAGAAGATCATTCAAGGCAGCCATCAGTATCACGTTTTGTTTTAGGATCTTTTGGTTTTTCCTCATAAAATATCCACAACCAGAAACATTTTTTTAAGGAAGATACTCTAATAATTTTCACAATGACATTATCTCCACCATTCTTTACTCAAGGCAGGCACAATCATGACTAAGCAAGATTCCCCTTTTGAACCTCTTATTTTCACTTTGAGAACCACCAAATTCAGTTTTGGCAGAAGAGCAACAGTGACTAAACATAATCACCTTCTAGGACCTAGTAATTTTCACATCAAGAAAATCGCCACAACCAATCGTTAATTGTGGCAGAAGGGAAACCATGACTAAATATATACCTTTCTATTCTAGGACACCAACAAATAGAATGTCCAACATAGGGACCCATATTTATGCAAACTCACAGTATCTTTAATATATGTTTGAGATCTACCAGATCTCCCATCTATGGCCTCTGTCAAATATAGCTGGATTCCAACAGCTTCATTAAGCACTGACATGTAGATGACGACTTACAAATGTGTAATTAGCATTGCACTCCTCAAATTAATCTCGACTATGCAGGCTACAACACTAAAAGATACCCCTTATCAATTATACAGAAGAAGGGCAACGAGGACCTGCAATGGCTTAGTGAATGGCAACAAATATAATTTGAGAAACAAAATTGATTCTACGATAAGGCGGACAATTCCAATTCAAATGGTTATTAGAGGTTAAGAGTTCAACAACTTGACCTGGTTCTCTTCTATATAACTCTCTTTCAAATGGTAAGTTATAAAAAGCAAAGTTTGGCAACGAAAAGTACTGCTACGGGACAGAAACCTATCAACTAACCAGAAAAAATCTCATTCTATTCTAGGTAACCAATAATACAGCAGAATAAAGAACTAGCCACACTTCCTTCCATGACTTCTTTATTTTCACTTGGAAGTTACCATTAACATGAGATAGATTCTAAGAATAAACAATCAATTTCACTTCAAGGAAATCCACCACTAGAATCTCGACACAAGGATGCATAATGGAAAACAAACTCACCTCTAGGAAGGAACTCACAAGTTTGGCTTGCAGAATCTCTAGAACCATAACTTTTAGACATGCAAAAGGGAACCTCAGAGAGATTGCATGAAAACTATGCTTAAATGACCAAGATTCCCTTGTGAAACCTAAGTTTTTTTAAATCCAGGGGATTGACCAAACCAGAATCTTAAAAAAGGGCAGTCATGGCAGTCAAAGATTTAATATAGGACTTCGAGATTTTCTCTTATAAATTATCCACAACCAAAATTAATATTTAAGGCAGATGGCAGCCAATAGATTGCTATGTTCCTTTCTTGGAACTCTTTCGATTTACATGGAGCAGTGTCAAAACTGGAATCTTCGCACAAAGAAGACAAGCAACCTGGACAGACAAAGGTTACCTCTCACTATCTTGTAACTCAAAACTTTATCAAGGTAGAAGGACCACTAAACCTTTGCGCAAAAGGGAATCCATGACTAAGCAAGATTTCCTTCTAGGACAACGTAATTTTACTTCGGGAATCGCCACAAGTTACACTTAAAGAATCACCACAACCAAATTTTACTCAAGGCAGAAGGGCAATCATGAGAATCTATTTCAATTCGGGAATTGCAACAACCAATCATTACTCGAGGCATAAGAGAATCTATGACATAGTTCCCGACCAGAACATTGTAATTTTCAGTTCAGAGAACGGCCACAAGCCCACAACCAATCTTTATTCAATGCAGAAGGGCAACCATGATTAAGCACGACTCCCTTCTAGGACATTGTAATTTACTAGGAGCATTGCCACAAGAATTTTTCACTCAAGGCAGAAGGGCAACCATGACTACGCATAGTTCCCTTCTAGGACCTCGCAATTTCAGTTCGAAATGCCACAACCACTCTTTACTCAAGGCAAAAGGGCAACCATGCTAAGCATAATTCCCATTTAGGACCTTGTATTTTCAGTTCGGATAACCGTCATAGCCAGTCTTTACTTAAGGCAGAAGGGCAATTATTACAGCATAATTCCCATCTAGGACCTTGTCATTTTCAGTTCAAGGAACCTACACAACCAATCTTCACTCAATGCAGAAGGGCTACCATGATTAAGCATGATTCCCTTATAGGACATTGTAATTTACTTGAGAATCGCCACAATTCACTCAAGGCAGAAAGGCAACCATGACTATGCATAATTCCTTTCTAGGACCTTGAAATTTCAGTTCAAGAATCACCACAACCAATCTAGGATTTGGTGATTTTCTTTCAGAAAATATCCACAACCAAAATTATTATTTAAGGCAAACGACAACCAATAGCTTGGCTATGTTCGTTTCTAGGAACTCTTTTGATTCAAGTTACACTTCAAGAACCACCATAACCAATTTTTACTCACGGCAGAGAGACAACCATGACTATGCATAATTCCCATCTAGGACCTTACTATTTCAGTTTGGGGAATTGCGACAATCCATCATTACTCGAGACAGAAGGGAATCTATGACATAGTTCCAGTCTAGAACCTCGTAATTTTCAATGCAGAGAACCACCACAAACAATCTTTACTCAATGCAGAATGGCAACCATGAAGAACAATTCCCGTCTATGAAATTGTAATTCACTAGGACAACCACCACAAGCAGTTTTCACTCAAGGCAGAAGGGCAACCATGACTGTGCATAATTCCCTTCTAGGACCTTGCAATTTTCAGTTTGGAGAACCGCCACAGCCAGTGTTTACTTAAGGCAGAAGGGCAATTATTACAACATAATTCCCATCTAGGACCTTGTAATTTTCAATTCAGGGAACCGCCCCAATCCATTTTCACTCAATGCAGAGGGGCAACCATGATTAAGCATGATTCCCTTCTAGGACATTGCAATTTACTTTGAGAATCGCCGCAAGCAAACTTCACTTAAGGCAGAAGGGCAACCATGACTATGCATGATTCCCTTCTAGGACCTTGAAATTTCAGTTCAAGAATCAACACAATCAACTGTTACACAAAGCAAAACAGCAACAATGACTAACCATTATTCTCATATAGGACCTTGTAATTATCGGTTCAGAGAGCCACCACAATCACTCTTTACCTAAGGCAGAAGGGCAATTATGACAGCATAACTCCCTTCTAGGACCTTAAAAATGAACTGGGCTCATATTAATGCAAGCTCAGATGACTTCGTAGTATGTTTTGTCTGCCGACAACCAATTAACAATGCCTTGCTATTAACTCTGTCAAATAAGCAGGATTATAAGGACTTCATTAAGCACTAATTGCTAACACACAACCAACAAATGTTTCATAGGCAACATGTTTCCTTCAAATTTAATCCCCCAAACGTACAGGCCGCAACATAAAAGATCTCCCAAATAAAGTTTACAGAAGGGAAACGTGGACTTGTAATGTTCCACTTCACACTACTGAAGTAGTGAATTGCGGCAAACATAACTCCCACTAATGCTCAGTTAGATAATTGCAACTCAGATGGTTAATGCATACATAAGAGCAACCACTAGCCATGGTTCTCTTCGAGAAATCCCTTTCAGGGGTTTGTTTAATTGAATTTCCATCAACGAATAAACTATAAAGAGCATATGTGGCAAATAGAAGTATGGCTTATGAGACATCAGCAAACTAACAGCACAGAATCACTGTTCAGTCCTAGGACACACTAAAATTGGCATTGCTCGCAACAAACCAACTTGCGATTCTGAACACAGCAGCCAAAACATTGTTATCAAAGAACCGTCCAAATTTACCCTCATGATGCAACAAAGTGAAAGAGATTATGATACCCCTATTCAACCCACTAAGCCCATTTCATCAAAGATCGAAACAGATCACGGGACAAATAAGAGAACTAGTCCTTCGACAAAGAAGGAAACGTGTGGAAATTCAACCCACAAGATGCGAAGCAAAATTGAAAAGAAGGGGAGGCGACAAGGAGAAGATGATAAAACTTGTACCAGTTAAACAGGCAGAGATAAGAAACCATCATGGATCGTTCGCCGACGACATTCATCACACCGGAGAACGGACTGAGTCGCTGAGAGAGAATCGCCATCCTTCACCGAACCCTTATAAAGCCCAACAAAAGACAGATAGCGACATCACGGCAACCGGAACCCTAACTCTACTGGAACGGTGAAACCCTAGGCTCAGACGCTTCTCGTCTCTGTCGGATTGAAAAAAAGGCCGGAAAACCTATTTATAGGGATCAATCACGGCGAGTCGGTTGATAAATTATTACCGTTGAAAAGAGTCGGTTAGCCTGAAAAATACGCCGGAGTCGGTTCCCGCAAATTTTGTTGAACTTTTACGCGGTTAACTTTGACGCGTGTAACGTGTAAAGTGCAAGAAAAAAAGTTGGGCCTGTGCGAGTAATATACAATTGGGCTTTTTCCTAATTCACAACTGATAATTAACTCGTGAGTCGTGACCAACACATTCATCAGGCCCAATCTATTTAACTTCAGGCCCAGTCCACCAACGATGAAACTTGGCGCGGCTGTCTCCACCCGTTACTATTGGTGCGACAATGTTTCCATCAACACCAGATTAATTCAAACTAATTCGATATTTTTTAACATAATCGAGCAAAGATTAAATGTAATCCACACTCGTTATATGAATTTCGAATACTAATAAAAACATGATGATACCGTTAGTTTTTTGCATACAAGGAGGCAAAAGCCAAGAAAAAGAGAGGTTACATGTGATGATACCGTTAGTTAATTGAACCAAATGGGATCAATTATTATTTGATTCGATCCTAAAATTTCCTCTACCTTCAGAAGAATTGTCCTGATACTATTTGTACTAGACGTTTGCACTCTCCTACAAGCCACCATGTTAATTACCATAAAATCAAGTATAATAAAAAAAAAGAATCGCTACTAGGATAACCGAAAGACAGGATGAGATCCACAAAATTAGGCTTGAGACTTGAGTTTGTTGAGCAATTAGCAGAGTGATCGAGTGAAGTACTAACACGAACTAAGAAGTGGGTTGCGTCCATATTTATTCAGGACCAGACCAGATCAAGAGATGAATACATCCTACAGTACGGATCATAGCCCAAACCATACCATACCATTCTTGACGATTTACGGTCCTGACCAAACTGTGCAGTTCAGTTTGGTCCGTGACTTTTCTAATGGTCTAGTCTATTTTCTACAACCTAACTATGACTGATGCAGTCAAAATCGCGCTTTAAAACTTAAAATCTTACGTTTTTACCTTTTTAGGTCACCAAAACGCTTCTCTGTAGAATCGTGATTTTTCCTTACAAATGTAGTCAAAATTTACATTTTAAAACTTAAAATCTTACGATTCTACGTTTCTAGGTCATCCAACCGCTTTTAGGTAGAATTGAGTTTTTGACTGGGCATTATGACAAGCTTTCGGTTAGTAAAGACTCTTTAGATAATATCACGTACAAAATCCAACTCACCTCAATAGCTTACTTTCCGTGGAGACCTTGGTGGACCTGGAATTAGGTGTCTTTTTTTTCAGAATGTAAATATAATAAATGTTTAATTCATATAATTAATAAATAATAATACCCAAATCGTTCATACATTGAAAAATAAATAATTAGTTTATACAATTATCATTATCACAACAACTACGATACATTTTCATATATAAAATACATTCATATTGTCCACTTCTCAATTAGCATGTCGGTGGAGGACTAGGGATAGGGAGAGTCGCGGTGTTGAGTTGTGTTGTTGTGTGGATTTGATGCAAAATGCGAGGATTTTAGCTTGTTGTGTAAAAATGATGTTGTGTTAACATAGAAGTGTAGCATTCAATACGATTTATATACATATAGCACGAGGATGATTTAAACGTGAATAAATACCTCACATATTATGTTCGAACCTTAACCTTAATCTTAATCATATATACCAAAACTTCACATGAATTCGCAGATTATTCATGAAACTATAATTAATTACCTCCCCCTCAGACTAACAATTTATAGTTCACATAAACAGCTGTAATGATTGGATTTTTCTAATCTGGAAAAAAAAAAAAGATAGCTCTAATTTCTAAGTTCAACGTACGTCCTCCTAACACACTGTTTGGTGGAACTACTTTTCAAACTCTATCTAAACTACACAATTAATTTCTGGAATCTGCAGGCTTGACTCGTTCAAGAGCCTTATTATCAAATAAACAAATCATCGGCCAAATTCGGTTCAGAACACTAGCTTAGGCAGCTTTCGTTTCACAAGTCAAATTTCTGTATTAGGCGGCGTTGGTAAATTAATTACCAACCACACACGTTTCCGCCTTCCCCCAATATATACATGACCCAACCAACACAACAACAACAACAGGCAAAATCGTACTCTGGAAAGAAGGGAAAACCAAACTTCGTTCTTCTTTTTTTTTGGTTTCGTAAATCAGGACATCCATCGTCGACAACAGTGATCGAATCGTCGAACAACAATGAGAGGAGCTCGTTCCTCGACTCCTTCGTCGTCACCTTTTCTTCCTCTGGTCGTGATGATGGTTGTCGTCGCCCTGTTTCCTTCGTCATCGTTCTCCTTCAGCCTGAAATCCGCGAAACCCTTTCTTCGTAGCAACGTCGAGGACGATTCTCCATTTCGCGAGGACTTCTTGTTTGGAACTGCAGCCTCTTCCTACCAGGTATATGTACAGCTTGTTTTTTCATCCCTTTCTCGAAAGGTAACAGGATGTTGGCTCTCCAAAGTTCGAAACGAGAAATTGTTGTGACAAATCTACCTTCTTTTTTTTTTGCAGTTTGAAGGAGCGTATTTGAGTGATGGGAAAGGGATCAGCAATTGGGACGTTCACAGCCATACCCCAGGTATATATGAGAAGAAGAGAACCCTGTTTGTTGACTGATGAATTCAGGCAATGCAAGAGCCGCCATGGCCGGTTTTCTTTTCTGTTGTTCTGATTAGCTTTGGTTTGGTTCCCTTTGCAGGCAAGATCGTCGATGGAAGCAATGGAGATGTCGCCGTCGATTCTTATCACCTCTATCAGGTACTACTATATCAATACTGCCAAGTTGCCTCCTTTATTATAATTTGTTTTCTATTTTGTGTCCACTTTGAAAGACAAATTGCATATATTACAAGATAACATATTGAGTTTTAACTTTTAATTTAAACTCAAGAATCAATCGTGTATTTGAACTGACGAGTGACTGACTACAAAAATTTTACACATAAATTTTGATAGCTTCAAATGCTAACAATCGATTCACGCGCGCGATATATGATTGATATCTACAAATTCTGATTTTATTTGAAGGTGTAGCTGTTAGCAATCCGATTTATTTTAGAAATATAATAGATAGATAACCAATAATTTGCACATTGTTTTTGTGGGTTTTTTTCTTCAATTTATATTGTGTTTGTAAAAAAAAAAAATTGAAACATTATTTTTCCCAATAATGTCAATATGGGACTATCTCTATCCTAATTCTAGCCACTTGTGAGTGGTTGAGATTATTTGTAGCTATGTGTTCTCTTCTTATTTCTGTTTGGTAGGGATGTTTGTGATGATGGAACTCATTGGTCATTATTATCCATTCTAATTCTAAAACAAAGTAGAAAAAAGAAAACTAGAAAATGAGCCAATCTTATCCCTAATTAGGTGGCAAACTATATCATTTTTCAAACCCATTTTTTGGTTTCCACTTCCACAAAGTATATATTTGGATTAAAAAGAATTTCCTTTGGTGATTATACAGGAAGATATTAAGCTAATGAAATCCCTTGGAGTCAACAGCTACCGGTTCTCCATTTCTTGGTCACGCATACTACCTAGTAAGTGTTTGGAAATGAAATGAGATTCATTTTTTTCACTCTCGGTCTCTCTCGTACCCCGAATAATTAGAACGAGCTGGTTGTCGACAAACGGACGGTCTTTATATAATAGATAGGGGTAAAACTAATTCATTGTGGAAATCATGCAGAAGGGAGGTTTGGAGAGATAAATCAAGCTGGAATTGCATATTACAACGAGCTCATCGACGCTCTCGTACTTGAAGGAGTCGAACTATTTGTGACGCTCTGCCATTTTGATATGCCGCAAGAGTTAGAGGACCAATATAAGAGTTGGCTAAGCTCGGAAATTCAGTAAGTCAACCAATATCATAAGATATTCTGATTGAATAAATTCAATCTCACTAACTTCATTTATAAAATACCATTGAAATCAAGAGTATGTTTCGATTATTGATGAGGCTTATGTTTTTTTTATTTTTTTATTTTTCAGGGAGGATTTCGGGTACTACGCTGACGTATGCTTCAAGTACTTTGGCGACAGAGTGAAATATTGGTCGACTTTCAACGAACCAAACTTCCAAGTCACCTTCGGTTACCGAGACGGCACTTTCCCGCCATCCCGCTGCTCGGGGCACTTTGGTAATTGCACGGACGGGGACTCAGAAACGGAGCCGTATATAGCCGCCCACAACATAATCCTCTCTCATGCAGCCGCCGTCGACGTCTACCGCACCAAATACCAAAAGGACCAGAAGGGCATGATCGGAATTGTACTCCACTGCGCTTGGTTCGAACCGTTCAGCGATTCAGAAGCCGATGGGTTGGCCACGGACCGGGCCAATGCTTTCTTCGCGAACTGGTTCTTCGACCCGATCGTGCTTGGTCGGTACCCGGAAGAGATGAGCCAGGTTCTCGGGTCGACCCTGCCCGAGTTCTCGAGTAAGGATATGGAGAAGCTTAAGCAAGGGCTGGATTTCTTGGGGATCAACCATTATACGAGCTACTACATCAAGGATTGTATCTACTCTGCTTGTGAGCCTGGGCTTGGAACTACCAGGAGTGAAGGTTCATTCCAGACAATCCAGGAAAGGGATGGATTCCCAATGGGGAAACGAGTAAGTTTTTTTTTCTTCTTCTTCTGCTCCAAGTTACATCGTCGATGGATCGTACTGGCTCGACCACGTATCTGAAATTCCTCGATGCGATTTTTCGTACTAACATGGCAGTTTCTTTCGCTTGTTGGATATGCAGGGTGATTTGGGTTGGCAATACATTTACCCACAAGGAATGGAGAAAATGGTGACATACTTAAAAGATAGATACAACAATGTGCCCATGATTATCTCAGAAAACGGTAAGAACAATTGTCATTGAAGTCTGATTAAATCATCTCATCTAGGGTTAATCGTTTTCGTCATAGAACTGATTTGGGTCTGCTCTTTTTTGACAATCTGTGGCAACAAAAAAAAAACAGGGTATGGTGAGATGAACAGTCCAATGCTCACTACTGGAGATTTCCTCAACGACGTGAGAAGAGTAGAGTACATGTCTGGGTACTTGGAATCACTCATGGCAGCAATCAGGAAAGGCGCAGACGTGAGAGGGTACTACGCGTGGTCGTTGCTCGACAACTTCGAGTGGACCAACGGTTATACCCAGAGGTTCGGGATCTGCCACGTCGATTACAACACTCTGGAGAGAACTCCAAAGCTATCGGCGAAATGGTTCAAAGGATTCATCGCCAAGTATGGCAAGACACCCAGAGCCCTGTTGTGAGTGAATGGGGATCAACCCATATAGCAGAAGGAAATAGCTTAATTCTTTTGTTTATTTACAAGTGATGTTGACCCTAACGTTTAAAATTAGGGTCGCTTGGAAGTTTGTCATCGTTCGTTATCACTAAGCCAAACTTGTAATTATCAGTAGAGAAAGATAGGAAAAGAGGTGCAATTGATTCATTGTCATTGTGATAATGGCATGAAATTGATTGATTGGTTCATTGTTGAATGCAAGCAAACACATTGACCGCGACAAACAATGATCAATAATATGTGAGAAAATACTGATATCACAAGTGTTGTTGACCCTAAAGTTTGAACTCGGCGTAAGTTCGAAGGCTGTCACTATGAGCATCATAATCACTAGACCTACTTAGAGTGAAAATAAATGAACAATATTACACTGATTGTGGAATGTAATTATCATTTGAGAAAGAAAGACAGGAAACAATGTAATTATATATTGATTCATTGTAAGCTATGATAATGATATGAGATGTGACTGATCGATTAATGCAAGCTTCTCTTCAAGAAGCTACATGACAAGAGTATAAGCTTAGAGGGGGATCTGACCTTTTCTTGGACTCCAAGATTCCTGCGGCCAGCAATTCGTCCCTTTACCAAAAGGCCTACTCTCCACAGTCCATTTCGCTTGGTTGGTGAATTTGGATTCAAGCTGCTGTGTTTTTCCCTCATCATCTCCACCAGGGGGATCCGGCCTCATAGCTACATTCTCCGTCGTCCCACGAGATTTGACACGCCTGGAGACCAATGGCGGAAGTTGGTTCTTTGCCGTGAAGTAAAATCCATTCTTCTATGGCTATTCGGTAATCATCTTCGTCGTTGCTGATGTAGTGGCGTCTGTGTTTTCCGAATGGGTTTAGCCCCGGACTGGCAAGCTCAGCAACTGCAGCTGGCATGTACATCGCATCACCGATTAATGGGGCGCCACAGGCAGCTAGCTGAGCTCGAATCTGCAGAACATGTGCAACAGCCAATAAGTAGAGATGGTAAATGTATCAGTTCAATTTAATATACCAAAACTTTCAAAATTACCAAGTAGCCATGTTCAAGTGTTGCACGTTATGCTTAAAGTTCCAGAGTTAAAAAAATTTGGTTCAAGTATTAACACCGAGTACCTAAAGATTTTGGGTCGTACACTAGTGTATCTCAACTTCCAAAATTTAAGCAAACCTGTCCAGATATTAAATCCAACTTTGTTCTGCCGAGTTCTGATGAAGGAAAACAACACTCTCATACCCGTCTTCTCGCTATTAACAAACCAATCTATGTAACCATTATACTTTAGTACACAATTCTCCAGACGAACTTCACCCAACAGTCCTTACTCCTGACAAATAACCGAAACACACTACACCACATCAAATTTTCAAGAGAATATCATTGATTCTCAACAGTCTAAGAACGACAAACCCATTACCACACATTGCATGCATCCATGAGCACATTGTCACCTAACCAGCAAACCCAGTAACCCAACTAATTTAGGACCTCTAGTACCAGCAATAAGAGAGCAATTGCGGAGAACAATTTATCGAGTGATCTGTGGGTAATGTTGAAATACTGAATGGAGAAAGAACAGAAATTTATGCAGAGGTAACCTGGTGAGTGCGGCCAGTCAAAAGGTTAATCCTGCATTCGTATGCTTTGTCTCTCGTGGGCCACCCACAGTCTTCAACGCAATGCATTTCTTCGATTGAAGTACTTGGCCAAGGGACCTCTTTGCATTCCATAACTTCAAGTTGGCACAAGTGCCACCTATCTACATGCTCTGCAAGCAATATGAACTCAAAGGTCAAGTTCAGCCTCCTAACGTGGAAATAATGTTTTTGCTAAAGTACATATAGAATGCTGCTGACATGCACCATCTGATATATATTCATATGAACTTCATGAGCTATGAAACACCTGTTATTCTTAAGTACCTTCTGAAACAAGACGTGGAGCCTTATTAATTGGACGCATGTAGTGGGTAATTACACCAGTTGGCAGTGGAGATGAGGCGAGAGCAAGATAAAGTTTCTTCACTCGTTTTTCCTGACAATGAGATGGAATACGTACATCAACACTCTGAGTATTCCTATTAAAGTGAAACTTGCATCATTAGACATCAAATGTTACATTCTGAAATCAAACCCATATTCAAGTTGCAATGGCGATTTATGGATGAGTTTCACTCCTAGTACCAATGGCTGGCTAAGGCAACTTGGTCAAGGAACTTACTCTGATTTTCTGGTGAAATATTGAGCAGTATTCCTTGGTCCTAGCTAAGACCACACTGAGAAGCAGAAGTCACTAGTCAGTCATTTATACACATACTACAAGAACAGCAACAGAGAATTAAATGAGAATAATTACCAGCCCTCCGTGCAATTATCAATCTGATGAGTTGTCTTCAATGGTTCTGTTAAACCCAATGCACGACTAGCAAATGTTGCACAGCTTTCTTCAATGTTGTCTGTCGTTCCCCCTACCTGAACGGGAATTGAAAATGATGATCAAGTAGCAAATATTGATACCTACATTCAAAATTTTCATATAAGAGGCCCTTAAATGCTGATAACAATTCCACCTAAAAAGCTATTAACAAGATTCAAATGATGCAGCATCAAACATTTGCTATAATCAACAAAGAATCTCCTCAAACTATTTGCTCATCAAAGTCTGAATTCCCTCCATACGAAATTGAATGCAATTGAAACCAAATGGTTAGACTGCCTACCGACGTGCCAGCAGGTTTATCCAAAACAACATAAGAGTCAGCTACAGCTAAAATTCTCGATCTCCAATCAATTTCATAGCACCTGCAAGAGACCAAACCGTCAAAAACCATCATGACACTCAGAAAACCACACTCACATCTTCACCAAAATAAGACTATTCCTCACCTAGGGAAGCGCTTTGGATGCACATGAACACGTAAATACGTTCCAGCCTCCACGAACTCATCGGGACGAGTTATCCTGAAAGTCTTCTGCGCTTCTCGTACCGTCTTCCCTTTGATGCAACCTCTTTTCTTCAAAACAGATGGTGCTGTGACCTCTTTGAACACCCTAATCTGCTCAGGAGTTGCAGTTTGTGGCGGCTGTGGGCATACTAGGGCATAATGTACAGCTCCGAATTGAATAAGATCTGTAACAAACCTTCAAAGCATTTGATATCCACAAAATTGAAGATCTTACTATCAATTTGAAGAAGAAAAAAACTAATTTTGCATGACCTAAGAGCAAGAACTTACAGTGGAGGAAGGTCAAGAGCCTTGCAGATATAGTCTAGAACTTTAGCATCTCCCGAGACTACAAGGTGCTCGACTCTGGGAGGGAAATTATAAACCGGGCAAGGTAACAGCCGATCGTATTCTGGATAACTGGTGAAACATACATGAAATTGAATTCAGCGGCTTGCGAAATACAGTCGTCAAACAATGGCGCTCACTATCAAACTGTTCATCGAAGAATTGAAGGGAGAGAAAGAGGCATACGCGGGGAATTCGGTAATGGCGGTAGAATGAGAGACGTCCACTATGGATGACGCGCAGCGGAAATGTCTGTGGTTTGAGTTCGAATTCGAACGAGCTGGAGCGAGCTTGTTGCGGTACTTGTGTAGTAGAGACCGACCGCGAGTGAAGGAAAAAGTGCGCCGGAAGGTTGACGGCGCGCTGATGAAGCTCCGGTGACTACTGACAAATATTGAAGATAAGTACAGGGAAGCCATTTTCGCCGGTGAGGTAGAGCTAGCGAAAACCTCGCGGATGGGTTTTGAAAAAGATGACGAGTTTGGCGGGTCGGGTTGTCCTTGTCGACGGTTCCCGGGGGAACGGCTCTGTTATGGGCTTATAATAGGCCCAGAAGGTCCAAAGTGGGTAAAAGGTTGTTATGGGATAATTAATTGAGCCTCTATGGCCCATACTAAGGTCAATAATGGGATTGGATGGAGTCATATTGATAAGGGAGAGCTATTCTCGGAACAACCTCAACAGCTCTTGCTCACTTTGTTGTTCTGTTACTTTTCTGTTCCTTACTTCTAGTGAGTTGTTTCTCCTGTACGTAGGATTAGCAATCTTGTTGCTATCTTGTTGCTATCACTAATGTATATATACACACACAATCAATAAGAACAATCAGGATTTCCAATACACTTTCATGGTATCAGAGCCGCATAAACTCCAACGAGTCTCCTTCTGAAAAAAAAATTTCCATCTTCTCTGTCACCATGTCTACTACATCCACCAATTCCTCTACCTCTTCTGGTTCTGTTTCCTCATCTGCTTCTGCTCCTATTACTCTTCCCAGCAATCCCCAGTTGTCGGTGAAACTCACTCCGACGAATTACCTTCTCTGGCGTGCCCAACTTCGTCCTCTGCTCTGCTGCTCTCGTCTCATGGGTCATGTTGACGGTTCTGTTCGTGCTCCTCCGCCACTCGTAGCGGATCAGCCCAATCCGGAGTACAACCAATGGTACGAACGCGATCAACTCGTTCTTATGTGGATTACTCAGTCCCTGTCTGAATCGGTCATGCCCATTGTTATCAATAAATCCACTGCTCAAGAGGCTTGGGAGTCTCTGTCTCGTGTCTATGCTTCTGGGTCACCGGTGATTATTGGCCAGCTTCGCCGATCTCTCAACAAAATCACCCGTGGTACTGATTCGGCTCATGAGTATCTTCAACGCGCCAAGGGTCTGTTTGATCAGCTTGCCGCCCTGGGGGCGCCGGTTTCTGAGGCGGAGTTGGTGACCGCGGTGCTTGATGGATTGGACGATGAGTTTCGTCCGTTCACCCGTAACCTGGAGGCTCAACTTCGACCTGTCTCCTTTGAAGATTTGAGTAGCCTTCTGGTGAGTGAAGAGCCGCAACTTCGACGCTCTCAGGCCAGCGGCGGTGGCTCCTCCCCGCAGATTTTTTATGCTGCCGGCTCGTCTGCTCGGCATCGTGGTGGTGGCCGTTTTGGCCGATCTCGCAGTGGCCGGTTTGCGGGCCGTGGCTCTAGGCCCACCTCTTTTTTTCCTAACCCTACTGCGCCTCGGCCTATGAATGCAGGAGTTTTGGGCGCTGGGCCTGCTGGCTCCTCTGGCCCGTCTGTTATTGTTTGTCACAACTGTGGGGGAAGGGGGCACATCCGGCCCAACTGTCCCAGTCCAGCTTATTCCAACCAATCCACCACTACCCCTGGCCCAGCCTCTTATTTAGCCCAAACCTCTCATCCAGCTCATTCCTCTCAACAATGGCTCCTTGATTCAGGCGCTAATCATCACCTTACCTCTGATTTGGATAATTTGGCTCATCACTCTGAATACAATGGTACCGATCAAGTGATTTTCGGCAATGGTAAATCTCTCCCTATTTCTCATTCTGGATCCTCTTCTGCTCATCTCTCGAATTTCTCTTATTCCCTTGATAATATTCTCTGTGTCAAAAATTCACCTCACAATCTTCTTTCCATTAGTTCTCTTACTCGCACTAATCCTATTTCCATTGAATTTTTTGACTCTTATTTTGTCATTAAGGACCGCCGCACGAAATCTGAACTCTATCGCGGCTCTGTGGTTGATGGCCTTTATTCGCTTCCACTACACATCTCTCGCTCTGCTGCTCCACGTGCCTTCTCCGCTTCTCTTGATCGCTGGCATCAACGTCTTGGTCATGCCAATTTGAGAGCAGTGAAATCTTTTTTGTTTCGAAATCAAATAAATTATCATGATGATTCGTCTTCTCTTTGTCATGGTTGTTCCGTTAGCAAAATTCACAAACTTCCTTTTCCTGCTTCCACTTATCAAGCATCTGCTCCTTTGGAGCTTATTTGTAGTGATCTATGGGGACCGGCTCCTGTTCTTTCCTATGACAATCAATCATATTATATCTTATTTTATGATCACTATAGTAAATTTAGTTGGATTTATTTTGTTCAATATAAATCTCAACTCCTACAAGTCTTCATTCACTTTCGTCAGCTTGTTGAGAAATTTTTTGGCCTTCCCATTAAAATGTTTCAATCCGATTGGGGCGGCGAATTTCAAGCTTTGCAATCTTATCTTACGAACAATGGCATTCTTCACCGTTCTTCGTGTCCTTACACTCCTGAGCAAAATGGGTGTGCTGAGCGCAAACATCGCCACATTGTCAACAATGGTCTTGCCATGTTGCACCAAGCTCACGTTCCTCTCAAATATTGGCCTCTCGCGTTTGATACTGCCTGTTATCTTATCAATCGCACTCCCACTCCTCTTCTTCATCAAGCCTCTCCTTTTCAAACTTTGTTTCATCGTTCTCCTGATATTCTTAATCTTCGTATTTTTGGTTGTTTGTGCTACCCCTGGTTACGTCCTTCCACTTCTAATAAACTTGAGCCGAGGTCAATTCCTTGTGTTTTTCTTGGTTACAGTAAATTACATAAAGGTTATCGGTGCCTTGATCCTACGACTTCTCGCATTTATGTGAGTCGTCATGTTCTCTTTGATGAGTCCAAATTTCCATATTCGGATCCTTCTTTTCCCACCACCACTTCCCCCGATCCATCTCTATTCCATCTTTCCTCTCCCTCTTCCATGCCTACTGTTTCTTTAACTTCCCCACCTGCCCCTACTATTGATACGGGCTCCCCACCAAACCATATACACCCCATTCCCCAACCCATCTTACCCAAATTACCTTTGGGCCTTCACCCTCTTCCAGCCCCATCTATCCCTATACCGCAACCCAATCCCTCCTTCCCTCGGCCCACTTCCCCTGATCCAATAACTCAACCCCCACTCTCTACAGCCCACCCATCGCCCTCTGCAGCCCACCCACTCTCAACAACCCATCCACCCCCCTTGACAGCCCAACCATCCACTACAGCCCAACCACCGCCCTCCCCTTCCTCACCTGCTGCCCGATCCCTCGCCCCACCCAAACCCGCGAGACCTCTGCTCCAGTACCGTCGTCGCGTCTCTTCCACCTCTGTCCAACCTCGCACATCCCTGTCCACTCCTCCTCCATCCAAATCTCTCCCCCCTCCTTCCATCATTACAAATCGCCCACCATTCAATACATCCCCTCGCCTCCTTCCCTCACCCAATCTTTCGTCCTCTGCTGATGTTCCTCCCCGACGGATTGTGACTCGCTCCCAAACCGGACATTTGAAGCCTCGTCAATTCGTCGCCACCACTGCCTCTACTCTGCCTTCCACGGCGGCAGCGGCTATGAAGTCTCCACAGTGGCGATCGGCAATGACGGTTGAGTTTGATGCGCTAATGAGAAATCATACCTGGGAGCTTGTCCCTGCTCCTCGAGGATGCAACGTACTCTCTAATCGGTGGATCTTTGCTATCAAAACCAACCCCGACGGCTCGGTTGAACGATATAAGGCGCGACTTGTTGCTCGGGGTTTCCAGCAGATTCCCGGTCATGATTTCACCCAAACATTCAGTCCTGTACTGAAGCCTGCAACTTTGCGTTTGCTTTTGGGGCTTGCTGTCTCCAATTCTTGGCCACTACATCAGCTCGATATCTCCAATGCCTTCTTAAATGGCACCCTACAGGAGGATGTTTATATGCAGCAGCCTACAGGTTTTATTAACCCAGATTTTCCTGATTATGTGTGTCGCCTCAAGAAATCAATATATGGTCTTCGGCAGGCTCCGAGAGCTTGGTTTAATTGCTTATCAACAGCTCTTCGCGAGTTTGGTTTCTCTGCTTCTCAGACAGATCCATCGCTATTTATCTACAGGAGGGGTTCGGCCATGATTTACATGTTAGTCTATGTTGATGATCTTGTTATTACAGGCACCGATTCATCCATTATTCAGCAGCTTATGGTATTTCTTCGTTCCAAGTTTGCCTTGCGTGATTTGGGTCGTTTATCATACTTTCTTGGTCTCGAAGTGCATCACACAGCCGAGGGCTTGATTCTAAATCAACGGAAGTATATACTTGAGCTTCTGAATCGTTCAGGGATGTCTACTGCCAAAGCACTCTCCACTCCTTGTACGGCTGATCAGCTCCTGCAAAGTGCCTCCGATGTGTCTCCTGCCTTTGCTGATCCGGGACTCTACAGAAGCATTGTGGGTGGCCTCCAATATCTCAGCTTCACTCGACCCGACATCTCATTTGCTGTCAATCATGTGTCTCAGTTCCAGCACTCTCCTACTGATGCTCACTGGGCAGCGGTCAAACGTATCATGCGTTACTTACAAGGGACTTTGACTCAAGGCTTGGTATTTCAACGCTCTCCTCAGCCTCAGCTCCACGGTTATTCTGATGCCTCATTTGCTTCATGTCCTCGCGATCGGAAGTCCATCTCTGGGTATGCTGTTTTCTATGGTCGCAATTTGGTTTCATGGTCAACTCGCAAGCAACAGGCAGTTGCTAGATCGTCTACTGAGTGTGAATACCGGGCTCTGGCCACTTTAGCTTCCGAGGTTATTTGGTTACAAGCCTTACTCACCGAGATTGGCCAGCCTCCTTCCTCGTCTCCTGTTCTCTGGTGTGATAATTTGGGCGCCACTTACCTTGCCCACAACCCAGTTTTTCACACAAGGTCGAAGCATATGGAAATAGAGTTTCATTTTGTTCGCGATCGCGTTAACAAACAACAACTACATGTTCGGTATCTGCCCGCCACAGATCAACTTGCCGATGTTCTTACTAAGCCGCTTTCTCGACTGCCATTTCGCAATTTTTGTTCCAAGTTTCACCTCACCGAGGTTCCACTTGCGGGGGCGTGATAAGGGAGAGCTATTCTCGAAACAACCTCAACAGCTCTTGCCCACTTTGTTGTTCTGTTACTTTTCTGTTCCTTACTTCTAGTGAGCTGTTTCTCCTGTACGTAGGATTAGCAATCTTGTTGCTATCTTGTTGCTATCACTGATGTATATATACACACACAATCAATAAGAACAATCAGGATTTCCAATACACTTTCACATATCACTCTGCAAAAATCACGATATGTATTTGTGTTGAAATCGAGATTCAGTCATTACATATCATAAAATCGGCTATTAATTGACACTCTGACTAGATTGTTAGTACGATATGGCTCACAAACATCACTCATAACATAAATTTACTTCGTCGCCTCAATATGGAATTCAGTACTTGGGGTAGCGTTTCAAAGAAATGTAGCCAATCCAACCACCAGCCTCTTACATTTTCATATAATTAAGTAATTAACAAAAACAAATCCAAATAAAAAAAGTTAATCAACTCCTTAATCATTTTAGTAATAATAATAATCCTTCTTTCAATTACGTAAAACATAGACACACAACATCATATAATACCTTATCTAATGACCTAAAACAAACACAATATTACAACATGGTTTATTTCATTCTATTACAACAAAAGGAACAGCAAAATTCACGACCGTGGCACTATCACCGCTTTGAGCGGATTCTTCATCACAACAGTAAAAGCAAACGTCTCGGTCGGGTCGGGCGGATACTCGGGCACGGGCACCCACTTGAACTTCTGTACCATCCTCGCCAGCATCAAATTCACATGCAAAACCCCCAGAGACAAACCGGGACAAGTCCTCCGACCCGCCCCGAACGGCAGCATCTTCACGGCGCCCTTCGTCCCCGTCATATCAACCCCGACCCCGTCCCCATCCAAAAACCTCTCGGGTCGGAAAACCTCCGGATCCTTCCACAGACTCGGATCCTCCGTCATCCACTCGATGTAGAACTCCACGTTCACATCCGCCGGGATCCTGTACCCACCGAGCTCCGTCTCCTCCGTCGCCGCGTGGGAGAGCGTGAAATGCGCGGGGGAGTGGACCCTCAACGACTCCTTGATAATCGCGTTCAGATACGGCATCGTTTCGACGTGTTCCTCCCCAATTCTCCCCTCCTTCCCCACGCGCTCCACAATTTCCCCGTACAGCTTCTCCTGAATCCCCGGGTTCACCACCAGCTCGTAGAACACCCACTGCAGCACGCTGGTGCTCGTGTCGATCCCGGCCACGAACACCTCGGTGCAGAGCGTGACGAGCTCCTGGTCCCCCAATCGGCCTCGACCCGGCGCGTCGAGGCCGAACAGGGAGTCCACGTAGGCAGCCCCGACGGGACTGACCATCTCGGAATTCGGGCCCTCGCCCTTCTGGACGAAGGCCCGACGATTGTTGATCAAAGGGAGGAGACACTCAACCTGGACCTTCCTCAGCTGCTTGGCCTTCCTCATCTGCTTGCCGAACAATGGAGTCAAAATTGGGAAGAAATCGGGGAGGTGCGGCATCGTGATGAGCATGACTTCCTTGGTGACATTGTCGATGTCGCGGATCCACTCCTCGGAGATCTTGGCGCCGAAGCAGATGCAGACGAGGATCTGGCAGACGGTGAACCGGCACGTGTCCATGACGTCGACGAACCCGGCCCGCTTCGACTCGGCCTCGAGCCGGCCCATGTGCCGCTCCAGGGCCCAGTCGCGGATCCAGCCGCACTGCTTCACGCGGAGCGGGCTGATGAGCTCGGAGACGAAGTTGCGGCGGAGGGCCCGCCAGAGCGGGCCGTACTCGGCGGAATTGACGGCGCACTTCCCGATGCTGAAGACGAGTCGGATGGGTGAGTCGGGCGGGCGGGATGCGAAGGAGGAGCCCTTTTGGACCAGGGCCTCGTGGATCAGATCTGGGCTCGTGACGATGACGAGGGTCCGCTGGCCCATTTTCATGGTGAACATTGGGCCGTACTTTTTGCGGAGGTCCGGGATGGCGAAGATGAAGTGGCGGCGCTGGAGGATGATTTGGAAGAGGTTGCCGACGAACGGCCAGCCCGGCGGGCCGGGAGGGAGGATTGCCTTGGAGGCGGAGGGGGAGGAGGAGAAGGAGCGGCGCCACCAGAAGGCGAGGAAGAGGAGGGAGGCGACGGCGAGGAAGAGGTCGATGAGCTCCATTTTCGGGGAAGGGAAGGGAATTGAGACAAATGTGTGTAAAGGGGAAGTTTTTTTTATATACAGAAATGGAGAAAGGTAGAGAGGAAAGCGGCCACCACACACACCATGGCTATTAACGCGAAGCTATAAATGAGAACTGTCTCAAGAACACGAGAGTAGTTGGGTTTTTTTTTTCTTTCACTCTTCTTCCTTTTTACATTATAGTGGTGGGGACCGGAATTGTGAAATTAGATGGAGAAATTTAATGCTGTACGTGTTCTTCAGGCTGAGTGTGACATTACTATTTCACATCTCGGTAGCAAAATACAGGTGGAGATATTGGAATTGGATGATACATTTTTTTTGGTTTCTGGGAGGAAGGGGAATGGATGATGTTTATTGACTTTAACTGTACCCTTCACAAAAAAAATATGGAGGAGTTTTAATGCTTGGGGGATTATGTCATTATGTGTGCGTTTGTGGTTACTCTGATGGACAAGTTAGTACAATAGTGAGTTAATGAGTACAATTTGTTAGTGTTTATCATAACATATCAATGATTCGTCATATAAATAAACAAGTTTTGAAAAGGTGTTAGGTGTACAACGTGCGCGTTGGAGCATTGTGTAGTCTAGCCTATTTCGTCCGGGAGTCGTCTAAGCGTGTTTAGACACTGGAAGCAAAGACTACAACAAGTACTACATGATGCATGAAATAAACAATTTACAACACTTTCCCACTTCAGCTCTAATGATTAATAACTTAAGTAACAGTTAAAAAGCAAGAAAAATAAGTAATCACAAGTCCGACAAGAAAATTAAAGGTTGATATAGAATATATAGTTTGCAGGTGTTGTTAGTTTCCTCTTTTAATATTGATTGTCTAGGCCCATTTAATTTTTTCTAGGTTCGCCTCGCTCCGTCGACATATTTTTGGTATCCAACTTGCAGTGGAACAGCGAGGCAAGGCCTTTTGGCTTTGTATAGCCCCTGTACGTGCCTAAACATAAAATTTAGAAACGCTATTGAGTCATTAGTCAATTTTACTTGGAATACTCTTTTTATTCATTGAGCCTTCATTCCTATTTGATACAAGATCAGCATTTGCATATTGATTATGACACTTCTCAAAATGGGGGGCAAAAAAATTAGTCGAGTATTTCTCATATCTCAAGTTACAAGTTATAAGAAAGATTCATCTAGCCTTCTCGCAATAGGTATTGTTCTTCCTACTCAAACTCATCACAATTTCACACCTTAGGAAAGAGTAGGCACAAAATCGACTGTATTGGTTCACTTTCTAAAACTGGAATTGCGTAAGTTGTCATTGCTACACATTTTGTGCAATGATAAATGCCCAAGGGAGACATTACTTGTGTTAGGATGTGTTCTGTAAATGGACATATCCTTTGGTTGATGCTTGATGACTAATTGTCAAACAAATCTCCATATATGTTCATGTTTTTTTTTACTCATTTCCGCTTACATCGGATGAACGGTTTGGTTATTATTGTCGGTCGCGGGAACAATATATCTCATATGGTAACAGAGAAAGAACATTCAAATAGATGCTACTATTCCGTACTAAAAAAAGAGGTGCACTACTACAACGAGCTGATCAATATTAGAGTGTTCAACAATTTGATTTATTATGAGCATATGATCAATTTAATCTGTTTCCTCAATTGAGTAGAATTGAATCAATTTTTTGATCGAATTAGATTATATTTTTCAAACAACGTTTAATTCCCACTAAATGTAGCCGACTCAAATAAGCTTTTGATTCGACCCAGGTCCGCGTTCTATTTTTTTTTTTCCGTCTCATTCAAGATCGATGCGATTATTGGAAAGGAACATGCTTGCAAACCTCTAACCAACATGCTGGTACGGCACCGATTTTCGCCACCTTTTATAATTAATACGGCATCGTGGTCTCTACTGTATAACTTAGTCAACAAATTACTAATAAATCACTCACTATCCCGAGTACAAACTACTTTTTCCTGTCACTAAATGAACCCTAAAATACAAAGATCAAAGCCGTCTACTGTGATGTGAAAGCCACCTAGACCTAATAACTACGCTAATTAATGGTTTGCTTCTTTTCTTGCTCTGCTTCGTATTTAATTAATTTTCCGTTGATGACATTAGGGTTCGTTTGGACGGATCAATCTAGAAATGAGTTAATTTTATCAATTGTCTTGTTTTATAAACGAGGCAATTAAAATGAGTCAATTCGAATTACCTGCTCCACCCCAGGTAATTAAAATTGACTCAAAATGGATCAATTCAAAATACCTCAGGCAGATTGATCCATCCAAATTTTTTGCTGGCAAACGAGGTAATTTGTTACAATTGTCTCAAAACGAGACAATTATGTCAAATTGATTTGTTACAATTCCTCCCACACACTACTTATCGGGAATAGGTTACCATGTCAGCCAGCAAGAAGGTTTGACTGACTTTGACATGTTACAATCAACTAATCAAGCAATATTTACCGTCGAAATAAAAATTGGATTAGTTTCGGAAACGACAAAATTAAAGGCTACCACACATGTGATCATCCTCTAGGTCGTTTGGATGGATCAATTTGTAAATTAGTCAATTTGATCCATTGTCTCGTTTTATAAACGAGGCAATTAAAACGAGTCAATTCGAATTACCTGCTCCCACCCCAGGTAATTGAAATTGACACAAAATGGATCAATTCAAAATACCTCAGGCAGATTGATCCATCCAATTTTTTTGCTGGCAAACGAGGCAATTTGGTACAATTGTCTCAAAACGAGACAATTGTGTCAAATTGATCCGTTACAATTCCTCATCCAAATGACCCTATGAATCTATATTTGATAGTTGTGCGATATTGATGTCGAATTTCTCAACATAAGTATGCGTTTACGTCAAACCAACCTAAACATCATAGCGGAATTGGAAGAGGGAAACCAAGTGTTAGTACTAAGAGTACAAGACTTTGTTATTGTAAAGTTTCCAGTTATTATTAATGAAGGCCGAGAAAATAAGTGCATTGAATGAGAGAGAGCAAAAACAAAGTCGTGGCCTTTGGAGTGGATGGGAGTTAGTTGGTCGCAAAAGCATTAATCAGCCTGAAAAAAATATTAAAAGTTCCCTTGAAATTAAATTCCAGTACAGCTATAGGTGGTCAGAGGAGTAGTTGAAAAATATAATGGAGACTGGAAGAAATTTTCAGGAATTGGGTACTTTTGCATTCATTAGCCTCTCTTCTCCTTGAGAGGAGAATGGAATCCCAAACCCATGGTCCTCTTTGAGTGTTTATCAATGTTTTACTATATATAGGTTAAAAAAAATGGTGGCAAGATCATTGTTCTGGCTAATTCGACTTGACGGAAAAAATAGTAATATTTGAAGTCAAAGTTATTGTTAAGCTTCAGATTCTCGTTTGAATGATCTACGGATGATGTCGGTGCATTTGAAAATTACGTAGAAGCAACTTAATATTTTTCCGGCACAATGTTGAAATCAGCACACTATATAAAACACCGATTCAAATGAAAATAAATAGATCTTATGAAAAATATCCCTGTAGTTTTGTTTCTACACTTTTGCCGCCCATAGTTTCTTTCAATATCCCAGCAAGAGCAGAGTCAATTGGTGATCATGAACTGAATCGAGTTGGGTTACAGCCCACATGGATGGATACCTAGCTCCATCCTCTTCTTTCCTTTGTTTTCGTGAACGAAATGGATTGTGTTACTTGAATTTATTATGGAGACAACTAACATGGCAGATGTTATAATTGTAGCTGTCTAGGGTTTGACCCTTTTGCGCACCTATACACCCTCCATTCCTTGGCTTAGGGGGTATGTGGTTTGGTCTACATCATGAAAAACTGTTGGATCCAATTCTAGTAGAGGATAGGATTGGAGCCCTTTTTTCGATTCGAGCCTGAATGTGTGTTCGACACTGGACGGACAGAGATTTTTACGAATCAAGTCTAGATGTGTTTCGAGAATCTCAAATGTGCAAATCATCCAGTTGAGATGAAGTTTTTTTTCCTAACGAATTCATCTGCGAATGCTCTCAGTTAGGATTTTTGTAAACGTGATTTGATTTCGGAATAAGTTAAGTTCTCGCGTTAACGAAATGAAAACTGTTAGACTTAGTTCAATAGAGGCAAACCCATGTTTACTTGTTGATTCCATTTCCGGACTAACTACCCAGATTGCATTAACCAATTAACTCCAGACCCCATTATAGAATCAACCGAAATAAATCGAATAGGGAAAGATCCAAAATCAAAAATATTGGGTATGTTTGGATAAAGTAGTGAACTTGGTTTGGTTGGGTTCGTAATCCGAGTTGGGTTGGATTATAGTGTGTGTATGTGGATGATTTGAATTATAGTTGGTTGAAACTTGAAAGATAACAACAACCAATCTTGGTTAGCATTGTGAATTGTGATGAGAGAATCGGGTTCAATTCACGAATGGAAAGCCACGATGTTTTGGTTCGACCATAACCAGATATCTACCGTTAATGGTTGTGCATCTCAAGTCTCAACATGGCCCAAAGACCATAGTATAGTCACTGTCCATATCAATTCAACAATAGAGACACATCAGTCCCTCTAGGGAAACCAAACATATGCAGCAATATAATAATGTATTCGCAAGAGCAGAGATTTGGAAACATTGCCGCCTTTGTTGCTAGCAATTCAGCAATGTTGGATTGGATGCACTGAAAACAAGCAGGCTTTGTATAGCCTATGTCATACATCTTTTCCAAGCTATACTCGATTCCTCGATGGTATTTGTCATTTTTCAGAAAAAAGGACTATGTTCGAGTTTTAGATGACAAAAGGTTTAAGTGATCGATTCACATACATGATACAAATCAATTTAGCTTAAAAATTTTGATAAATTCCGATTACTATATAGATAAAATCCTTTAACATAACTGTACCTATAGGAAGGGATAGCGAAAGCGGAAAAAATCAAAGATTTCACATAGTACTTTTGATAAAAAAAATCAATTTGATTTCTTTCGTACCTTTCGCTCAATGAGAAAACGGGCCAGATTCTACATGATCAAACCTATCTTCTGGGGCATACGATGATTTCTTTCGTGATTTGAGGCGTTAATTTACCTACTAAAATATCACCTGTCTCGACCCAAGATCCCAACATAACAATTCCATTTTTGTCTAAATTTCGGAGTAAATGAGCTTTTAAATGTGGGATTTCATTAGTGATCCTTTCAGGTTGTTCTTTCCTCTTTCCCTTCTATATAAGTGTACTCTAAAATCCCAAAAAAATGGGATTACTGTGAGAGTGGTGAAACTTAAGAGCAGTTTGGAATTTGTGATTGTTAAATAGATGTATTGTTGTGAATATATGCATTTGATGTATTGTAAAGTTCAATGTTTAGTATTTGCGATTGTGTATGTCACATCAACTTTAAAAATGAGATATAACAATCTCAACTCAACAATTTTAGCTAAAAACTGAGATATAACAATCACAACCAAAAGTTGACATATAACAATCCATGTAGTATGTCAGTTAAAAAAAAAATATATATATTCTAAACAATAGAGGTATAGTAACGATTTTAAAGAAACAATTGTAATTTCCAAACCACCCTTTAAAATTTATTGATTGAGTAGGTTTAAAACCTAACAGGCAACTTTTTTAAATATAGAAAACCTAAACGATCGGGCTTTACTTCTCGTGGGCTTTGTTATGGTTGTGTTTTGGACAATTTAGATTGGGGCGAACTTTGCGCTGGACACAGAAGTGTGTAATTGACTGGAAGGGTCATTTTACTCTTGAGGATGGGCTCTAACTCATGGGCTCTATTCAAAAAGCTAATTCTCCACCATGGAACCACTCCCCGTTCATACCATAAGGCCCATTAGTTGTGCATTCCGTTGGATTTGGAAGTGATAACATCCCTCATTCTTATTAGTTTTTCAATATGACAAAAATGAAAAGGTCCTCTTATTTAAAACCATAATTATGAAATCCCTTCTCTCCCATCTAAAAAATTGAAACTTTGGCGAGCTATTAAAAAAAAAGAGTGTAAGGTTCTATTAGTATAGAAAAATTGGTAGTTTCAATAATGCGTGTTATTGTGAGAGATATTTCATTATATATTCACTAAAACGAGAGTCAGTCATGGTCTCATGGGTTATAAATTTACAGATATATGTAATGGCATGTTCTTGAAATACTTGTTAATATTAGGGGTCGTGAGCACTTTGAACATAGGATCTCAAGGTCGAACTAGCTTTGATGCTATGTCAATAACTTATAAGTACCAATATACTCAGAGTAGAGACCCATGATGTATGAATCTATACGGTATACCAGTTCCTTACAGTCTTCTCCTCCCTTGCACTCACACGAATTTATTTGTGGACATCTTCTGTATAGACATTGTATTAGTGGAGTTAAATGAACTCTTATATACAATGATCATTTTTATACGAGGAGAAATCTATCTTGCGATGACAAACACGACAAATTCTGTATGCATTTAATACGAGATTACAGACCTATCGGTGGCCACCCAGAGGATACCACAGAAATGGCGTCTGTTAAAATTCGAACCCAGAACCTAATGATCACAAACATGCGCCTTTATTACCACCTTCACTCCCTTGATGGTTATACAACCGTCTTTTCAATTGTATTTCTGATGGTATACTTGTGGACAAACATAATTTACTATGAGGTGTAACTAGAGGTGGCAATTAGGATTCAAATCCATGAATCCATTCTAATCCATCCACCAAATTATCCATATAATCCAATCCATTTAAATCCAATCCATTTGATCCAAATCCAATTGGATTGGTGGATTAATAGATCAATCTATGAATTCAAATGACAAGTTACGATTTGGTACCTATATTTTTTATATTTTACATTTTGGTACCTAAATTTATATTTTTATACGAACATATCATTGGAAAATTACATTTTGGTATCTAAAATTTTTCCTTACGAAATTTTAGTACCTAAACTTTTCAAATTTACATTTTGGTCCTAGCTTTGGATGTCATTTGGATTCATGGATAAATCCACCAATCCATTGGATCCATGGATCCACCAACCCATGAATCCAATCCATTTGCCAACCTCTAGGTGTAACGAAAAAGAGAAGTAAAAAACTTGTACAACCAATGAGGCACTCATTCCATTACTTCTTTATCATATATACATACACTATTATATCATGTCATACTCTCCCAAAACATAGGGCTATGTCTTATGGCGTAGAGATATGGTGGTTGTTCTATGAAGTTTCAAACCTTATACCAACCAAGTGAGGTTTGGCATTGAGAAGGCTCACCTCCGGCTCAAAGGCGTTGGACCAGAAATTTAATGTCGCCATCAACCAATTGTACCCCATATGTCCCGTTTTGGGCAACTTTCAATAGCAGCTTTGTTCAAAGCTCCGTATGTTAGCGTAACATTGGCACTCTGACGAAATAAATAATGAAAGTACTACTGCAAGTGTTGTGGGGAACAAGAGAAAGGGATTGTAACATTTCAGGTACCAAAACGTAATTTGGCATGTTGTTGTGTTTTGGGTTGATACTTGATAACTTCATATACTTGCTCTACTCTCATGATCTCCATTTTTCAAATATAGAATCTCATACTTGTCATATTCTTGTGTGAGTTAGGCTTTATGGTAACGTATCATCCCTTCCCAACTCCATCCGTCTTTGTTTCTCGTATTTACTTACTTATATTCACTGCATAACAATTTAATCGTTCATCAAATAACATCAAGTTATCCATTCTCACTCCATATTTCATATCCACAACACACGTTTCTTTTATCTTTATGCGGTTTAGCTATATTCTTCTCATTGCTAAACTCATTCTGTCTCGACCCCATCAACCTTCCTTTTTCAGTGTTTATTTGAATTCGTTATATATCAAGGTGTACGATTCATACAACTACGCAAGATGATTGATCCCGTTTTACAGGACAGGAATATATATATTTTGCCCATAAAGGTGTAAGACTGCTGCCCTAGTGAAGTAGTGATGGGTGAATCTGCCCCTACCCACCGTCTAATAACTCCATTTAATGATAGATTTTCTTACTATTTTTCCTTCGTCGAAATTAGTCACCAATACATACACACTATATTCACTTTCCACTGTAGAATACACACACTTCAATTCTGTCATCCCCAAGTTGTTGCACCAACCACATTTATTCCAATCCTTCGTTTCACCATTCTTCCACTCATTTTCCCCTTCATATTTTTCTTACTACTTTCACTATCACGAATTCATGAACCTCTTCCTCCCACTTCTTTCCAAAAAAAACCTACGTATGTTTCAAAACCCCAAACCCTTCTATATATAACAACAACAAGCAAAGCAAGGCCTACCCATATACCCAAAACCTCTCCAACATTCCTCTCTCTCTCTCTCTCTCTCTCTCTCTCTCTCTCTCTCTCTCTCTTCTCCACCATAACCATGGAGCTCACCGTAGACCTTCTCATCCTCATTTCATCCTTCGTCTTCCTCCGCCTCTGGTGGCGGCACTGGTCGAAAACCGGGGGCGGCCCGAAGAACCTGCCCCCCGGTCCGCCCGGCTGGCCGCTGGTCGGCAACCTGTTCCAAATCATCCTCCAGCGCCGCCCCTTCATCTTCGTCGTCCGCGACTTGCGGGCCAAGTACGGCCCAATCTTCACCCTCCAGATGGGCCAGCGGACCATGATCATCGTCACCGACTCGGCCCTCATCCACGAGGCCCTCGTCCAGCGCGGGCCCACCTTCGCCTCTCGGCCCCGCGACTCCCCGATCCGCCTCGTGTTCAGCATGGGGAAGTGCGCCATCAACTCCGCCGAGTACGGCCCGCTCTGGCGGGCCCTCCGCCGCAACTTCGTCTCCGAGCTCGTCAGCCCGGCCCGCATCCGCCAGTGCGGCTGGATCCGTAAATGGGCCGTCGAAAACCACATGAAACGGCTCGTTGACGAGTCGTTTCGAAACGGCGTCGTCCACGTGATGCGAAACTCCCGCCTCACCGCCTGCAGCATCCTCATCTGCCTCTGCTTCGGAGCGAGAATCCCGGAGGAGAAGATTCTCGAGATCGAGTCCGTTTTAAAAGAGGTGATGATGATGACGACTCCGAAGCTGACGGACTTTCTGCCGGTCCTCGGAGTCGTGCTGCGGAAGCAAATGAAGGAAGCGAAGGAGCTGAGGAGGAAACAGCTCGACTGCTTGCTCCCGCTGGTTCGGGCTCGACGTGGGTTTGTCGAGCGCGAAGAGAAAGTTGATGGGCTGGAAATGGTGAGCCCAGTCGGGGCGGCTTACATGGACTCGCTGATTGGGCTTCGGCCCGGGAATAGAGGCCCGTTGGGGGAGGAGGAGATTGTCACGCTTGTCTCGGAGGTGATCAGCGCGGGGACCGACACGAGTGCCACGTCGATCGAGTGGGCCCTCCTCCACGTGGTGCAGGACCAGTCAATCCAGGAGAGGATGTACAAGGAAATCGTTGACCGCGTGGGGAAAAACGGCGCGGTCAACGAGGACGACGTGGAGGAGATGCCGTACCTGACGGCGGTGGTGAAGGAGACGTTCCGGCGGCACCCGCCGAGCCACTTCCTGCTGTCGCACGCGGTGGCGGCGGCGGAGGGGGCGGTGGAGCTGGGAGGGTACGGGGTGCCGGCCGGCGTCCACGTGGAGTTCTACACGGCGTGGGTGACGGAGGATCCGGCGATGTGGAAGGAACCTGGGGAGTTTCGGCCCGAGAGGTTCTTGGAAGGAGGAGACGGAGCTGACGTGGACTTGACGGGGACGCGTGGCGTGCTGAAGATGATGCCGTTTGGGGCCGGGAGGAGGATTTGTCCAGCGTGGAGCTTGGGGGTGCTCCACGTGAAGCTGCTGCTGGCGAGGATGGTTCATGGGTTCAGGTGGCTGCCCGACCCGACGTCGCCGCCCGACCCGACGGAGACGTTTGCTTTCACGGTGGTGATGAAGAATCCTTTGAAGGCTGTGATATTGCCCCGGTAAAGACATTATTGGACTGATGATTTCGGCAGCTTCAATGGAAATGTCTACTTTGTCTTAATTACTCGGCTATTAACGTTGCTTTTTCTCTTAGTGTATGGGTTTTCGATGTTCGACTTGCCTCTTTGGTATGGCAAAATATGATGTTTCTATGCTTTTTTCCCCCTTCTATTGTCTCTTATTTGTGATGTACTTCTCGTGTATTTGTGCTATCATTGTTTGATAGATAGAAAAATATTTTCGTATTACGGGAAAAATTATTGTTGAGGTGATGGTAAATGTTTATATTTGTGAGTTGTATAATACAATTATATAATATTTGTATTTGAGCCTATTCCAAGTCCAACAACTCAAAATTGATATTGGAACTATATGCTTTTATGCATGGTTACGGTAGTTTAGATAGGCTAGTCAAACTGGAAAAAAAAAAAGACTTGTGAACAATTTGTTTCTGTATTTTATACTTATGATTGTATAAGAAAATTATATAACGCTTGTATTACTATTTGAGGCTATTCCAACAACCAAAAATTAATATTCGAACTAAATGCTTTCATGCATAGTCATGGTGTAGATAGGCTAGTCGAAACTTATAATTAACAAAAATCTAGATATTTAGTTAAGTTTGTGATTGAGATTAAACCTTTTGCCATACACAATTAATAAGAGCTATCTACTTGGAGAGGATCACATTGACAAGGACGTGCTAGGGCAAAAGTCTTTGCTTTCGAGAGTATTAAAACCCAGTTTCATAGTCATGGACTTTCTTTGCTAGTTCTAGTGGAAATATTACTAGTCTAGAACCTGGAGGTCCCAGGTTCGAATCCCTTAAATAGTATCTTAATAACAACAAAATAAAACCTATATCACCCTTATAAAAAAAATGACCATTGCTTTATCGTGGGGAAACCGTGGAAAATAACGAAGGAAAACTTAAATAGACAAAAACCCACATAGCAAATTGGTTGGTAAAATTAAATGAATCCGTTTTCATAGATTTTTCCAAAAATGTTCACAATCAAATTTGCGAGGACGTGTTCACAGCAATGTGAGATTGCAGATTGCGTGTTGAATTTTCCATGATCATTGAATGAATATTGTGATAATTTTGTAAATGAAACATCATTTCAATCCATCCAACAATTCGTGGAGCTTCCAAACATCACTTCTTATAATATCCATCCGCTTAGATCTACAGATGTATCCTAGTAATGAATTGGACTCTTTGGTTCGGTTTGTACTAACTAACGCGGTTGGTTCGGTTTCATTATCTCTAGTTAAAGACACCCCTATCAAAGTAATATTACTCTCACATGTCAAATTAAGAAACAAATACGTATATATTAAAATAAAAACCAACAAACACCAACACACGATTTTTATGCGACTCGACTAAGTGTGACTTTACTTCTCGTAGAAGAATCCTCCAATATTATTATCCGAAGTACAAACCTTCACTTCTACCACTGATAAACTCATCAACATCAATACATCAGTTTTTGATGCAAAACCATTTTAACTACCCTTTGCTTGCATTTGGCACGAGGCGTGGAGATCGGATAACACTGCTGATCTGCGGTCTCCCCTTCCTGCGGCCGAAAGAATTCTGGCAAATATTGGTTGGACAACGCCTCCCCCGGGCTGGCGGAAGCTCAACATTGATGGGGCCTCGATGGGGAACCCCGGCTTGGCAGGTGCTGGAGGGGTCATCCGGGACGATCAAGGAAGCTGGGTAGTTGGGTTTGTGGCCCAAATTGGTGAGGCAACCGCTGGTTTGGCCGAGTTATGGGCGCTTTTTCATGGATTAAACCTGGCCTGGAGCCATGGCTGCCTCAATCTTCAAGTGGAAACTGACTCCCAGTTGGTTATTCAGTGGATCAAGAATCGGGTGGACCCCCTTCACCCCCATGCTTCCCTCTTGTCCTCGATAAGGAGATGTTTGACTCGTGATTGGCTGGTCAATATTACTCATACATACCGCGAAGGGAATAGAGTCGCGGACTGGCTCTCGAAGCACAGTCTCGTCTATCCCTACGGTATGCATGAGCTTATCGACCCGCCAAGTGATCTGGGACGCTTCCTTCATGATGATGAGATGGGTGTGACTTTTGAGCGTAGAGTTGTAGCCTCTACTTCCCTGTAATTCCTCTCTCCCCTGGGTTTCCCCTTTCTTGGCTTTCGCCTCCCTTATTGCAAAAAACAAAAACAAAAAAAAAACTACCATTTGCTTGCATATATTTATAGAGACAAGTATTGGTAGACATGGGTCGTCCTGATTTTGCCACATATATACCTACAATAATCCATGTTACATTAAATTCCTGGGATTTGCATATGGTAGACATGGGTCGTCCTGATTTTGCCACATGTGTAGCCATAAATTCTTATGTTGTTTAGTCTTTTGCAGCCAACCCACGAAGCTTACCCTCCTGTAAATGAATTATTTAAGCAGTAACTCGATAAAAATAGAAAGAAAACCCAAAGAAATATATAGGGTCCAACCAGGATCCTGACCAAACTGGGCAAAGGTTGAACAGCAGCAAGACATGGAAGTTGGAACACACATGGTCAGCCATTATACCGGTAGGTATAGTCATATGGAGATTAGTCCGTGGCCAGCCGTTTGGGAGTGTGAAACCGTTTGGTTCGTACCAAATTGCATCGAATTAAATGGGGCGTTTGGATCGGATCCTTATTACCAAATCGAATATAGTACAGTTCGATTCTTGGCCCTATGTTTATCAATATCGGAAAAAATGGACTGATATTTATACCCGATCAAGTCGAATCGAATGCAATATAGTCCGATCCTTGATTTTAAAATTTCTTTCATTATTGAATCGCAGTTCTAATAAATTTTTGATCCGAATTGAACTGTTGCGCACCTTTACAACCATGATCTATTTTGTTTGATTATCCATCATGACGAGTATTTACTTATTTGGTCACTATGATTGACATTAAATACCCTACGTAGTGCACCAACAATAAGTAAGATATGCATTTAGTTTTTTTTTTTTTCATTTCCTTTGAGGGTAAGATATGCATTTTGATCTCTTCCGCGTGTGAACTGATAATACAGCATGTCCAAGAATTTATAGAATTAAGAAATTAAAAGTTCACGACTCTATTACAATTCAAGACTCTCGAGATAAGTGGTATCGTTTGTACATCCTCGTCTTTAGATCGAAACCCAACAATCAATAATCATGGACCTCTCTTGCAACCCCGATCGAGGACTGCGAGAATGGGAAGCAGTACATTAATGACCAACTGGTTGTAGAAGGCGAGTCTATGGTCTGGTTACTGGAAGGAAGATAGTTTTTGTCAGATATAATGCAAGCTTGGTACAAAGTAGTAGGTGCGATGTATTATGATAGGTGATAAATTTTTCTGAAGGGGTACGGCTAGCAGCAGCTAGGTCTAGATACAGACTGCAGGTGAAGTCTCTTCAATCTCATAGTAGAGTTAGAAATATATTATATAAAACAGTACCCATGAGCTAGTTTGTTGTGAAAAGAGTAGAGAGTTTAGAGTAATGAAGTGTTAGAATGAAGGGCAAGTCGGACAATGTAAGTAAGTAAATAACACAGAGACTTACGTGGCTCGTTAATATGATATGTGCTAATCCGTCGAGAGAAAGAAAGATCCGTTTTTACTGTACTTGAGAAATACATATTACAGAGGGATTGAGAAAATATATACACTATATTGCAATGTGTCCCAAAAGCCTTAACCCTAATCCAACCTGGAAAGGGAAAAGGTTACCGTCGACTACAGATAATTCGACTTCAAATCATAGCAACATCAAGCAATTTGGTGAGAAGTTTATCATCATGAGAAATCAACCATCAAAGTAATATGGATCGACACTCAAGATGTGGATTAAGTATATTCACAGTGATACCTCGTGTATATGAGTTTTCTCGATATGAAGGATTTTTCTGCGCGGAATTTTGTTTAGTTTCCAGTAATATGCCGGGGGTAGTAGAGTGCATGTTCTGATAAGAAAAAACGGACATGGGCGAGACACAATTATGTAAAAAAATAATCGGAGACAAGATACAATTGGAGATTTGTAAGTAGAAAGTTTTGACTTGTAGTTCATTTGTATTGCAAATCTACGTATGAACATGAATCAATTTTGTTTAAATCAAATCGAAAATCGATATAAATCATATAAACCTGGCAAATTATAACCCGACCTGTTGACCCGATCTGAAACTGTCCAAAAACTGGAATTTTTTGTAACCCGAAATCCGAATGACCCAAACCCGATAACCCGTGATTTTTTGGGTCAGGTTGGGTGGGTTAGCGGGTTGACCCGTTAGACCCGTTCCGTTTAATATATTACTCCCAAAATATGATAAAATCACTCATAAATTGGTGAGAGGTTTAAAAAAAATCACAAGGATTTGAATGACATGTTTGGAGTTTAAATGTAATCAAATAAGTGTTTCTTGTATTAGTATTACTCTTGTGATTGTTTTTTGACGATTTGCGCAATTTATATTTCATTTTATTAGCGTGGGAGGATTTGAGAATATGTTAATTGACATGTGTTAGGTAAACTATTGTCATGCATATGTGGAAATTTGTGTTCTTTAAGAAAATATGAAACATGTTTAATATTGTTTCTGAGAACGCTCATAACCTGAAATGACCCATAACCCGACCCGACCCGTAACCAAAGTTTCCAACCCGAAATTACCCAACCCGACCAGGTCTTAATCATCTACACATAATATAATACACCGAAGGGAAAAACGGGAGCCCCATTTCAAATTTCCTGCAATGAGAGTGAAAGTAGGAAGGACATTTTGGTCTTCACAATTACTTTTTTTTATTCATTAAAAAGATACATACTGGGATTTGAACCATGACCATTTTAAAGAAAGGCAAAGATCATAACCAATCACACTAAATACATTTGTTGTATCTTTTTAAATTAAAAACATATAATAGCAGGGTGGGAAAAACTCTTCCCCTATTTCAAATTTCCTATTCCAGGAGCGTTTGTAGGAATGGTGGAATAGGGAGTGTCAATTTTTTTCTCTTTCCTCTGTGGAACGGGCCAACTTACCGTACACATGCGGATTTAAACGGGTCCAGGAGTGTCAATTTTTTTCTTTATACCCTTTTATTTCTCCGTGGTGATAAAATATATATGAAAAGGCAAAAATAATACTCCTTTTTATTATTAAAAATAAAAAATTTAACAATAAACTAATGCATGGTATCTAATGGGCTAACCGCTAACCATAAAACAAAAGAGTTGAATGAGCCTGACCTACATGGGATTTGGTCATCAAGTAAAACAAATGAACATCATTGGTTTGCCATTCTAAAACAAGCTATTTTCTCTGACATAATATATATATATGCTATTATTTTATATCTTAGTGGCTAAAATATAATGTATTTTAAAGTTATTCAATGGTTCAACCTCGACCAACCCAATTAGTCCAATTTTTATCATTTCAAATATATATTTTATAATTATTTGACATCATAATGATCAAATTATAGTGTATTTTATAGGGAATCGTTTGGTATTTGTTAGTAAAAAACTAAACATAAAGATCTATTTGGTTATTTTAAACATTAAAACGATCCTAAACATTTTCAGTTCCTTTTGAATTTATATGGTTTTATTCCCAAATAAGTGATGTGCAAATGGCGAATTGTAGTCGTCTCTTTTCTTTCACTATTTTTTATTTTCAAATAGAAAGTTTAAAAGTAAAGAATAATTAGAATTTGGCATGGGTCGGTCAAACAGGTTGAATTTCAAGTTCTGGCCTGTTTGTTTTATGCATTGCAAATTTATTAGCATGTTGATGGAAATGGCTTGGAAAAAAGACATATAAGTTGTACCTTTGCAGAAATGTCCTCAAATGTTTGAATGCTTTGTGAATCAGGTTCTGTGACTTTTGTGATGGTGTATGTGCTTGACGATTGCTCGATGTTGTAACTACTTAATTTGAGAGTAAATCTTTTGATTTTCCCTATGAGTTGTGATACCAGTTCTGGTGGTTGCAGCATGTTGTCGTTGTTGGCCTGTAAAAGTTGTTCCGTCGTGATGCTAAATACCTTTCTTTCTTTTTTAACAAATTGTGTAGTAGTGCTATGAAACAGACCACCCATGAACGCTACGCTTATTATGGTCTGTTCTTACTTCCGGTGGTGAGAAATTGTGAATTGAGAATCATATTCGCCTACCGCACTGTGTCTGGTTGGTGGCTGCTTACTATGCTCTCTAGAGTTATGAAACAGACTACCCATGAACGTTACCCTTAAGAGTCCATAACTTTGCGAAAAACCAAATTTAGGCAATCAAAGGTGGTGGATGTTTGATGATTTTTTATGGCTTAATTGTTTGTGAATTGGATATCTGATCTTTGTATGATTAGAGGGGATGTTTGCTGAATAGAATAATCCATTTTAATTCATATTTATTTTTAACATGAACTTTAGTAACTCAAAACCTTCGAGACACATATCACCTACTGCATTGTATCATTTTGCCTGGGTGCTTGCTGTGTTGTCAAACTTCTTTGCTGCTGCTGCATTTACACTAACAGGGGAGTTAAGAACCCATGAATGTTTCCGTTTGACACAAACAAGAGGACTTACTTCTAAATCGTGCACTAAAGATGATTGGAGGAAACATCTCTGTTGCAGTTGATACACTGGAGACCAGAACAAAAGCAACGTATAACATCAAAACCAACCATCTGAACTATTAGCATTGTTGCTTTACTCTTTTTTCGTGGTTGAGTATCCTTCAAAAAATTTAGTTTGATTTTAGAAAATTTTGCTTCTGCAGTCCTGTCTTGCCACCAACGCGTTCAATAGATGGAGATGGCAGAGGCGAAGGCTATTTTTGTGTTGTTGTTGCTGGTTTAGGGATCGGTTTGTGAAGAAGAGGGAGAAGAGAGGGGGAAAGGGAAATGCATGAGAGGGGGATAACTCTTTTCTCCGACAAAAATGGAGTGAAAAAAGGAATTATGATCAGTAAGGATATGGTTATCTTACATAACTGTGTCTATTCTGTTTGAATTGAGCTTGGGAGGTAGTGATAAGGACGAGCTGCAACCAATTCATAGTGATAAGAGTGCTATGAACTGTGATCATGTATTATTTCAAGTTAGAAGGTAGTTTCAGTATAAGGATTATTTAATTTGACAAGTTGTTTCGTCCATGATTTTTGGTAGTTTCAGTGTCATTCTAGCCATTGTTTAGTCTGTAATTTTTGAGAATTGATGTGCGAGTAATGACTTTCACTTAGCTTCAACTATTATGTGTGTATTTATTGGCATGTGATAGAATTCTCTTTTCCTTTTCTTTGATATCAGTTTCATACTCTAATTGTATCATTTGTACATAGGCAAATCATGCTCGAGATGACAACTCGCCGATATGGCTGGTGCAAGGAATGAAGCCATCATTAAAATTCAGACCGACAACGGGGAGGGATGTCTAGGACTAATTCAACGATGATTGATGATGGTATGATAAAAACTGCAGTCTGCATCAGCACCAATTTCTAGGACTAAGTAAAGTTATTCAACCCAGAACTCTGCTTAGCGCTAAAAATTGCCCTCACCCAACATTGATCCTGTTTGACCCACTTCTGAAGAGTCAAGATATATTACTAATTCTCTCTGTTCGTATTTTCTTATTGACTCTTTCTGACCCTTTAGGTTGGGGCGGGTCGGGAAGAATCAGATTAGTGGGTCGGTCCTAATCAAGTGGAATCACAATCCCTTCACTCTCACTTGCTTTCTCTCCCATTCCACAAGTGGGTAACATACAGTAATCCGGCCAACGGGCCGGGTAATAAGCTAGTATTTCAAATGGAAGGAAAGCCGAGTAGCCGACCATAAGAGACATTTCATTCCGTTTGATCAAAGAGCATTTCTACTATGCTATATAGTATTGGTGCTTTAATGTACAACTTAAAGTTGTACCATAACATGAAATGTATAAGTTTAGATTGTACCATAAAAGAATTTGTACCATTATGTTATGGTACAACTTTACAACTTGAAGTTGTACCATCACATAAAGGTACAAGTTCAAGTTGTACCATAAAAGAATTTGTACAAACAGTATAGGTACAATATGAAATTGTACCATAACATAAATGTACAATTTTAAGCTGTACCATAAAGGCAAAAACCTATAGCACCAATACTATATAGCATTGTAAAATTCCTCTTGATCAAATTGTGCAAAATATCAAATCCACTCAGGTATTTTCACAGTACCGAGTTGGAACTCTGGGTAAGAACACAGAAAATCCAGCCCAAAGCCCAACTTAATCGGGGATTAAACCGGGACTGTATTTCTCATTTGGTCAATATGGCCCAGCTTTATCTGACATGGGCCGACGGACATGCGGCCCGATAATCGTTGATTGTTTTCTAATCAACGTGGACCGGTACATCAGGCGTTGAGTCCAGTTTGCAACATTGGAAACAAACATAAGTTACGAATCTGTCAAAAACTGAAGTTTAGTAACTGGTTTGTCAATGATCTAAAAGTATAGTGACCGGATAAGTAATTGACCAGATAAAAGATTGAGCCAATGATGAAAGAAGACAGGCGAAGAACAAAGGTCTATCAGGTTTCTCCTCAACCCGACAAAGAGGGCCGATAGCCAGTAGTAGTAGATTGAGTGAGTGAGTGAGTGAGTGATTGATTTGATGACCGCAGCAGTTGGAAGAAAAGTCGCTTCGAGCTAGTAAGAGAGTCTAATCAAGCGGAAAAAGGAGAGACCCAAAAAGGCAGAGGCGTTGAATTCCGATTCCATCTTCGAACCCGTGAAGAACTAGTGAAAAAGGGGCCAAAGATTTCTGGAGCTGCGAGTGATTGCCGTCTCTTCCCCCATCAAAGAAATGGAAACCCAGAAGATTTTGACATCATCTGAAGCAGAAGAGGAAAGGCGGTGGTGGGTCACCGTCCCTAAAGTCGAACTCCATGCCCATCTCAATGGCTCCGTCCGAGACTCCACTCTCCTGTTCGCTTTTTCCCCTCCTTTTTTCAAGCTTCAATTCCCTCTTTTCTGTTGCTTTGTTATGATATCCAGTGCTTCGGTTGTTTGTTTTTATTGCATGGCTTTACAGGGAACTCGCTAGACGTTTGGGGGAGAAGGGCCGGATTGCGTTCTCAGATGTAGAGCATGTTATCCTGAAAGGTAAGTTACTGAGTTGTCTTCAACACTCAGCACTCAGCATTTATAATCTTTGTGAAATGATTCAGAAAAAAAGGATTCCTTTTGCTTTCAGGTGACAGGTCTTGCCGCGAGGTATTCAAGCTGTTTGACTTGATTCACGTCCTCACGACTGACCACAAAACTGTCACAAGGATTACCAAAGAAGTAAGACAAAACTTGATTTACTAGTTGGATGTTGATGCTTGATTCACCCATTCTTCTTGAGAACTGATGTTTGATTCTTCATTGGATGCAGGTGATTGAAGATTTTGCTTCTGAAAATGTTGTGTATTTGGAGTTGAGGACAACCCCAAAGGTAATAACTTTTGGAGGGATAAAAGGGGCTCTTGTGGGATTATGGTTCAGTCTTGTTTGTGAACTGGGTTTGCCTCAAGTCATTGTGCTATTTGCTGGGTATTCTTGTTTTATTACAGAGGAATGATTCTATAGGGATGAGCAAACGGTCATACATGGAAGCTGTGATAAATGGTCTGAGTTCTGTTACTGAAGTAGACATAGATTTCACCCCTCATAGTACTGATCATCATGACCCTGCAAGTTCCTGCAATTCCATTGCTGTGAACAATGTGGATCATCAGGGAAGTGGTAGGAAGAAGATCTACGTCAGACTTCTTCTCAGCATCGACCGTCGAGAGACAGCTGAAGCTGCAATGGAAACAGTATGCTTATTCAGAATGCTTCTTCATGACTTTCTTTTTAGACTGGGAAGTAAAAGGCTAAAAGTTCCTTTCTTTATTTGGAATAGGTGAAGCTTGCACTGGAAATGAGAGGTTTAGGTGTTGTTGGCATTGACCTTTCTGGCAACCCTTCTGTGGGTGAATGGTATGGTTACCTTCTTTCATAAACCTTTTAGTTTATGAATTCAAGAATACGTGAAGGCAACCAGTTCTTTATGATCCCAAACTGTTGAATGTGAGGCAGGAGTACATACTTGGCTGCACTACAATTTGCCCGGGAGCAAGGGCTATATGTTACGCTTCACTGTGGAGAGGTGCTTTCCGCTTCTGATTCCTATCAACTTGTCTGAATGAGTTTATGTCTTGTTATGCTTGATCTACCGGTGTTTTGAGATTTGCCCTTACTGGGTTGCTTTTGTGACTTAGTGCTTGTAGGTACCTAATTATGAGGAGATCAACGCAATGTTGGACTTTCTGCCTCAGAGAATTGGTCATGCTTGCTTCTTAAGAGAGCCAGATTGGGTGAAACTAAAATCATCTAAAATACCAGTTACGTATCTATGATAACTCTCGTTCCTTGATTGCAATAGCCTTAGTTATTACTTGGATTTTATCTTACATTATTTGAACACTTCTAATTAGGTGAGTCTTCTGAATGATTCCCTTGACTTAGCTCTAACGTTATAACTCCTTTAACTTTTGCAGGTTGAGATTTGTTTGACATCCAACATCATGACAGACACAATCTCTTCACTTGACATTCACCATTTTGGTCACTCTCTTCACACACTCTCTCATGAACAAGTTGAATGCTTAAAAGTTGTCATCATCGTAATCGAACATCAATATCCTTAACATGCTCTCTCACCTGCTCTTGATGTAGTTGATTTGTACCGTGCGAAACATCCAATGGTGCTGTGCACAGACGATTCAGGGGTTTTCTCCACCAGTCTGTCCAAGGAGTATAGCCTTGCCTCATCTGCATTTGGTGGGTACAACTACATAAGCATTTCACCCCCTGTGGTGGCATTCTGATGAAATATTTAACCTGAAATGTAATGTCTGAAATCCTGAGCCGAGCTGTGTTTCGTTTTTGTTTAATGTGTGGTAAGGTCTTGGAAGGAAGGAGTTGTTCCAGCTAGCTAGAGATAGCGTGGAGTTCATATTTGCTGATGGTGGCGTGAAGCAGGAGTTGAAGGAGATCTTTAGCTCTGCTGCTGGGAAGCTTGAGCTATGATTCTTCTGGTGCATTCGTTATTTTACGGCTGTCGAAGAACGTTAGAGTATTTACTGTTGAATCTATGGAACTTTAGAACTGCTGAAATCTATTGTCTAAACAGCTAGCTTTAAGCTTATGGAAGACTGCATAGAAATCATATTTATATGGTTGATTACAGTCTTTTTGTTATTATTTATTTTCTTTCAAAAAACCCTATACTATCCAAAATAGGTTCTTAAAATACTTCTTTCAATTTGATGAGATTAGGGTGCCAATTTCACCTATATACAATTAAAAAATTCTAGCTTACGATAACCTGCAGAAACTATAGAATTATAAATAGGAGCTGAGACCAGTTCGACAACATTCATCGAGCAAGGACCTAGCCTTAAATTTGAAAGTCTCATGTTCGAATTGTTTAAATAGTACCTAATCGCAAAATGTAAAATCTATACCACTCTTATCTAAAAAAAACATTCTTTGAGCAATGACCTTCCAAGCTATTGATAAATAGAATATGATAGACCAGTTGACAAATGTGTGGATCACATGATGAATATATAAATTGATTAATATTCTCAAATACTACCAATTTTTTTTATGTAATTAAGAAAATAAATAGATCGAATTAAAACTAAAATGAGAACGAGCAAAATTAAATTTAGTTAAATCTGATTTGATTTTAGCACTCTCATTTTCTTCAAATTTATAATAATATTCAATCTAAATCAATGGTTGCCGTCTTGTTTAGAACGTTGGAGAAAACGAAGGGAAGCAACGAAAAACGACGTCGGATCGTGGACTTTAAAAAGCAGTCTTGAAAGATAAGTGAACTGGAGAGACCGTCCGACGACGAAGCTTTGAAACCAAAGAACAAATCAACGCGAAAGAAAGAACACAATTGATAGGAATTTTCTCCATTTCCCCCATTCCTCACTCTGCGGCGGACTCCCGCCATTAATCCGAATCTCGACCTCCAAACCCTGATCCCTAATTCATTCCAATGCCATAACGATATACTGATATAGGCAGAGAGGAATCCTCTCCGCCAAAAACAATTGGCGGCACACCGAACGTTTTCTCCGGCGGGATCATGAATTGTTGAGCCGGCAACCGCTCTGATCAGATCGGGAAGGTGCGGCCGAAGTTCTCAGAGGTTCCTGGCGCAATGTCTTGGGGATTAGGATGGAAGCGGCCATCGGAGATCTTCCGTTTGAGTCTAAACTACGGCACGGAGGAATCCTGGGAAGATTCTACCCGTACGTCGAGCTCCTCCTCGTCTTCGTCGTCTTCTTCGACGATTCCGCCGCCGATGGACCAAGACGGTGGATTCCGCGTGGATTTGGATTGGACGGCCGGAGACGACGAGGATCAGTTGGCGCTGAGGCTGCAGTCGCAGCTGATGGTGGCGTTGCCGATGCCGCAGGACTGCGTGACGGTGGATTTGACGACGAAAGAAGATGGGAATGGGGAGGGAGGGATGGAGGCAGGCAATGTCGTCGGAGTGGAGATGAACGTTGCGAAGAGGAGGGAGCCGTTGCGAGGGATCACGGTTTCGAAGTCCGGTTCCGGCCAGCAGAGCGATGGCGCCGGCGTTTTGACGAGATTGTTGAGGTCCAATTTAGCTTCTAGTGGACTTGGGGATGGTTCGGATATCGCCTGTGCCGATCATTGGAAGACCGTCACATTGCTTAGCCTCTGCGGTTGTGGTTTGGCGGTGCGAACTCTTTTCATTTTTCCCTCCATTGAAAAAAAGGATTCAGAACTGTTCTATCTTGGATTTTGATTTCTTTTGGTTCCTTTGTGAATGGTTTCCTTATGCCTTTTGTCAGTGAGAGCTCAAATGACTGAAATGAAGCGAATTTTGTTCGCAGACATTGCCAGCTGAACTACTGCAATTACCAACTCTTGAGAAGCTTTTTCTAGACAACAATAGGCTTACAATTTTGCCACCTGAGCTTGGAGAGGTGAAAACTTTGAAAGTTCTCAGTGTTGATTACAACTTGTTGGTTTCTGTTCCTGGTAAGGATTGAATTGCATACTAATGCTTAGCTTGTTCTTGTGATATGAAATCGTACTACTATTAAGCTCTTTGATTACCTTGAACTGCTGTCTAAGTTTGCTTGAACTCTAAACAGTGGAGCTGAGGCAGTGTGTTCAACTGGTAGAGTTGTCACTGGAACATAACAAGCTTATTCGTCTACTTCTTGATTTCAGGTCACCTGAATGAACCAATTCTTCTTTTTGTTAACTTAAGGTTCCAGATTCTAGCAAGACTTTTTCTTTGGGCATAATGCTTATCTCCAGTTGAATGGCAGGGCGATGGCTGAGTTGCAGATTCTTAGGCTATTTGGGAACCCTCTCGAATTTCTCCCAGAAATTTTACCGCTGCACAAACTTCGCCACTTGACCCTTGCAAATATCAGGATTGTTGCTGATGAAAATTTAAGATCTGTCACTGTGCAGATAGAGGTTGTGGTTTTTGCAGTTTATCAGTAAAATTATTTGAAATAACTTTTAATTTCCTCTATTTTCACACTCTATTATTTGGTTATGCAGGGGGAGAGCAGTTCTTATTTTGGAGCATCCAGACACAAGCTGAGTGCTTTCTTCTCTCTTATATTCCGCTTCTCCTCATGCCATCACGCTCTTCTGGCTTCTGCACTGGCAAAAATAGTGCAAGACCAAGGTAATCGTGCAGTTATTGGCAAAGATGAGAATGCAGTGCGACAGCTCATTAGTATGATTAGCAGCGACGATCGTCACGTGGTATGCTGGAACACATTTCCATATAAGTTTTGTTTTAAAAGATCTTCATTTCTGTTTGGTGTACTCTTCTTAAAGTTTTCATCTGTTGCAGGTTGAGCAAGCATGTTCTGCCCTCTCTTCTCTTGCTGGAGAAATTTCTATGGCAATGCAGTTGATCAAATGTGACATCATGCAACCCATTGAAACTGTGCTAAGATCTGTCTCCCAAGAAGAAGTAATTTCAGTCCTGCAAGTTATGTCAACATTGGCTTTTGCATCAGACAGAGTATCCCAGAAGATGTTAACCAAGGATTTATTGAAATCATTGAAAGTTCTGTGTGGCCACAGAAACCCAGAGGCATGTTTGATTTTGTATATTAGGTTATCTGGCTCTTGGATCTTTTACCTTTTTCTGCCCATTTTTATTTTGTTTCCTCTTTTTTGGCGCCAGGTGCAAAGGCTAGCTTTGTTCGTGGTTGGTAATATGGCGTTCTGCTTGGAGAATAGGCGTATTTTGGTTACCTCTGAAAGTCTACGGGACCTGCTGCTGCGGTTGACAGTTACATCTGAGCCTCGTGTGAACAAAGCTGCTGCTCGTGCTTTGGCGATTCTTGGTTTGCTTCCTTAGCTTGACTTTTAGCAATGCTTTTAGTTGCTGAGTGTATTTTAAAACTCAAATGGAAATGTCTTTGCCTGCAGGAGAGAATGAAAACTTGAGGCGTGCTATAAAGGCAAGACCTGTGGCTAAGCAAGGGCTGCGTATTCTATCAATGGATGGGGGTGGAATGAAAGGTCTGGCCACTGTGCAGATTCTCAAGGCAATCGAGAAGGGATCTGGAAAGCGCATACACGAGTTATTTGATCTTATATGTGGCACATCAACTGGTGGAATGTTGGCTGTTGCTCTTGGTATAAAGCAAATGACCCTGGATGAATGCGAGGAGATATACAAAAATCTTGGTGTGTATATTGTGTCTGGCTATTATGTTTCCATTAATTTTTGTTGGTTACTTATTAGTTAACTTCATAACTTTCTTCTTTAGGGAAACTTGTGTTTGCTGAACCTGTTCCCAAGGATAATGAAGCTGCATCATGGAGGGAAAAGTTAGATCAGCTTTACAAAAGTTCATCACAGAGCTTTAGAGTTGTCGTCCATGGATCCAAAGTATGTTTTTTCCTTTCGCCCCACATACTTCCATCTATAGTTTTGATATATTGAGTTATGTTGCCCCCACAATCTGCACTAGTAGCAAGATCTATTCTCTGTCGTCAATAAGAATGAATTTAAGGTTGATATGATGGCCCTGAGAGGGAGCTCATGCTCAAAATTCTTGTTAGAAGGAAGAGAACGTACTATTTATGTTTGAATGATCATGATATAAGTTGGATGAACACGATTGCTGATTCTAATATAGTGCTTGTTAACCTTTACGTAGTGGTTGCTATAACCTACTGTCTTGCAGCATAGCGCAGATGAGTTTGAGAGGCTGTTAAAGGAAATGTGTGATGACGACGACGGCGATCTACTGATAGACTCTGCAGTGAAAGGCATTCCAAAAGTTTTTGCAGTTTCAACTTTGGTTAGCATGATGCCAGCTCAACCATTTATATTTCGCAACTATCAGGTTTGGTTTCTTGCTAGTGGTTTCTGCTAAAACCTGGAAATGTGCTTATTGTCTTTGTGATGTATAAAATTGCCTAGCTGATACTTATTAGGGTGTGTTTGTTTTAGCTTTTCCTAAAGTTTGGCAACTTACAATTTTTCATTTTAGAAAAAGTGTGTTTGGTATGGTTTTAGAGAAGTTAGAGGGCTATAAGATAGTTTTTAATAATAAAAAATTATGTGTTTTTAGCTTTTTTACAACTTAAACTTTAGGAACTTAATATTAGACGAAATAAACACACCTCGAAATTTTCTTTTATGCTCGTCTGTCATCTGACATTTCTGTGTCACCATTTAGTACCCTGTTGGAACACCAGAAGTGCCATCCACTCCTACTGAGGGATCAGGGATCACTGTATTAGGATCTCCTTTTGCTGGTAGCCAAATTGGATACAGACGCACTGCTTCTATTGGAAGTTGTAAACACCACGTTTGGCAAGCAATAAGAGCATCATCTGCTGCTCCATATTATCTCGATGACTATTCTGATGGTAATCTGCTTGATACATCTAATCAGTAAATATTATTCTTCTATTCCCGAGAGTTATAAAAGTTCTAACCTAAGTACTTCCACAGACATAAACCGGTGGCAAGATGGTGCTATTGTGGCCAATAATCCTACCATCTTTGCTATCAGAGAAGCACAGCTTCTTTGGCCCGACGCTAGAATTGACTGCCTCGTCTCAGTTGGGTGTGGTTCTGTTCCAACAAAGGTGAGCCTCACAACAAATCTGGCTTTCTTACTGCAAATTGTTAGTGCCTTTAGAGTCTTATCTGTTATTCCTTCCTAGTAAAATATCAATAAGGTTTAAGTTTTTTTGGTTGAAAATACAAGAGTGTTAGTTAAGTTTCTGTTCCCTGACCTTGTTTGTTCTCTTAATCTTGATTGTGAAAAAATCTCCTTTATGGTAGCCTCGGAAAGGTGGTTGGCGCTATCTTGACACTGGGCAGGTGCTCATTGAAAGTGCGTGCTCTGTGGACCGAGTGGAGGAAGCCTTAAGTACGTTACTCCCAATGCTTCCTGAGATTCAATATTTTCGTTTCAATCCAGGTAAGTGCTGACTGTGTTTCCTCAGAGTACAATATTTACAATTATGGTACGGTGTATACGATTGTGGAAAAAATATGGCCTGTGATATGCAGAGTTGTTGAATATTCCTCTTTTGTTTACGAAAGTACAGTTACATGCCAGCTTTATGGAAGCGCTTCTTGTTCTTACTGTCCCATAATGTTTTAACCTTCGAGTTCTTGCTATTCTGTGTGATTTCAACCTTTCACAGTTGATGAACGCTGTGATATGGAGCTTGACGAAACTGACCCAGCTGTGTGGCTAAAGTTGGAAGCTTCAGTTGAACAATACATTCTCGAGAGCTCCGAAGCTTTGAAGAACGTATGTGAGAGACTCGTTTTGCCATTGCAAAGCGACGATAAGTTGTCAGATACGAAAACTCAGCAGCAACGTCCAAGAGCAAAGACGTTCAGTACTGGTAATGGTGCAAATAATTCACCTCATCGTCTTCGGTTTATCTCTAATCTTCAACCTAAAATGTTGCATATCTTTCTGCTAATCTCAGGTGGGAGTGGCCCCACTTTGGGTTGGAGGCGTAACGTACTACTCGTCGAAGCTCTCCACAGCCCCGATTCTGGAAGAGTCATGCACCATGCCCGGGCGCTTGAGACATTCTGCGCTCGTAATAGCATACGAGTTTCTCATGTTCACAGTGCATCAGGAAGTTCGAAAAGTGTACCGCCAGCTGTGGCATCACCGTTTGCCTCACCTCTGATCACCGGAAGCTTTCCATCGAGCCCACTTTTGTACAGTCCCGACTTCGGCTCACACCGAGTTGGCCGAATTGAGATGGTCCCACCTTTGAGCTTGGATGGGAATACGTCAGCGAGAGCAGGAGCGTCGCCACCAATTTCTCCTAAAGCACGGAAACCGTTTTCTTTGCCTGTGAGATCGTTGCACGAAATGCTGCAGAATGCACCGCAAGTTGGGATCGTGCATTTAGCCCTTCAGAATGATTCTTCTGGCTCCATCCTAAGGTATGCATATCCACCCTGACCTCTGCTTCTTAGTCAAACATGATGTCTTCGAAGAATAATCATGCGCTCAATAGTAATTAAAAAATATAGTAAGACCCAACAAAGTTTATCTCCATAACTTTAAAATAAAAAAGATTTAATATCTAATGCTGGATTTTAATAGCATTGCTTCTTCGAAAACAATTTTGCTCAACTGCTTGTTGTTCCTCTTAGTTGGCAGAATGACGTGTTTGTTGTTGCTGAACCTGGCGAGCTCGCTGAGAAGTTTCTACAGAGTGTGAAGCTTAGTTTATTGTCAATGATGAAGTGTCATCGACGGCAGGTTACATCGTTTCTTTCCAAGATTTCGACAGTTGCTGATCTGGTTCGTTGCAGACCTTACTTCCAAGTCGGGAACGTTGTCCACCGCTATATAGGACGGCAGACACAGGTATGCGTTGATTGTTTTATTTGCTTGGTTGATATCAGTTTTAGGTGTGGCTTTGGAACCATGATTCTAATAAAGTGTTTCTTTCGAGAATTTGTACTTAAAATGAAGGAATTATGTAAATTAGAGGGACTTAGATCACCATGTATGCATGTGTTCTAGACGTAAGATTTCTACTTCTAAAATACATGTAATGTCAGACTGTAGTGCTCGGCTTGAAAGGATGATAAACGTTTGTCATCGGCCATTAGAAAAGAATGTACTTATTAAAAGCTCTGAAACTGTCAAAGATTTCCACAATTCTTGAAGTCATGTATTCTTAAAATACATGGGTTCTGAAGTTCTTGGTCTCTGTAATTTAAACAAGGAGAACAATTCTCAAAAACTATGTATTTCCATAACTAGGGAACGGAATGATACATTATAGCAGAACGAATTATGGTTTTAAATACGTGAATGATCAGAATACATTGGGTTCCAACTTCCAAACCTTAGTAGGTTACCTGACTCTCTAAATCCTTTGGTCTTCCTGTTCTGAAGGTTATGGAAGACGACCAAGAAATCGCGGCATATATGTTCAGAAGAACAGTTCCTTCCATGCATTTAACCCCTGAAGATGTTCGATGGATGGTATAGCTTTCACACATTTTATTCAGTTTGCTGCTTCATTTGACAACTTTATACAAGTCCTTAATGTTGGAAAGTTCTTATCTGGTAAACCTTTTCCCCCGTAGGCTGGAGCTTGGAGAGACAGGATCATCATTTGCACGGGTACATACGGCCCATCCCAGACACTAACCAAAGCCTTCTTGGACTCCGGTGCAAAAGCCGTCGTGTGTCCATCTGCTGACCCCATGGACATCCCGGTAACTGCTGTCAGTGGCTCGGCAGGTGACCTCAACTCGCTGGAGAACGGGAAGTTCGAGATTGGAGAGGACGAGGAAGCCGAGAGCGAGGAAGTGGAGCCTCCCAGTCCCGCAGCCAGCGACTGGGACAGCGATGCGGAGAGAGTCTGCAACGCTAATTCGATGGGTTTCTGGGACGATGATGAGGACAGGCTATCCCAGTTTCTCAGCCAGCTGTATGATTTGTTGTTCCGAGAAGGAATGAGCGTCGATGTGGCTCTAAGAACCGCTCTGGCCAGCCATCGTCGACTCAGGTATTCTTGCCATCTCCCCGGTATACATTGACACTGATCGATAATACGCGCAAATGGTGAAATGATTGTAGTATTAGAGATGGAACTAGTGAGGTTCACGATCCAAGAACCGTGATAGAACCCTGATAAAATCTCGCTCACAGGCGCTACTCATTAGTACTAGGAGGGTGACAAGCAAAAAAGAAGAGAAAAGGGTATGAAACTCAAAGAGTGAAGGGAGGGGAATAAGGAAATTTAGTTTAGCTCATAGTGTTGTATGGCATAATAATTAAAGGAAGAGTTAAAAGAACACTCAATTTTCTGAGGCTATTATTAAGACTTAAGAGGGGAATTTCAGCGTTTTCTGTAATTTAGTGTACTGCTGATATACATTAGATGAAAATGAGTAAATAGAAAATATATCAAGCATTCTTTTTCCACCTTCACTTCTTATAGTGTTGTCATCTTTGCTAGTTAGATAATAGTTATGCTTGAGAGGGAGAGGATTTCTGGGTAAAAGAAACCTAGTTGTGTACGATGTTGCATTGAGAGAACTTGGTTCCCCCCCATTTTTATGATCTACATTAACAACTCAAAATCGTACTAAACCTTTGATTAAAGAAGGCAAAGGCAAAATGTGGATGGTTTGACATTGACAAAAGAAAAAAAGAAAAAACCCGAACAAAAGCAGAAAAGGGTAAAAAAGGAGACGCGACTTGAGAAAAAGAAGTCCAATGTTTGGTGGGGTGGTTTCATCATGCATGTTTTTTTTTTTTTTTTTTGACATGTTGAAAGCAAAGTTCTTGACACTTTAACATGGAGGACAGAATTATTAGAGCCATTGATGTTAACAGAGACTGGCATCATTTGGTTCCTTATAATAGAGAAAAAATTCTCAGCAAAATAAGGTGACAATTACTAACGTCAAAATAGAAGTCCTCACGATGACAATTCTAATAAGGATTGTTGTCAAATTCAATGTTTATCGTAAGTTGAGTGCCAGATATCGTATCACATCATACCACGTTGGTTTGAGCCTGATCTGTTTGAATGGGGATCGTCAATTGTAATTACTACATTAATAGTTAATACTTATTGCTGCAGCAGCAAATATTATATCTACGTAGTTAATCCAGATTCCACAAAGATGATTAAGGCCACGAGTGGCTCTCTCTACCTGCCGCCACAACGACGTCTTATAATTGATGTGCATGCCTCTGATTCACGCCGACGACAAATGATGACAACGACATGTGCTCTCAGTGCTTTAACACAAAGAGCACAAAGCAGCAAGATTGTAGGAGTGCATCGGAGGTTGTATCGGAAAAATTTATTGTATAATATTTTATGTCGATTTAACCCTAATTCAATCTTTTCATCCCATAAAAAATCATCTACCAATTTAGAGAGCCACACCAAAAGCAAAAGAGCCACATGTATGCCATTTCCTGTTATTCTCTATAACCTTCAATCACGCAACAGCTCATTCATTCAGTCCCCCACACTTTCTAGTGAACTGATGATGAACAGAGTTTCAATTAAAGAGGCCAACCAAACCTCACTTCCAACTTTCTCTTAACCTTTGGAAAACCAAACTGTTCCTCTCCATCCATCGCCCTCTCTCCCTTACTCCCTTTCACTTTCCCGGCGGGCAAGATTAATGGCGGCGGGGGCGGCTCCGGTGGCAATAGGGACACGTGGCACGGTGGGCGCACTGGTGAGGAAAGAGATCGAGTATTTCACCAACTTGGAGCACTTGGACCCTCGTGGAAGCTGCCTTCAAGCTCAGGGCGAGCGTTCCAGAAGAATGGCTTCAAGAAGTAGTAGTGGGAGATCATTTTGGCCTTTGAGGATTCGGTGGGGAAGGAAGAAAGCGGCCGCCGGCGGTGTGGCCGGAGGATTGATTCGTCCGGGCATGTGCTCCGCCGTGGATGTTGCTCGTGATGGTGTTGGGATCTCCGGGAGGTTTGGGTATAGGGTGCTTAAGCAAGATGATTTTGATACCTATCGCTAGAATGTGTGTGACACGTTGAATAGTTGTTGGTTCATTTGTTGGTTTTGTGGAGTGTAGCAATGCACAAATTTTGTTCAAGTTTATTGGATGGATGAAATACTTTGATTACTTTGTGTGAACAGGTTCATTTTGTTGAAATGGAGTTATAAACTTAGAATACGTATTTGGTTTCCATAAAAAAAGCATTATTCTAAACTCTCATATATTTTGTATGAATCTGAATAAGCTATAGTAGTACTGGACATCGATCTAACGAATTAATACAGTGATTTTTTTTAAGTGGATAACCAAGTCGTCATTTGACATTCGTCACAGCTTGTCCTATTTTGGACTTCGTATATAATCTCTTTATCCTTTTGTTTATTGGACCACATATGTTGGTATTTTTTATTAATGTTTTCCACTCGTTAATCTATTTCTCACATTAAAACGGATCAATACAAATTTACAATAAAAACGAAGACTCGAACATAGTTCAAATGTCAATGTAGTGATTGACGAACGTAGGTTCCCCTCCATTTAATTTCTATCTAAATCTATTATTAGCTCTGAGCAATGATTCAATCCATAGCGAATTGATCATACTGAATCAGAATTTATTAAATCGAATATAATTTGATTTCATTACTCATTTTATTTTAGTCCATATATATAAAAAAGTGGACAGAAAGCAATTGATCCGGGTCAAATGCACTTCTTGTTCAATTGTGGTTCTCATTTTTCCTTCATTTTTTGTTCAATTCTCGACTGAATCGAACGATCTCCGTCCGTGAAAAAACACAAACGTATCCATCAAAAAATGAGACAATTTGATCAATTGTCTCGTTTTGTAAAAGAGACAATTAAAACGAGTCAATTTGAATTACCTGCCCCCATTCCAGACAATTGAAATTGACTCAAAACGGACCAATTCAAAATACCTCAAACAAATCAATCCATCCAAAAAAATTTATTGGCAAACAAGTCAATTTGACAAACTTATCCCAAAACGAGACAATTGCGTCAAATTGATCCGTTACAATTTCTCATCCAAACGATCCTATGTGGCTTCTCTTGGACAACGCTTGGCCCAGAAAAGCCAAACCTAGCCCTTCAATATTGGATTAGGAGGCCCAATCAGAAGTTCGGAACGATGAAACCCACTACGCGCTGAGTATTGACCTAATCCACGTGACCCGTCCCTCAAGTCTACACGTGTCCCCACCTAAAACCCCAGCAAAATCCACCGTTCGGACCACTCGCGGCCTTCGCCCCAAGAATGCGCCATCATCGTCAATGGTGATCTTCAGATCCTTACGAGCTCTGACGTCGAAACAGCGAAACATAAACGCCGTCGCCGGAACCCAAACGTACCACCGAGGCTTCCTCACCGCATCGACCTCCCCTTTCCCTTCCCCTAACGCTCTCCTCGCCTTCTCCCCTCACTCGCCGTCTGCTCCGCCTCACTGCTTCCTCTCCCCGCTCTCCAAATGGATCGCGGCTCCGCTTCTTCTTCGAGGCCCTCTCTTCCTCGCCTCGCCGCCGTGGAAGCTGCTGCAGTCCTCCACCCCGTTCCACCTGCGCGGGAACGGTGCCGCCCTCGCGCTGCTGAGGAGAAGGAGGGCGGAGGCTCTGGAGAGGCTGAATTCGCGGCTCGATTCGTTTAAGATCAGGATCAGCTCCTCATCCTCCGCCGTGGCCACGGCTGCGGCGCCTTATGGCGTCGTCGTGGAGGAGGAATCGGGAAGGAATCGCGCGGCGGCGGAGGAGTGGTTTTGGGACAGTTTCGTGAATTGGCCTAATTTTATCTCGATCAGTCGCTTGGTATCGGGCCCTTTTCTTGGATGGTATGGGAAATTGGAATCTCGATGCCTTCCGGTTCATTTTCGATTTGAAATTCTGGTGGATTGATTTTATTGCTATGCAGGATGATTGCCAACGAGATGTATTCTGCTGCCTTCGCTGGTTTGGCAATCTCTGGAGCTAGTGACTGGGTAAATTTACACTTTGAACTTTTGCCCTAAATCAGAACTGCTAGAACTTTGCTTGACAGCGTTCCAAAATTGGTAATTCTGGTTTTCATTTTGGTTTAACCATTTGGCTAGCTCGATGGTTATGTTGCGAGGAAGATGAACATAGACTCGGTGGTGGGTTCATATCTTGATCCTCTTGCTGACAAGGTAGGTTTTGAGTCAAAAGTCTGCAGTTTTTATCTCTTGTCTGTTCTCTGATTTCTCTCTTATGAGTGTTAATGTCTGTCTTTGTACACAGGTTCTCATTGGTTCAGTAGCCGTAGCAATGGTCCATATGGATCTCTTACATCGTAAGCACACCGTGCCCTTATCTTTGGATTTTCACGATTGTGCTCTTATTTATTCCAATGGTTGGTTGTTGTTGTTGTGAATGAACCTTTGGTTGTTGCTACGTGAAGCTGGACTTGTTGGACTGGTTTTGCTTCGAGATGGTGGACTGGTTGCTGCAACTCTATATCATAGAGCTAGTAGCTTGGGATGGAAGGTAATCTTTTAACCGTCTCTAGGTGTCCTTTGTGTCTGCAGAATTGTCGTTTTTTAAGCCTAATCGAGTTTCTCCTTTTAGTGGGATAGTTGGTATGATTTCGTCAACCTGAATGGATCTGGTGCTGAGAAGGTTGAGCCTCTATATATAAGCAAGGTACTTGCTTCTCCTACTGTTTCGACCCGTTAACTAGTAGTTCGTTGAATTAGGTAGAACTGAAGCGTGCAGTTCAAATTAGGAATTAGAAACTGATACTGCGTCAAAAGGGTTTTTGCTTCTCTTTCTGTCAAACTGGTCTCGTTTGGAAGGCTAGCTGTTGAAATTCATGAAAGCAGCATGTCATCACTGATAATTTGCTGTTGCAAGAACTTGAGAAAGCATGATTAATGTTAATCAAATACAGAGTGCGAAAACTTTGATATCTTCTGACAGTTGAGGACATTCGTCAGGTGAATACAGTTTTCCAGCTGCTATTGGTCGCTGCAGCTCTTCTTCAGCCAGATTTTGGAACAGTGGAAACCCAAGTATACGTAGCGTACTTGAGGTAATCCTGACTGCCTCTTACAGTTCACTCTCGATTACGAGCTCATTTACGTTGTTATTTGATTCTGGCATTAACAGTTCTCGACTGATCATTGCAGTTGGCTGGTGGCCTCAACAACAGTCGGCTCCACTGTAGCATACGGAGCTAAGTACCTGAACAACAGATCTGCATTACTTGCCAGGAAATCATAGTTTGATAGTAGAACGGCCAAGCTAATCAGCGCTGTTTCTCCTTTTTAAAGTTGTTCAATTGATGTAATCGCAACATGAGAAGCAAGGATGGGATGTGAAGACCTTATGAGGCTCATCGTTCTGGATGTACAGCAGAGTGTTACGAAGTTGCACGAAGGATTCGTTTTGTCATGCTACGGAGAGGTAGAATAGACATCGGTGACATACTTGTTAACTTTTGAATATAGGACCTAGTTAAGAACCAAGCTCTGCTTTTCACTTCTCAGTCCATTGGGTTTCAAGTTCTTTGGCTGTTGGTTGTTTTGTTCCAGAAATGAGAGTGCGGCTTTCCCTCATTAACGATGGGACTTGAACTAGTCATAAGGTTTTCCGACGAATGGATCCTGAATCCTTAGTATATTATGATTCGGGTTATTATAATGTGTAGATACTGGAAGCGAGAGTGCAGTTTTCCCCTACTAACGATGGTGCCAATGCCGGTTACTGCATTCTAATCGACGCGCATAGCCTATGCTGTGAATTCGAATTGTTTCCCCCTTGCTTTCCAAACGAACAGCCCCGTTTAGCTCATAGAGAACGCGAAATCTGACATTCAATTCAACTTGAAGGGCAGCATGACTGGTCAGTACACTTGAACTGAACATTGCCAAAGACGAGCTTACTATTTAGGTGCCAGTCGGCCCATGGTCGCAGAATTTGGATGACGAGGCGACAAAGATGAACAAACAATATAGCGCCTGGACATGTTTGGCAAAAATTGCAGTGCAGGGAGTGTGGTGTATTTGTGACAACTTCATACTACAGGGATTGCAAATGCAAATACCGAATGGGATTATCATTGCAAAGTGACGCTGAAGCCAAAAGAGAGGACATGAGCATCTGGCTAAGAAATGAGGACCGAATGCATAAATAGATTACAACAGTTTATGGCAAAAAATATCACAATGCATTGAGATCACCAGCGAAGCCTCACGATCACGAAGGAACCTTTAGGGCTACTTCCACCATCTTGCTAACCATTCCAGAAAGAAGCACAAACAAGTGGGAGCGATTAATCGACAGAGGCAGTACCAATGTTCATCGTTCATATCGTCTAATCCACATTTACAATGGAGAAGTCGAAAACCATTAAGGCACTCAGATCACAATGAGCAGCGAACTAATTGCATTATTTTGTTTTGACCTAAACTGTCAAGAGCTACCAGTTTCGTATAAAAATTCTCTGCCATTCTGACCTCTCATGTTCAATGTTAACGGAAAACCAGAGAAATGTTTACCTTACTGCGGGAAGCCAGCTAAAACTTCATCCCATAAATGGGCATTCTTGGAGAACTTCTCCTTCATTTGCCCTACAAGCTCCTTTGCCTCTTCAACTCTACCTTCACCCGCAAGCCCGTTCACCAACAGCTTCATAGTCGAGAAATTCGGCACCCATTTCTTCTCCATACTCTCTTTAGAGAACCTCAAAGCAGCATCAAAATCCTTCCCCACACACAAGTAGTAGATCAAAGTGAAGTAGCACTCTGCACAAGGCGGGTGTCCCCTGCTCACCATGCTCTTAAACAGCTTCGTGGCTTCCTCCAAATCCCCTGCGCTACAAAACCCATGAATCAACTCGGAAAAGGTAGTGGAATTCGGCTTGGGACCTTCTTTTAACATCTTCTCGAGCAAAGCCATTGCTTCCCGAGCTCTCTTCAGCTTACACAAGCTCTGAATCCTAACATTGTAAGTAGCAGTTCCAGGGGAGATCGAATACTCTGTCTTCATCATTTCCAAAACTTTAGCTACCTCTTCGAACTTCTCTTCTTTGTAGAAGCCAGCCAGCAGATTGGAGAAAGTAGTGGCGTTGGGAGAAATTCTGTTCCTCTTCATCTCTTGCAGGATCGAGTAAACCGAGCTCGAATTCCCGGACTCGGTAAACGACTTAATTACAGTGTTGTAAGTGTCGAGATTCGGACTGATTGAGTAGATTTTAGGGAAATCGACGAAGATCCGCTTTACCTCGGCGTAGTTCTTCGCGATGGTGCAGGCGAAGAGCAAGGCGTTCAGCGTCTTCACGGAGCCGGCGGCGGAGCCGGCGTCATCGTGGTGCTTCTTGAAAGTGGCAATCGCATCGTCGACCATATTGGCCTGGCCGAAGAGGACGATAGCCTGAGCGGCGAACTTCTCGGTGCGGAGGTCGGGGCGGTCGCGGCGGAGCTCGTCGAGGAGCTGCTTGATGTAGGAGAACTGGTTGGAATCGGAGAGCTTGGTGACGGCGACGGAGAAGGCGATGCGGTCGAGGTGGAGATCGGGAGTCAGGGCGGCCGCGCGGCAGATCTCGAGGATTTTCTCCGGGTTTTGCTCGGATTTGAGGAGGGAGAGAGCGGCGCGGGTTTTGTCTTTCGCGGAGAGTGGAGTCTTGGAGTCTGCTGATAGAATCGTGGAGAAGTTGCGGTGCGCGGCGGTGAGGGACGGGAGACGGAGGCGGGAGAAGAACGCCATTGTTGATTGATTTGAGAGATCAGTAGAGTGGGAGCGAGCTCTGTGAAGGAACTGGGAATGGTTAGGGTTTCTTCAAGCTATTTCTGGTTCGCCAGGGGTTTTAGGGAAATGTTATGCTGTGGTGGGGAGCATGGAAAAGGAGTGGATCTGGTTTTGGGACGATATTGGCCGTTGGATGAGCGGGTTGCGGAGCAAAAAAAATGGATCCTCGGATCGGGGAATTTGAACCCGACGTGAATCGAACACGCAACCTTCTGATCTGGAGTCAGACGCGCTACCATTGCGCCACGGATCCGGGCGGTGATGATTGTTGCTTAGACATATATTTGTTTCTAATTTCTTTATTTTTTTTATAGTAACGAATTTCTTTATTCAACATAAAGAGAAAAAAACTCAAAAAGTACACCTATGTACACTTGATTTTTACTATAGGATAGATGTAGCTTATCAGACTTTAATGAAGAAAAAAAAAATTTGGCGTCACCATTTGATTGTAATATGATGTTGTAGTCTGAAATTTCGACTAATCCATACATGATTATTAGTTGAATTCTGAAACTTGCTCGTTCCGAACAAATTTATGTTCAATGATACTTACTTAATGTTACTTTTTTTGTTTATTCATATAGAATTAATATTAAGAGGAATGGAATATGGGATGATCAACTACAAAATTAGAGTCTGAGCGTCTAACATATAGGACATAGGAGTATGGTAGTTTCATTAGTGGATAAGATCCGAGTTAAATGAAATTTAATTGAGAGAACAGTTTGTGATTTGTTTTCTTCTTCTCCTAGTCAATGAGTTGACTTTGTCAATGGACAGTTGATTGTTGCTAATTAATAAAACGACATGGTATTGATCATTAGAGAATGGAAAAGGAGTTGCTTATTATATTTACCCCTTGTTGGATTTGATTGACTTGGTCTTGATGCAAGTGGATGAACCTCGTGGGACTCAATTTAAACAATGTAATGGACACTCATCAGCAGTCTTCAAGAAGACGCGATTAATCTCGTGCCTAGGCGAAATTAATAGCTGGATAGGACGAAATCGCCCCGCTTAGCTTTGGGCGATTGATCTAGGCATCTAGGCACTCGGAGGCGTGTTTTCACTCTGGTGGGCGACGCCCATAACAACTAATAAAGGGGGAAAGTGTAGACTTTTTTTTGAAAATCCCAAACCCTATTCTATTTCCCATTTTCATTCGACCAGCCGCTCCCCCTCATCGACCAGCAGTGAGATCCCTCCTCATTGTTGGCGACTTGGAATGTTTGGGATTGTGGGAAATGGTTGTATGTGAATATGAATGGATGAATACTGATATGACAACTTGGGTTTTTGTGGAATATGGCTTATCTATCGTATTTTTTTGCAACGTTTAATCTCGCCTAGGCAACGATTAATCGGCTTGGGCGTTGGGCGGTGCCTCCTCGCCTAGATAGCGGCTAGCGTCTTCTTGAACATTGCTCATCAGTCATCATACACTCGAATTCAACAATCTCAAGTGCAAAATTTTGTCCAATAACTCGCTCTTACATTCATTTTCTACGGACCATATTTTAACTATTTTTATCTCACAACATTAATATGCTTTACAGGATGGTATTCATTTTGATATATTTTGAAACTAAAAATACATGTTCTAATGTCGGGAAGTCCTTAAGAGTTTGAATATAGTCCCATCCATAAGACCCAATGGGGACTAAGAACCTCGTACTCACTTCATATGCAACCCCTACGACATTTGTAGTGCATTTCCAACGATCACTTATAAATGCTCGTAACTTCTTAATCCCAAAATCTATCAGAATCAATATCAATTTGTAGATTACAGTATCATTTTATAGATTACTATTGATATGGTTTATTTGTACGTAATTTATTAAATTCCAGTTATGGAATGAAGATTCGAGCCTGTGAAGAAAAATAGAAAACCAAATAGATTCTTGGAAAGTCAATTTTCTCCTTCTTCTTCTTCTGCCATAGGCATATCAACAAGGCAATCGAAATTTCATTATAAAGTAGTGAATAACCTAATAAGCTACTGTCATTCATCCAACCTATCCGTGCATAATTAACTACAGAATAATAAACGTATAAAAATAAAATATAAGTCACGCCGTCCGGCGTGCCATTGGTTGAACCTGGTTCAACCTATACCGGTCATAAAATCGGCATGACACTACCGGTATGACCGGCATGACAATATACGAATTTCCAAGTAAATGATATTATCTTAGTGAATTATTTGAAAAAAAGTAATTATTATTTGTTTTATGCGTTAAAAAGTTAAATGTTGATGTTATTTGTTGGATTCAAGTACAAATATTTAGGTATTTACGTTAAATGTCGTGTTTAAATATGAGTATTTGTAAATTATTTGTAATATTAACCGGTATGAACAGGTATGTACCACCAGTCGAATCATTCCACTTGCTAAACCGGCCCTCTGGCATAAACCGGTTTGACAACCTTGGCCACAACCAACCGAAAAGCCAAAAATAGAAACCCGGCCGCCGTCGATTTCATCTTGTCTCTTATTTCTTTCCGGCGACAACGGCCACGGTGGCAGCTCTCTCTTTTCTATCCATCTCTTTCCCAGTTCCCTCTCTCCGTCGCCCACAACGGCAAATCGTGCGGGATTGAATGTAACAGAAGCAAAGGTATTTGTTTTGGTTTTCTTTTTTTTTTTTAGCATAATTTGTTAACAAACGTTACTTGCTGATCCTCAAGGTCGGAAACCCAGCGATGCAAGAAATTTCATCGGTCGCTTTGCCGACTCCAAACGGAGTTGAAAATTAACAAAAGGTGGAAGAAGAAAAAAAAGGCTAAAGATCCAAACATATCCGACACCGTCACTGTTTCTCATGAGACCCACCTCCGTTGTCTCTTCGACAAGGAACCCTGGATTCGTGAATTCAAGCTCGCTCGCACCATTAACACCAACTACAGAATATAAAAATACGAATGCGTGTGCGGGTGGTTTATTAACTAATGCGCGCGCCGGTGGGAAAATTATGGCGGGAGTTTTGTATAATAATAAGTGGGGACTTAGACCACACTAATGAGGACAAAAACACTGTCTTGTTTGGTTGCGGTCTTTTTCGATCTTTCACTCCTTTGGCTTTGGCTTTTCTTCAGTTGACATTGACACTGATTAGTGATTATTAATCGCTAATTTCCAAATGATTATTACCTATATGTGCACGTTATTAGGCGAGCGGTTTGGTCTATTTTTGCAACGTACAAGCTAGCTTGTAGGAGGGAACCCGTCGGTCCTATCCTAGCTTAGCTATTTCAGATTAATATCCGACAGCCAATTATTGTTTGAAATGTAAATAATTAGTAATATGATTTTACCACAGCTATACGTTTTGTGTGTGTAATTAGTAGCCGTGTTATGCCCATTATATAGAGCCTAGGGTTAATTAATTGGTGCAACTCAAGATCTCTCCGATTATATGCAGCTTTAGAGAGCACAACCTCTCTCCCGTTGATTAGTTTTGATTTTCGGGGATACCACGTTGAAATTTTGGTGTTCTTTATTGCTTATTTCGTAATTCTTTTCAGCAACACCTTGTGATGGTTACCGGTTTATGTTTTTAGTTCTTCTAATCCCCTTATTTTGGGCAACATTGTTTCATGGCACATAGATACCTAGTTTGTTCAGAGCACCTCCACATCAATGAAATTGCAATGCCGATTTTATATGTGGTTCATATTGTCACTTCTACAATTTATGCAATCTAACTCGTTTTAATTTAATTGCATTTTCGCAATATAAAATAGAGGATTCCACTACCGCGCTTGCCACCATAATTACTAACTTGAACATAATAAAAGAATTTATGAAATCTTTTGTGTGAAATAGTTTGAATGATTTGATAGAACTTTTTGGCAATGAATGATATAAATTTGAAATATTTTATGGTTAGTGATAAAATCAGTCATGAAGTAGTATATTGTATATGTCTTTTTTTGTTATAGCGTTTCATTAACGGTTCACCAATGATTCTCTAACGATTTACCACTAAACCATAAACCAGTAATTTTTCCGGTTCTAAAATCAGAGCTATTTTCATTATTATATGTTGAAGGTAGTATATATATGCCCTAGCTAGCTAGCCAGCGATATATGCTTCGTGTTGATGAAATTGGTCAGAGCTAGTTACGTTGCTAAATTAGATTAGGCAATTTGATACTTAATTAGACTGTCTCTTTCTCCTGCTTTTGGCTCCCAACATATTCTATATGCTGAATTATGTCATTGCTAACCAATTTGGGAAAACGTAAGGGACTTAAGTGTTTTTTTTGTTTTTGTTTTGGTGAAAACGTACTAGACCTGCTGCCACACAGCATCTTCCCTGAAATCTATGTTTTGTGTTTTTGTCAAAATTATGTTGTCACCCATCTTAATTAATTTCCACTGTCTTTTTCTTGCAAATTATCAGGGCATATATGTATGGCTGCTTTGGAAACTCAGGTTATTAATTAAGTATATTACTATATGTAATTATATGTTGGCACATTAATTTGATTGGAGCAACGTGTCAGAGAAGTTTTGGACGTTTACCTGTTTCTCATCTACAAATCTCGTCGCGACAACAAGAGTGTAATGCTTAAGCTAATTAAGAAGCTGCTGATGATGGTGGTCTTACCTGTTTTCATCTGCAACAAATCTCACTACGACAACAAGTGTGACGGTTAAGCTAAGCAGGTAATGGCACTGGCCCTCATCATTCGCCACCAAAACGATTTGTTTGGTGCTTTTTTTTTTTTTTTAACTTTTGGTAGCTGCTGTATGTACTCGCGACACAGTAAATACTAAGTTAATATTAATAATATTCCAGTGGGTGAGAGAAATTTAATTTTGGATATTGTAAAACTCAAGCCACTCATATGGCCTATATGGGTTTGACTTCAGTATGATTTGAGTTTGCACCATCCTAAAATGGAGGTCGTCGCTGCTGGAATTCGAACAGGAAACCTTTTGGTCGCGCTAAGGGTTTTGATACTATGTTAAGAACCGGTTGATGTCAATAAGTGTCGACCTATATGAAACTCGATATAGGTCGCAATTGTAGGTTGGATCAGTGTATTGTTGTTATAACCATCATAACAACTTATAATTTAGACCTGACCCGTTTTCCCCCGATTTGTTTTGGGAGGAGTATGTCGGCGAGGCGAGCATGTGTACTTTCTTTGATCCGGCCTACCTTAACCCGCGCAATTCTCAATCCATTTTTAACTGAATAACATGTAATTTTACTTTTTACTTTCATTATTTCATATTTTACATATTAGAAAGTTGTAAAGATGTGAGATTCTCAATTTCTTGAATTATACAACTACATTTCACACTATAGTTTGTTTCTTGAATTTTTTTATTGAAAAACGAGCATTTCTAATGTTTCCCTTGAAATTACATACACATATAGGTCGACGGGAACTCGCACCCTGTAGCAGATCTAGAAAATTTATATAGGAGTGTCCCTTTTAGAAATTCATTGTCTACAGTGCTCAACAAATCTCGTTCAATCCTACTTGATAATCGTTCACCAGCTGATCGCCTATTCGATTCCGATACTTGTTACTGACGTAACCCAAGGTTGAAAAGCTCTCTCAACACTTCAAGTTGTAACCGTAAAACCAATACAACTTTGAGAAGTAAATGGATTCATGTATATGACATATTCAATTTTGTCTCCACCATCAACTTAGCTAATTCATTAGTTCCTTTTAATCCACAAAAAATAACTCATCATTTTTAACATAATGACAATAATTCACAAAATCTCGTAGAAGAAAACAATCAGAAAGGTGATCAAACTCTCCAGGATAAAATCATATGTTAGATTCAACGTGGAAAAATCATATGTTAACTAGAATATGCGGTGGGTTTAATTTTACGCTTTGAAAAACTAGGGGATAAGGATTACACGTTTATAATTACATTTATGAGAAAATTACAACAACAAATGAAGTGTAGTGAAATAAAAAAGATGTTCAGCAACCACTATTGTATTATATATTCGAATCACATGTACTTCAATTTATCCCCCCCCCCCCCCCCAGACTCAAACTACTATCGATGTTCAGTAATTTTACCCCCAAATTTTATAGGTGTCTACCATTCACCTGAAGCCATCCCTACTCGCACCCTCACGATAAATTATCATACCTGAACCTAACATGTCATGGAACGGACTAATGTGTGTATCAATATACAATCCACACCTACCACATTGCCATTCCTAATTTGTGCCACTATTTTCATAGGTGAGACAGTTAACATAATCGACGACATAATCTCCCAAAATGCATTGATAATATTGCTTCAGCTAATTATACTACGAAATTACATACAAAGCCAAGAACAAGATATGTAACCCAATCCAACCTAACCCGAAAAAGGCCAGACAAGGCTCCTTTCCAAGCTGATAATTATTATAACGCTTTACTTAGAAACTTACAAACACACTATAGCTAGCTTTACAAGCCAATAATTGTAGACTAAACGTCAGAATATATCAGAGATATCTTCATGTTAATTATTTGATGTGTCTGTATAAAAATAAATAAAATTTTATTGGGTGTGTGCAGTGTGAAATGCGCTAGATTCCAAAGAAGGTTGATAAAAATAAAAAAATTAAAGAATAAGACGTAAAATGGTTTTGAAAGCCATGCACAGAAATGACGACGGAAGACCCAACGCCACTCCTTTGCGTGCATGGAGTGAAGTTCCCTTTTCATCAACCACTACATTGCCACCTGTTAATTAGCGACACCCTTGGGAGCTAATTAATTATCAACCCCACCATTTTTTCTAAGTAAATTCAGTGGCAGAATTATAATCTGTGTATTCGGCTGTTGAGAAAAGCATTGAAAATAGTACAATGATCAACACCATTAATTATCCTCTTGTTTAAAATCTAGAGGTTCGAATCAAAAGCTATAAAAACAAGTTGAAAACAATTTCGTGTGTTTAGTGTGTTTTCGCTAGTTCTAAATCTTGATGATTTCACCATTGAATTAGTTGGCCGGCCCCTCTGCAATTACTTAATTATCATTCTGGTTATTATTTAGATACAGTGAAAGCTTGTTGGAGATATCGTTGTGATTGTAATCGCAACATTTCAACATTTTCTAATCAATATATTGTCCGCTATAGATTACTCCAAATACAGTTTTGCTTTTGGATGCATTATCTAAATACATTTTCTAAGCATGTTTAACTTTAGAGTTCTTACGAGAGCTCATTAATGTCATCCCAAAATGCATCTTGTCTTGTCAGTTAAATAAGAATGATTTCAAAAGAATAATGAATCTCTCTCGAACTGCTTAGGGTGTTACGGTATTTTCTAGAATGAATAAAAGAAAATTTGTTGACATGTTTTCTTTAATGAATGATTGATTTATTAAAACAAAAATACAATGATGAGAGCAAAATACTATAATGATGTAGAAGTTGGGTCTTCATTTTAAGAGTTATAGGTATAATATGCTCCTGTACTTTGTACTTTTATCAAACATGCACTTTTACTATTTTTTACATCAAACATGCCCCTGTACTTTGTAAAAATTATCAAACATGCACTTTTGTTAAAATTTTCATCCAAAAATCGTTAACCATCGCCGAACTTTGGTTAACATCAAATGTCTAAAATATCCCTAATAATTTTACTTTAGAATTTTTTTGGTTCTTTTGTATATCTAAATAATTCAAATAATTTCAATTTGAAGAGACCCAGAGAAATAAAATGGGGGACAAAACTGGTATTTTCCCTCCCATTTGCCGATGTCGGGTCGTCTAAATCTTGGTTCAACCATGATTGACGATTTTTCAATGGAAATTTTAGCAGAAGAGCATGTTTGATGTAAAAAAATAGTAAAGGGGCATGTTTGATAAAACGTAATAGTAGATTGACATATTATACCTATAACCCTTATTTAACCGTTTGTGTGAATTTTCTTTGACATGTTGCTAAAGATATTGGAATGGGGAAGTTTCTCTTCAAATTCGAACCTAAGATTTCTATGTTGAAAATTAATGATCGCTACAAGAAAATCAACATTTAGTTAAGGCTGGAAAAATAAAGCGCACCACTTTAAAATTTGTGGATCAAACCGTACCTTATAGTTTGGTCATGGCCATAGACTGTTAATTAAGAATGTTCTGGTTTGGTCCTTGGTATGTATTATAGGACGTATTGAGCATTTGGTCTGGTCTGGTTCAGACTACGGTTTACCAGACACAAACCGTGGATCCAACCCACTTCCTAATTCGCGTTTTAGCAACTCACTCTCTCTCTCAACTCTTCGACAATGACCAAACTAAAATGCTGATTTTTATTCGATATGGTCTACACGGTACAAACCATATCGGACTAGACTGCACATACATGTTCTAAATTATATATTATCTGTTCTATTTCTGATCCGTACTCCAACTTCTCGATCTGAAATCATTGGATCGATCCTCTCTTTGACCAAATTGAATCATATCCCAGTCCTATTTTAGTGGCTTCTATTGGAACACATTAAATAATTCCCCTCTTAAAACAATTTAATTGTTAGGCCAAATCCAAGTCGATCGCACAATCAAAACACAACTAAACAAAGGGGGGGCTAAAACAAAAAGAAAGAAAGAAAGAGTGTCCGAGTAGCCAATATCAATCACCCTTTCTTTTTTACATTTGACCGACAGTTCCCCGTCTTTAGGGTTTGAAGTTCCACGAAATAATGATGCTGTTGTTATTGGCTTATTCCTCTAAAGTCCAAACCCTTTACTTTCCTTTTTTTTCCCCCATTTTTTTTTTTTTTTGGTTGCCCGTGTTTCGTCTCCAAACACGGATGGTGACGATCACCAAATTCAACGAGCTAGCGAGAGAGAAAGGAGGCGTATTGGGGGACATCAACTGTCAATTCAAGCTTTTGCATATGTGGAGGGAACTGTCTCCATCTCAGTCAACCAACCCATTTCCTCACATTAAAAAAAAAAAAAACACCACATTTATAACCATTTTCCATCACCAGAGACAACAAGCAAACGAAGGACCTAATAATCTATGTATATAAATACATACTCAGGCCGGCCATTTGATTCTGCAGCTGGTTGGAGCAAAGGAAGCATAACCCATTTCCACAAGTTAACGTAAACTCACAGAGAGAGAATGGGAAGGTCTCCTTGCTGCGACGAGGACGGGCTGAAGAAGGGTCCGTGGACTCCGGAAGAGGACAAGAAGCTGGTGGATTACATACACAAAAACGGCCATGGCAGCTGGAGAGCTCTCCCCAAGCTCGCCGGTAAGTAAAACTAGCTATAGCTTCTATAGCTTTGTCGTCGATCGGCCGGCCGATGATGATCGTGTTCTTTTTTGGTTCAGGGCTGAATAGGTGCGGCAAGAGCTGCCGGCTGAGGTGGACTAACTACCTGAGGCCGGATATCAAGAGGGGGAAGTTCTCTCAGGATGAAGAACAGACCATTCTCAATCTCCATTCCATTCTTGGCAACAAGTGAGTGTGTGACATCCATTTCTGAATTATATCGGGTTTTTAATCAGCGTATGTAACGATAACTAAATCAAGGTAGATGATTTTATCACGATACATAACGATCTTGATACGATCTTGAAGCTCATTGATTTTCCAAGATGGTCACAAAAGAAAAAAAGTAGTCATCAGAAACTACCTTTACCTTATGATGCAATCAATGATTGATGCTAATACCGCGAAGACAGTAGATTATTGGATATTGCTTTGTTAAACCAAGTCATGAATCAACTATTGATGTCCAATATATACAACATTGATCATCTAGACAAGACTTCCATATATAATTCAAATCATGGAAAATGCTTTTGCATAATACAAAATTAATTCAATATTAAAAAAAATTTATGTATGTAGGTGGTCAGCAATAGCAAGTCATCTCCCCGGGCGAACAGACAACGAGATCAAAAATTTCTGGAACACACACCTGAAAAAGAAGCTGATCCAAATGGGGTTCGACCCGATGACCCACCAGCCGCGGACCGACCTGTTCGCCACGCTGCCTCAGCTCATGGCCCTGGTCCAGCTGAAGGACCTCCTGCTCGACCACACCAGCAGCAGCAACCCACTCGACCACCAGACCATGAGGCTCCAGGCCGAGGCCCTCCAGCTCGCCAAGCTCCAGTACGTCCAGTACCTCCTCCAATCCTCATCCTCCACCTCATCACCACCAACCCCACACCACCAACACCAAAACGGCGCCGTATCATCCGACATGGAACTCATCAACCTCCTCAATTCTCTCCCTAACCAGCAACTGATCAATAATTCCGAGTATGGATTTGGTGGTAACATAATCTCTTCTTCTTCTTCTCCTCCCATGGCGGCCAATAATAATACTCACCAACCACTCCACCATATTCTACTCCCTCCTTTGTGTGACCCACGAGAGGAAGAAGCAGTCACTTTCATGAGCCCTTCTTCTTCCTCTTGCTTGCCCGCGCAAACAACTCCCACAACCACTACAGCGACCACCGTGGCGCTTAATAATAATAATAATAGTAGTACCAATCATAATGTCAATGTTCCCTCGTCGGCGGAGATGATGAGCTCGTGGCCGGCGGCGGTTGTTCTACCGTCATCCTCCAACAGCAATCCGGCGGCAGGCGGCGGCGGCGGGGATGGTGGTAGCAGCAGCAGCTCTAGCTACGCCGGCGGGGTGACTTCTTCTTATAGTAATTGGCCCGAACTTTTCCTCGACGATCCTATTCTCAGCGAGATTTCCTTGTGATCAGTACGTATACTACGTGCGTTAGTAATTAATCTTTTATTTTATTTTTTTCACAAGGAGAGCTTAATTATTATCGTTTAATTTTTCTTACAATTTAGTTATACAGGTATCTACCTAGCTTTAGCTTGTAACCGCTGTGGAATATTTTATATTTTCCGGTTGTTTTTCTTGTTTGTATATGTAAGTTTATACGGATGAGAATATGTTTATTTAGGGAGTGTATGTATCATACTATACGGTACGTAGAGATAATATGTAGAACTTGGTATCAGTATTTGTGGACACATTTTATACACACTCCATATATATATTACGGGTGTTTATATTTGATTATTTGATCATATGTGTGTATATATAATATGGGTAATCAGGATTGTGTTTGACCATGATTGAAGTTGAAGAGAAACCAAGATCAGGCCATAGAGATCCTCCTACTGATAGGCCAAGTAATATCGCTGGTTTTAAACGTGGAGGTCACAGATTCGAATTCCTTAAGTAACACTTAATATATCGTCCTTATCTAAACAATATATGTAACTTATATGCCATATCCTTTAGTTACATTTTAGGAATTGAGATTGATTCTAGAGAGTTATTAGGTAATTAAGATTGTGATCGATATATTAAAAAAATATAAAGAAATAGCAAGAATTTAGAATTAATTAAATATAGGAATAGCCCACAATCACTAGAGATGTCTCACTTTTTGATAACTCGCTAGCCCCGTCCATCCCAAATTTGGCTTTCTAGTTCTTTTTATAGGTCACTTTCTTCTCTCACTGATCAATCTCTTGTTATTTTAAGAATACCAAAGAAGAGTTTTCACCAGTTATTAGCAGTTTCTCATCCTCCAGTCCGTCGAATCGGAGATTACCAATTGCATAAAATTGAGATATCACAATCTCTTCTCTTTGCCCACGTATTGGCTAAACAAGCCCATGAATCTTTATTTAGTTTCTTAGCCCCGAAATAAGATCTTGTAATTAATTCATTCAATCAAGACATCAAGTGAATCCATTCAATGAGGACTTCTAGTTTTTTTATCAGGTTCTTTCATCTCAACTTATCATTACAAGATTTTTGGTCATGAAATTAAACCTACAAATCTACAGTCTATAATAATGTTTGAGCTAAGAGTGTTCAAACCATTATTTATTCATTAATTTATTTAATTTTTAGTTGCGAAGATAATAAATTTAGTATTCGAAAATACCGACATTGTTCCAAAATATTTTGGAATTCTGCTACCAAATTTATTAGAGAGTGGAATTGATTTCATAGTATTACTGAGTATTCAGAATATAGTATTTGGTATTAGACTACTTATACAATATCGATTTCCACTCCTACTTGCATTTCAACGATTAGGCAATTAAATGGGTTAAGACATAATTAGTGGAAGTATATAGAGAAGTATAGAGTTACAAGTATCATTCGGATACATGCATGGTAATTTGATGATTGAGTATATATTTAGGTGATAAAAATGATAAAATGTTTCATCTGAATAACCGTAATGTCATTACCTATGTGTAGTGTGGTTATCATTTTAAAGGGAATGTTTGGAGAGAAACAGAGAAATAACAAAAAGGCTAACCTGGTTTTTTTTAATGAATGGGTTATAGGTATAATATGTCACTCTACTATGACGTTTTATCAAACATGTTCCTTTACTATTTTTTACATCAAACATGTCCCTGTATTTTGGAAAACTTATCAAACTTGCCCTTTTGTTAAAATTTTCATCCAAAACCGTTAACCAAAACCAAACTTTGGTTTGGGCGACCCAAATATCTAAAATATCCCTAATAATTTCACTTTAGAGTTTTTTTTGTTCTTTTGTATAGCCAGATAATTCAAATAATTTCACTTTGACGAGACCTAGAGAAATAAAACAAGGGTCAAAACTGACATTTCACCTCCCATTTATCGATGTCAGGTCATCTAAATCTTGGTTCAAGCATGATTGACGATTTTTTCAATGAAAATTTGAACTGAAGGACATGTTTGATAATTTTTCCAAATTGCATAGGCATGTTTGATGTAAAAAATAGTAGATGAACATGTTTGATAAATCGTCATCGTAGAGGGGCATATTATACCTATAACTATAACTTTTATGAATTGGCTAATCTGGTTTGTAGGAGACTAGAGACACAAGAAAAAATGACAAGAGACATGAGCCAAGAAGCAAATCAAACCAAGATTCGACTAAAAACAAACAAATTTTTCTACCAAAAAAAAAATTGGTGCGGTTTCTCAGCCCATCGGAAAATCGTAGAGAGCTCCATACTTTTCTATTTGGGCCGGGCCTTTCTTTGGGCTTCCTGCTGAAAAAACCCAATGGGTCTTTTATTTTAAATTCCAGGCTTAGCTGAACACAAAGCTGAAAGCACGGGCAATAGCAATTAGAGTGTGTATGTTCCAATTAACGAAATTTGCCTTTTAACGATTAAATAAATTAAATGATAAAAAATATCGAAAATAGTAACAAAAATTAGGTTTTTCATGAAAGGTGATGAGCACACATGCATTGAATCAAAAGAAAAAGAGTCATACAATTTATTCCTTTCCGATTAAATGAAGTTATGTATCCGACCAAAAAAAATGAAGTTATGTAGAATGATTGTATACCTTCTATGATTGCTGATAAAGTTTTCTTCAATTGATTTTGAACAAAAGCACCCATCAATTCCTTAAAAAAAAAAAAGAGAATCAAATTTATGTAATGATTTTTATTATGAAGAAACCGAATAAATTAAAAGACTAGGTATTAGTGCCCACAGAGGCATAGATACATCATTTTATCCTCCAATTAAAATTGTTACATGCATCCACATTATACACATGATGGATCAAAACGAGAGCTTAAAATGATTCGGAACGTTTCAAATTAAGCTTTGCTTTTTTTTTTCTAGACGAATCAAATAAACAAAATAATGATAGGCGTAGCATATTATACAATGATGAAAATGTGGCAGGGCGGGTACTTCAATATTCATATCTATCAACACTAAGTGCGGTTGGGGTGGTTAATACACACGCGGGTATTCCATGGAGCGGGTCGATTCATTCTTGCATGTTATTTGAAAATGTTACTAGCAAAATTTTACTTTTTATGATAAAATGAAAGAAAAATTATTTACTAATGAAAAACAGTGATAATATAATGAGTAACTGAGTATGATTAGCTAAAAAAGTCAAAATAAGAAAAATATGAATAAATATATTAAGAAGTTGAGTTAAAATGCGAAGTGAGAGGCCGGGGCAAGAAAAAGAATCGAGTCGATCAGGCTCGACGACCGGGAGAAGGACAACCTCAGAACAAGGCGAGGCAGTCAAGTTAGGGTCGAAAGTAGATATTCGTACCCTGTTCCACGCTTTTATAGATAGAATAATATTCGCTTAATCACGGATAATATCGAGTAATACCAACGAAACTGGTTGAAAGTATCATCCCTGATATTATAGATATAGAGAAACAGTCTTGTGTTTCCATCATTAAGGGGATAAGATCGGCATGAACTGGAAAATTGATTAGGGGAGCCATTGTGCTTTTTCCTCTTGTCATCGAGTTGATGACTATGTCAATATACAATTTGTTGTTGCTATTTGGTAATGTATAATAAAACGACATGCTGTCCATTAAAGAGGGTAAATGAGTTGTTTGTTACATTTATTTTCTTTGTTGGATTTGATTGGCCTAGTTTTGATTTTTTTTATTTCACATTCACGATGCAATCGTACTCATATTATTATTGTCAAGAACCAATTGCTCCCAATAACTTGAGTTATTGGAACCAGTTGGGTTTTGACATGGTATCAGAGCCTGGTATGACCGAGAGGTCTTGTGTTCGATTCCCAAAGACCCCCATTTGTTAAGCACATGGTATTCTTGTCTTCAGACATGTGAAAACTTCCAGCCATTGTGAGTGGCTTTCGTTTGAGGGGGCGTGTTAGTGTTGTGGTATATGATCCACAATTGAATCTCTTCTTCGAGTTATTGGAACCATTTGGTTTATGACAATTATTACTTGTGAATCAACCTTGTTAGTCAATCGAATTTGAGTTACTATATGTTTTCGTATGATCATTGAGTTAATATAGGTTTCATACGATTCACACCCGAATTTTCTGTCTTTATTTGCAAGAAAATCGCAACACGAATCTAGCCTCTGTAAATGCGACAGACTCGATCATTACTGAATATGTCCATCGAGTACTTAGTTTGGTGGATAATGATGAACATAGCTATGACCTCCGGTAGATCCGCCCTCTCTAGAAAGGTCACCATTGCATGATAATCAAGCAGAAAAACTCAATCTTCTTCGCGCCCCATCAGTTCGCTTGACAAACACCATTAAGAAATCCTCTCGTTCAGTTATCATGATCGTAAAAACTCTATCGTTTGATTATAAACTTCTCAAGCACAATCACGTTACTGTACATATACTTAAGATAATAACTTTTCGGTGTAAAAGTATTTACATATATGTGATAAGAGTGGAGTGGTGTCCCTCTCATCATAGGAGCATTTCATGTATGTAAGTCCAATTATTATTAGTACTATAATCAAATCCAACCAACCGACTTCCTATAAATAAAAGGCATAATTAGTATACTTACATGAAAACGATCCCTTCATACGCTTGATTAATTGGACGTTTATGCAATTTCGATTAATAATCAATCTTTTTTTTTCGAACAAAATAATTAATAATCGATCGATGTCCACCAACCCATCTTCTTATCTACTCATCGTACAAACGTCATTGTTCTTCTAATTCGAGTTAGACGTGTACACAAATTTTTGTCTCTGTACTTTAAATTGGGCCAGAAGATGGCAGTCTGTAATCTGTATAGCCTATCGACCATGGAAAGCCCAAATCGGCCCTTCTTCTTTTTTGCACAAAAGCCCAAATTCGGCCTTCAAGTTGCGACGCGGTGAAAAAGTCCTTACAGCGTCAGCAAGCATCTTTGGACTTTGATCCTTTGCCCCTATCCCTATCCCTCGGCCCACGTGATTGATGGTTCTCACGTCGGCCAGTCAGAAATCAGTCCTGGAAAAAATTATCCGTAGCCGACTCCGATCATAATCTCACAATAATATTCAAGAGTTCAATAATTCGCCACAGGAAATTTTAATGGAAATGGATCATGATTCAGAATTTTTTTGTTGTTGTTGTGAGGGCAGGCGTCTTTGATCGACTGTTATAATCGACGAAATACAGTTCAGTGTTCACGACTTTTATTTTATAAATTGATTGAATTCTAACGACTATGATGTATGACATGTTCAAATCAAATGGAATTTTCGAACTGAAAATGATTTGTGATTCGTGATTCAGCATACATATGTCCAATTTCTTCGTGCAGAAACAATCTTTGTTATGCATAAGTAGAAACATCGAATTACAAAAAAGTAACAAAAGCTGATTTTTAAGTGTATAAAATAAATACGACATTCCAGGAACTTGCCAACAAAATAACCAGAGCTGGACTGGAGCTGGGCGACGGACTCAATCATAATAATAAAAAAATAATTAATTATTCATTCAGGAATCAAAACAATAATCGATCCAATCCAATCCATCTGTTCGCCGCTTTCTCTCTCTCTATTTCTCTAGTCTGTTCTTTGCTTGCTCCTCCCGTCGCATTTTCCTCTGCAGCTTCAGCTTCGGAAAATTCACCATAGCCATTTTTGCGTCGCGGTCGATAAAATTATTATCATTACAAGGTCAATCTCGTAACTCTGTTTATTTCGTTTCTATTTTTCACCGCTTTTTTGGTTTTTCTGTTTTTCCCCCTTTGAGAAATACGTGGGGTTGGTATTGGCAGGGCGTGGTGGTGGGGATTTTCTGTTCGGTGGAAAAGGAAGGCGGAACGGGAAGGGGATTCTTGAGATTTCTCGCCGCTTTTGGAAGAATCGAGAAGGAAGAAAGAATGACGAGACCGCTGCTGCTGCTGCCGCTGCCGGCGATGCAATTCGTCGGGCTCGCCGGCGGGTGGTGGAACGAGATCAACGAGTCGGCTCAGTGGCAGGACGGGATTTTCTACACTCTCTCCGGCGCTTTTGCCCTCGTCTCGCTGATTGCCTTGGTGAGTTCCCATGGCTTTATCGATTCTTCAGATTCCTGTGCGAATCGGCCTTGGTTCTCGATCGCTCGGAACTTGAAACCCTCGCCTTGTCCCGTTGGGGGAGATGAATCTGGCGCTGGTTGTAATGATTCCCGCGCCATATTCCTAATCTGGTTCCGTATCGAGTTGGATAAGTTCTGAGTTCATTTTTTTGCCGATTATGGTTTGCCGTAGCCGCCTCAATAGTTGGATTGCTGCTTGTCGTGTACGCTTTGAGTTTCTGATTGAATTTTTTTTTTGTACCGACGGCGGGCAGATTCAATTAATTAGGATCGAATTGAGAGTGCCGGAGTATGGCTGGACCACGCAGAAAGTCTTCCACCTTATGAACTTCGTCGTTAATGGAGGTGAGCAGTGTGTGAACTTGTGTGTGCGAGCTTCTGTTGTCATGTTTGATTGCTCATTTTTTGGGGGCGTTGGTTTGATTGATAAATTTGGGGATTTTGTTGTTGCTGTTCATCAGTACGAGCTCTGGTGTTTGGATTTCACATGCATGTGTTCGGTTTGCATCCCAAGGTTAGTTGCTGGTGTAATCTGTTGAAAGATTCGTTGCTATAGTATTACCTTTTGCTTGTTATGGCAACCTGTTTGCTCTATAATTTGTCTCAGTTGAACAAGGGAGTTAGATGTGGTGAGTTCGATGGCGGTTGTAGTTCTCATTCACTTGACCAATGCACTCTTTTAATAGGTCTTAACGTCGCTAGCACTGGATCTACCGGGGCTTCTGTTCTTCTCTACGTACACCCTGCTTGTTCTATTTTGGGCTGAGATATATCACCAGGTCAGTGTACGTATCTGGAACTCAATCTGTAATAGAAAAGATTGTTGCTTTTGTTTCCTAGTTTCCATTTGGTTTCCTTCTAAGTGCCAATTAAGATGAAGAAACTCTGACTACTATATATTGATTGCAGGCAAGGAGTTTGCCAACAGATAAGCTCAGGGTTTTCTACATTTCCATAAATGCCGTAATATACTGTATACAGGTATTTTTAACTTTTCAGTCATTGGGTTGCATTTGTTCGTTGGTCTATTTTATTGCTTATGTTTATGGTTGCATATCCGTGGATTTTGGATTGGGATTTTGACTATGATGGATGAGAATGAAATTGGGCCTGGGATTCTAGGCCAAATAACTCCAATCTTCTGATGCTGCTGCTGTAACTTTTGGCTCTTGGTTGTTATATTTCCAAAGAAGGTGTTCTGAACTCGTGATTTTGCATCAGGCTGTCATCTGGGTTTACCTGTGGGTTAATGACAACAGTGTCGTGGAGTTGATTGGGAAGATATTTATTGCAGGTATTCTCATGAAAGAAAATCCTCAGCTGCTGTCATAGTTGAAATGTCTGCCAAGTGATAAAGTGTTCTTCGCTCCTTATATTAGCATTGTTACTGACTTATATAATGTTTTATCCTCCAGTGGTATCGATTATTGCTGCTTTAGGGTTTCTGCTGTATGGAGGAAGGTGAATATCTCATTTTATCCCACTGCATGGCAAATAGACGAGCTACTGTTGTGGCTAGAGAACTCTGTACGAGTTTCTTCATTTATTCCTTTCACCATAAGTCGTGACCTTTATCTGTTTTTTTGTTTCAGACTCTTCTTCATGCTCAGGCGCTTCCCAATTGAATCGAAAGGGAGAAGGAAGAAGCTTCACGAGGTCTGGTGCTGTTTACTTTACTTCATAGACCTCTCATTTTAACATTAAGATCATGGACTTGGCATTGCACATTCCCTGTGGCCGACTTCAGACCTTGAGATTCATATAGCCCAGAAAGGCTGCCCTTTTATTTTGTCTTCATTTTGCCGTATATATTAGAATTTAGTTTCTGTACTATTCTCTTTCTTTCGTTCGGCTTAGAGAAGTAGTTACATTCATATTTGCTGGCTTGCAGGTTGGATCAGTCACAGCGATTTGCTTCACTTGCTTCCTTATCAGATGCTTTGTGGTAAAATATCAACTTCCATCTGACTTCAGTGCTATTATGATCCCTGTCTAGCCCATACATAAAAAAAACTGTTGATTTCCTTATTTCGTGCATAGAGAGTGTTCCTTGCCTTAATTACAGTACATAATATTCTTACAACATTGTTTGGCTGTTGAATTTCTACTCATGTACAAAATCCACTTCTTGGTTGGTCTTCTTGGTAGGTCCTTCTATCTGCTTTCGACGCAGACGCTTCCTTGTATGTTCTGGATCATCCCGTCTTGAACTTGATCTACTACACGGTACCCATCCGTCTTTTACTTCTCGTCAATTCTTCTTAGTTTATTATTTGAATCCACATCTTTGCTAAAATCCCAACATTTGTTTGCTCCTTGCAAAACTCCCAGTTGGTTGAGATTCTGCCATCAGCTCTGGTACTTTTCATCCTCCGAAAGCTGCCTCCGAAGAGAGTGTCAGCGCAGTATCATCCGATACGCTAGTTGCTTTTTCCATGGTTTTCCGTATGTTGAATCTCCCACGCAGCCTTCATTCAAAGCCCCTTTTCATCTTTTGAAAGTGATGTCGGGTCAAAGGCAAGTGGTGCAGCAGTAGCAGTTCTTAAGAAGCAACCCAGATTTCCTTGTTACTGTAGGAATAGGCCCATAATGGCGGCGGTTAATGTTTGTAAGCGTTTGTCCACACTGCCGGCGTTTGGGTTGTTGAAGGGAAGAAGCTTCCTTTTCTTTTTCTCTCCCCCTTTTCTATTTCTTTTTGTTGCCCTTTTCTTTGTTTCTGCCAAGGACTCTGTATGCAGTGGAAACAGAATTCTGTAGAAGAAAAAGTATTTAGTAGGTTCCTGGTATTAGGGCTTTTGTTTTGTGTTAGTTTCCGAGTGCGTGGTGGACTTTGAACATGTCCTGGATGGCGGTTTGGTTTGTCGAGTTCGGATCGTGTTCAGGTTCGTTAATTGGTGAATCCATGGATGTGTTCTTTGATAAATTGGCCTCACATTCTTGCATTGAGATCCAAACGGGAGAAATAGAAGCTACAATTGCCAAATCCTTGATTACTTGCTCGTTTCCTTGGTGTTTATACTTGCCTACTTGGACATTGTGGTTTTGTAATTTGTTCAGTTGTTCGAAAGAAAATTGTGTACGTAAGATCAATATCGTGCCATGACCAAATGTAAATCACGTCTCCAAAGTACACAAAGTGGCAAAAGTTAAGATCCATGCATTCCAGAATTCTGAATTGCCATCAATAAACGTTTGACATAAAGCAAATACAAAAACAACATGAAGATCCTTGCAAGCTGATTTAATATTTGCACGTAGGCGTCTTAACATAAGTGAGAGCTATATAACAGAGGCTGACAATTTCTCTGATCAAGCTATCAATGAAATGACTTCTCAACATGGTTAAAGACTAAACGTCAACCCCTGCTGCAAACTAACGAGGGCATGGACATGGAGAAAAATCTGTCATTGTTAGATATTGCGAGCGATCGACTCATATCAGTACTATATACACTGTGAAGACTTGATTGGGGTTTCTCAAGATAGCTGAAACACTAAAAGGGTTGTTGTTGCACTGTATATGCAGGGACGAATGAGACGACCGGGGAGCTGCATTTTGCTTGGTGATTGTAGTTTCTCATCACTCAATCTTGGTGAAGCTCGGGAGCAGGGGGCTGGGCAAATCTTACGTTGGCTGGCCGCGCCACCACGACAGGATCATCTGCGAACAGTGCTTTGATGAACGATGGGGTTCTCAGTGGGCGGCGGCCAGTCATCCTGGGGTATACATCCTCAAGAAAGTAGTATGCATGTCCAGCTATCATCCCCTGAAATCAAGCCACAATGAAAGAAACGATTAAGAAACTGATGAAAACAGGCAGCCAGAGATGAAAGACTAAGCAAGTGCTAGGATTCATCAACTAAGACCTCCAAATAAGTTTAGGAAGTTACGTCATTGCATTTGCAACAAACAAAATAAGAGCTATGTGTTTTGCTTGGTATACTTTTCCTTTGACTTTTGATAAAACAAATGTATCAACACAATCCATTAGACTTCCTTTCTGCCGAGACTTCACTCAGTTAAATGGTTCAACAAGTGATTTGTAACTACGTTTGTAGAGCTAAATGGACATAAGATTCAACTGCAACAATACTACTCACCAACAGATCGACCCATGCACTAGCTCCAACAAGGACAGAAAATCCTAGCAGAACCTGTAGAATTAAGTAGAAAAACATGAATAACTCATGAAGTAGATTTCAACAGACTAGTGGTATGATCAAAGCCATATAAAAGCAGTAGTTGAGTACTAACCCATGGCAAATAAGCTGCTGTGAAGGTGAAAAGGCCCAAGAAGCTCATATGGATGAAAGGGTTTTGCTTGCTCCAGACATATACCTACATTAGAAACAATCAACAGCTGCCCAAGGAGACCAAAAAAAAAAAAAAAAGTAGTAGTAACAATAAAGAGATTAACTAACCATCATGAATGTCAATGAATTGCTGAGGAACACAATTTTGGCGAATGATTCTGAGAGGTAAGGTATCATCCCACCAACAAGAACAATGCCAGTCAAGACAGAGGCACCAAATAGAAGCATGTAAAAGAAATCTGCTGTTCTCCCTCTGAATGAATTCTCCTCAAGAAGCTTGCAGTACCGTGCAAGGAAGAACATGTGGAACATGAAGTCCAAGTCTGATATGAACAAAATCATCTTCAGAATGATAACACACTTGAAATATCAAAGAGGAAGAAGAGCTAAGCCAAAGCATCCATACTGTATTCATTGCTCAAAGTCCAGAAGATAAAAAAAAAAGCCTTTTAGTTACTATGCAAAGTAGTTCATTCAAGTCTACTACATGACTGTGTTATGCATAACCAGGCATTTTATGATGCCAACTGAACATTGTAGTGGAGATTTTCTTACGAGTACCACATTCAGACCACAACACACGAATCTACATACTTGTAATAGGGCCCTGAAATGATTGAACATATTCCCTTCAAAAACAATGCAGCTAAAACAAAAGCATGTATCCTAGGGGCACTGTCAATCTAGAATTGGAGAACCTATAGGCCTCTGACTGGATAAGAGTCATATGGAAAGCCAAAACCGGTACCCTTAATCACAAAGAAAATGTAATCAAGAATGAAGCATCTAAACTATGAAAGATCGCTCAATCTTTACCCATTTTCCGAAAGTATAGGAAGTTGGTGATGAGGCGCCAAAACTCATACTTCTGAACCACCAGCCTCGGGTTCAAGTACAGATGAGAAGGAGCTATTATCTGTGAACAGCAAAACAATGAGAACATTAACTAACTTCCAAGCAAATTCCCGCCATCAAAGTTCTCCATATACTGCCAAGCACAATGCAATTAACATCTCAACAATTACAATATGAGAATCCACTAAAACGGACCGCTCCAGAAGCTTAATTCACAGACCTAGAAAACTCAAAAGACTCCGATTTACCATATTCCCTACACAAACGAATTGATTTGAAGGAAGGTGACATCGAAAATGAACAGAATCGAACTTTAAGAAGAAAGAAAAAGGCAAGAAAGAGGGAGAAGAAGGGTACATCGAGCGAACAGCCGATGGTGGTGACGATGGCGGCCGTGAGGTACGACCGCGTGATGACTGGCATCTGCTTGTACCATTCCTCAACTGCCTGCGCCATTGTTTTATGATTCTTTGCAAACTTGCTTCCTCTTCCTTCCAAGATTAGCCTCTCGATGAAGGAAAAATCTGGTTCCAGACGCGGCGGAAGGATCAACGGCCAACCTTCCACGAAATTTCTTGACTCCTGATAGTTGCAGCGGCGGATTCGAGAGATCGGAAACCTTCGGAACAACACCCAAGCGGGAGGTGTGTGAGACCAAAAAACCAGAAGAAGACGGAAAGAAGAGAAATGGCTGAAGAAGGAGAGCTCGATTCTTGCGACAGCTCACTTTTTTTTGTTCTTCCTTATAAATTGGTGAAAAGGATAAAATTTCCTTCCCAATATTCTATTTATGGTTTTTTGGTCCGCGTGACTTGCTTCGACGAATTACACCGCGCGTGCTCAATACGAACCAATCTTATTTCCCGGTATGTTGAATAAAATTCAACCCGGTAAATCGACGCGCGTTTCGATACGTAAGGCCGTAAGCCCCATCATCTTGTTAGCAAGCCCAATAAATAGAATGCAGCAAGGCCCATAACCATTTATTCCATTATGGGCCCAAATTTCTTCCCCAGGCAGCGGGTAAAAAGTGTTCTTCTTCTTCTTCTCAGATTTAATCACCGCGCTTTTCGTGGCATTTCAAAATTCGAATGTAACGCCTCTTTTCTGACAATTCATTCTCTCTCTATCTCATCTTCAAACTCGGATATCCGGCGAACCCGACTCAGTGATCTCGGTCCTTCCTCCCAGTAACACAAATGGAGCGCAACGAGCAAGTATGTTCTTCCCCTCCGGCGTCGCACAAATTGGAGAGTTCTCTCCTACGGGACGTCTCCAATTTGAGAACTCCGAGAAGCCTAGCACCGGCGAAGAAGGACCTATTCGCCACTCCTTGCGATAGCGCTTCTCGATACTTCACCGCCGCCGCGGAGCGGAATCCCAGGACGTACGCCTCTTCCATCCACCGGCAACACCGGCCATCGATGTCCGGCGCGACGACGGTGGCGAATTCGAAGCGGAAGACGGCCACCACGCGTCGAATCAAGGCGTTCGAGCTTGAGCAGTTGCAGTCCTCGCGCAAGACTCAGGTCAAGAAGGAGCAGTCATTGAAGTCGCTAGCTAAGTCGCTTACTACTTGGCTCAATTTCCTGTTTGAGAACCCTGCGGCCTGCGGCTGCGGCAGCGATTCGGATCTGGACGCCGGTGGAGGGTTGGGTGAAGGGGCTGTAGTAGGTCTCGGGAAGAGGGAAGGTCGGTGTAGGCCTGGAAATGTCAGCGGGAGGGTTGAAGTGGACGCCGCCACGTGGAGGTGTCCGAAGAGGCGGAGGGATTCGATTTGGGATGGCGGAGGTGAGCTAGAGGCGGTATCGGTTAGCAAGGAGTATTCGAAGTTGACGAGTTCAATGGAAGAGATTTGCAGTTTGGATGATATGCAGCAGAGGATGCGGGTTTACTTGAGCTTGAGCAGCTGCCAAGAGATTTTCAATGTGATGACTCGGGTTGTTAAGGTCTGCTACCTTACTTGAACTCTCTTTTTTTCCATCATTTAGTCATAGCTACCTGGATAATGCGATGGAGCTTGATTGTTTGCTTTCTTTGCTTTTTTGTTCGTTTGCTTGGGCCTGTGATAATTCTCAGAACATTGATAATGGGAGGTTAAAAATGAAGTCCCATTGCCCTATTGTTACCGACTTTGGAATGAAAGAGAAGGCTACAAGAATACTCATGTGTTACAATCCGATTTGGCTGCGAATTGGGCTGCACATAATCTTTGGAGGTGATACCTTGTTGCCTAGTGGAGATGTTAAGTCTGAGCAGGAACTTGCCTTCCTGAAGTCAGTGATAGAGAAGCAATTTTTCTCCCACGCTGGATTGGCGAAAGCATATGCTTACAACAAAATGGTTGATGGGTTATATAGGCCTGGTTACTATGAAAGTTTAGGGAACATCATATTGAAAAGGTTCTTGCTTCTTGTTCTTACGCTTGATAGAGCCAAGTCCCAGACTGCTCTTCCTTTAGCCTATGGTATTGATGGGGTTGATGGGGGTTCTCCTCTCCTCTTCAATGTTCAATCTAATAGCAAGTCTAGTGCCCAAGTTATAAATGGTAAGCATTGTGTAGTACTTCAACTCTCACCTTTTCGAAAAATTATGTAACCTTACTTCATTCTATGTAGGCTGACTTCTCTATCTTTTCATATGAATCTAGATTTCTTGTCACCAGAGGTGATGCACGGAGAAGGCAACTTGCTTGCCCATTTAGTGATAATAGGCTACAGAGTTTCGTATCAGCAGGTACATATAGTTAACATATTGGCAAGATACCTACTTATGCTTGTCACATTGTCTGTATTAGTTTCTTACTAACTAA